GCCAGCGCCGGCTGATGGGTGATGAAATTTTCGCTCAATGACTTATTCAGCTTCCCACGCGACATGCTGAACTTTGGCATCGCGTTCGAGGCAGAGACGCAGGATCAGTGTCTAGGCATCCGGCCGTGATAATCACCCTCGGCACTGCCGAGCAGAGAGACTGCTTAATAGTCAGGCCCCATAGCTATGCATAGCTTGTTGCCTAGTTGCCATCTTGCCATTTTGCCGCCATGGCTCCTCACCTGCTCCGTTCCAAGGACGTGAGTGGGGCCACTGATGATGATACAAAAAGGAAAAAAAATAGTATTGCACCCACTAGGAGGACAACACGGCAATGACGATGACGATGATGATGATGCACGTCTCTTCTGTTGCTTCTGCTCCGTTGCCGCCTGTGCCAATCAAGTCAGGAGGCTCTAAGGACAACAAACACATCCTAGACAACAACAATGCCGCCCTCTCTGTGACAACGACAAAAGTGAAAGCAACAAAATCTTCATCATCAAGTGTCATTCTGGGCAGAAGTTGACGCATACACAGGGCACACTCAGGGAAAACTACATTAAAGAAACTATGAGGATTCTTTAAAGACTTGTTTTATAAAAAAAATATTTAACATTAATCCCTGGTTTAAATTACATGGAATTGAAGTGGCTGAAAAGCCTTATTAAAAGCATAATTTCCTAATTTTTTGTTCAGTGCAAGCTCTATTGGGGCATCTGTCCATGTGCATCTCCATCTATCTCGATGTTGGCCCTCTCGTTCGCTCTTTTTGCACAACTATTGCCATGAATATTTATGCTTTGTTGCAAGGACCTGCCTCCTCGGGCCAGGAATGTTTTCGGGGTTTCCGAGGTGGCGGGTTGGCACAGCTGTTGTTCTTCAAGAGGACACACACACACTCTGTCTGGCAAATCAAGTGTGCAAGTTTGAATTGCTGCTGCTCCTGCTGCTGCTGTTGCTGCTCTCGGGCATAAATGTTGTTTAAACAAAACTTTGGCTTCCTCATAGTTTATCAAGTACGAACTTTGGAACTTTGAACCCGGAATCCAATTTCCGTAAGGCAGGTAAATCCAAATAGAGGCTATGTTAACCCCCCCCACAAATCCCTTGGGACATCCATGGTCCCAGCATCAATTAATAATCCGCATCGATGGCCATTGCAGTCCTGATTTATGTTATGCCAGCTAGCAAGCGTTGGCAACAGGATCGTAGCGATTGCAGCTTAATGCATTGCCCGCAAAAACAGATTGCCGTCGAATGCCATTAAGCATTATCCGCTACACATACACACACACTCTGCATCTACACACACTCATGCACACTCAATTTAATGATTGATTTGAGTTTAATTGCTTTCAATTGTTTTGCGGAATGCTAATTTCACAAACGGTTGACTGCCCAGCAGCCGGGGGAGATCAATAAGCAATAAGCAAATAGCATTTTTCATCTTTCCCTTCTCGTACAATGACGTGTGAAGCGGGACGATTTGTTAAATTACCGTCCTTTCCAGCCTCGGGCAAATATTATGCAACACTTTTGGCCCAATTTCCCATGCTCCTTATACATACATATCTACCACCACCCCATTGACAAGTCATCAAAGGCGACGACTGACTGGCAAGGTCATGATGTGCCGAATGCCCAGCGGGGCTTTCAAGAAAATGGGAAAAATAAAACTAAAGGAGAGTTGTAGGGAAGTGTGTGCAGAGAGGGAAGAAAAAGTCAAGAACTAAATAAGAGAAAAATGCCCTGAATAAGCTCTTTTCTTTCCGTGTGTCTCAATACATCAGTGTGTGTATCTATGTATGTGTGGGCCACTTTCCTCGGTTGCTCCCAAGTTTGTCACACTTTCAGCCGAAGCGCCTTCAAATATTTGCCGTCCTCCTCTGTATCTCTCTACTTTTCGCTTTTCTTGTTTATTGATTTTCCCCAAGCAAAAGTTTGGTGTACTTTTCTCGCATTATTTATTGTTCCAGTTTTTTGTTATCAGTCTCTGTAACTACTTGGAATTCTTTTGCTTGATGGGTATTTATAATTGCACTTAGCGTATTACAAGAGTCTGAGGTGGGTGGTGGGTTGGCCAAGGCAGCCACGGTCTCAATACTAATTAAGTTGGCCAGTTCGTGGGCCGCTTTGCCGACTATGGCCAATTGAAACTGAACTGGCCCCTGTTAAGTGGGTTTTAGTAGCCGTCTGTCTACCTTTGCACAGCAAAAAAAGGGTAAAGTTGAAAGAACTTGATAGTTCTTCTTGATTTACAAATTATTTTTAGATGTACTACTTTAAAAAATTAAAGATTTTTGCTTATACTTTAAGCTGGTATTATTAATATATACCTTAATTAGGTCCCAGTATCATTTTAATTTTGTATTTCCTTCATTTACCTTTGCCTCACTCTGTGCTCTCTATTGGTTTGAGTGGCACTTATCGTTGCTGGTAATGACGTAATTGCGGACATTTTGCGGGGAGTTGGCCAGCAGGTGTGTCTCCTCCTTTCTTCCCTTCCTCAAAGGTGTGTGCGCCAGGCTGTTGCATATGTCACAGACATAAACATTAACAGTCAAGAGACAGGCTAAAAATATACCTAGCCATGGGCCCCAAAAAGTAGGCAATGGTTTTCTTGATTGCTGTCTGACCCACATCAAAATATATTTTCTGACAGCTCTTGGGGAGGGGAGAGGGTCCGGGGGAGGGAGCGGGGGCAAGGGGTTATCGGCCTGAAATTATAATTATACATATCACGGGTATATCCGTGATAATTGAATTCCAAAGCACAGACCACGGGGCGTATGCGCGATTTTATGGAAATTATTTTCTGTCGAAGTGAAACTCACATCGCATGCCAATCACATGCCAATCAAGCGAATCGATATTGATAATCGTCAGCGGCATAGTTTCTGTTCCATTATTGTTTTCAAATATTTGAAAGATTCTGAAGGAAAAATGCCATATTCTTTCGGAAGCTTTAGTTAAGTTGTAGTTTTGCATTGGTCAATAGATATGTAAACACACATGGCCCGATGACCTCTAATCTGCTCTATTTGCAATTTGTTATATAAATAAGCATAATTTGCCATGTACCATCATTGTCCTCGTCATCATTTTGGGGCTGGCTTGATGCCAAATTTATATTATCTTTTACCATAATGTTTCACTATATATACTATATAGGTATGGTGCTCGGATGTGGGCCATTTATATGCACATGTAGATATGTATGCATGTATTTTTTGGCACATTCTTATGGGTTTCCCTGTGCCCCCGCCCCCCATCCATCATCTCGTTGTGTGCATAAAATATTTTTGTGGTAATTTTTCATGCTTACATTAGCGAGGTCTGTCAACCAAGAAAAAAAACCGGCAAAACGATAGCTGCGAGCGAGGTTTCGGAAAATTTGTTGCAGCATCAAGGAGCTAGCTGCAAGCCATTTCGCCTCCGCCATTTTCTTTCCTGGGTTTTCCTCTCGCTTTTCCTTGCTCACCACCCGCATAAATAAATAAAGCAGAACTCAAAATAAATGGAGAGAGAGAGAGAGTCCTGTCTGCTTGTCGTTTAATCGGTATTGATTTTGTATTGTTGTTCCGCTGCCAATATTTTATAGTACGCCTTACTTGGAGCTCCGCCTTTCAGCCATTGCGCTTTTGGCCAACGGTCGGATGGGCGTTGCGTTAATTGAAAGCCATACAAATTGCTGACCGGCTGGCAGGCAATTATAAAATTGTTTGGCCAAAGTTGATTGTGGCGTAAAATGGCAGAGAATTAATGGCTCTAAAGAGGCTTCAGACGAGGACTATATAGTCTGGTTCTCGAATGACCGGTATCAGTTGCTTATTTATGACACCACATTATCACCAGGATAGCGCTTTTCATGCAAAAAGCCTCAAGTTCCAAGTCAAGTTTTATGCACACATATTCTGCTGGACAATGGAAAAAGAACAATTGCAGTGTGAATTTATGAGACTTGCCACAGGCATCGAAGTCGCTACCAACTGCCTCTGCTCTGAATATAATTTATGGATACATTTTTCAAGGATTTCAAATTAATTTCGGACCACGTTTAGTTAGGTTTTCCAAAAGATTCCATTTGTAGCTGTAAGGGATTCCAATAATCCCATACAGACAGGATGGAAAAGAAGAGAAGCTCCTCCGGAGACCAAGCATTCACATATTTTTTTGCACTTCCGGAGCAGAGTGTGTGTGCCTGGAGCTTCAATAAAGGACAATCCATAATTCATTGGTTGAAATGCATTCAGAATGGACCACATGACCATGTCTCTTGCATCTCACGGTAAATTGCATTAAAATTGTCATTCGATAAAGCATTTATCGAGTGTCCAGTTCTCTCTCTCAAATGTTTGCTGTTTGTGTCATATCAGGAATTTGCTGTTCACTTCACATTAAAACCGAATTCGTGTTTCATATTAATGGAAATATTTGATGCGGAATTATTATTGTTTCCTTGGAGATGATTTATTTTTTGTGTATTGCCTTGAGGGCGGATTCTCCCCTGTTGACTACCTCGTAAATATGCGTTAAATGAATTTATGATGTTTCTGATTCGCATTAAATGAGCAGAACATAAACAAATTCGAATGTAATTCAATTTTCTCTCTCCCCCGAGAACCTTAACCCACCAAAAATCGATATAGAAAATAAGTTCTCTGCCTGCGCACACTTTCTCTGGGACTTTTGGGTTCTTTCACAATTTTCGCTCTTGCCCCCAGAACGTATAAATCTGCGGTGCTCCTCAATAAAAATAGACACATTCACAGTTTCAATTTCAACTAGACGACGGCTGCAATTTCCTCTATTTTTTGTTCGGATTTTTCTGTTTTTTTTTTTTGTTGTTTTGTCGGCAAAGAGCAACGCAAAAAAGAGGCCTTGCCACATTTCAATTTGGGGGCACAGCATCAGCAGCGGCAGCTGATTCGCAAAAGTTTTAATTGAGTTTTTGCAACCAATCGAATAATCAAATCAAAACTCATTACAATAAAAGCGTAGCGAAAAGAACGGACCGGCAAAGAAATTAGTGCAATCGAATTAAGGCTGCAATAAGGCCAATCAAGTTATTAATCGAATTAACGCGGCTCACGACGACAAAGAAAAAGGTGAAAAAATGTTTGGCTGCATTTATCAGCTGTGGGACTGGTGAGTAGCGCAAATCTCGTAGATCCCTCCACGCATATGACCCCTCTGTATGACCCATTCCCATTCCCACCCCCACAATTCCCATCCCCCTTCTCAAACCCGCAAGGTCAGCCTGCGTCTGCGGCCGGGGCGGCAACTGCAGTTAATCAATTACGGTCAATTACGTGCTGAGCCAGTTGCATTCAACGGCCAGTGGGTTCCGTGCCTTCCGCAGCTCGCGAACATGAAAAGTCTGGGAAAATGGAGCTTAACCCTAGGTGTATATAGTGGAATCTTACATGAAATATTTACTATTTTGTTACCTTTAAGTTTTAGTACGAATTATGAACTTTTAGTGTGTAATAATTTAGACAGAAGCATATAACACAGTGAAGGAATCATTTCCGACCCTATAAATCATATATGTACATATATTTATGATCAGCATTAAAAGCAGAGTCGATCTAGCTATGTCAGGTAAAAAAATAAATTTTCAAAATTTTTTTTCGAAATTTTGAAAATTTTATAAGGGTTACATTTTTAATATTGTCAAAAATTGACAACAAATTTAATTTCTTCAATTTTAAATCTGAGTATGAAGATTTGTAAGCCTTATAAAAAACAAAACTTATTTCCGAATTGAAATTAATGCATTATTGGCCGAGTTATAATATTTGAAAATGTTAGATTTACCCAAAAATTTAACATCTAATAAAAATATTAGTTTTATGACCTTATTTATGCTGCGTTTTCTTGGCAAGGGTAGAAATGCTTTTCCATTTTCTAAAATAATTGAATATTAGTTTAAGCAAAGCTATAGTTCGCTGTGCTTTAGGTTAATCGTTTTAGAAAGTGAGAAAGAAAGTTCGAATTTTATTTAAGCACTATTATTTTTTATCAGTGCAAAACCTGACATTTCTAGGGTTAATTTGTGTTGTCCACGCAATCAAATTAAGTCGAACGACCTCAACTGATTGAATCACAGTTCCGCTTGCCTTGCGAATTTCCACTGATCTTCCGCCATTTTTTCCGTTTTGCAGGTTGGAGGCGCCACCGCTCTTCACCGCCGGCACCATGGACGCCAAGAAGCTGCAGCAACTGCAGGAGGCGGCGATTCTCGCCCAGCAGCAGAAGAAGCTGCCGCTGGCCTACCAGACGAATCTCGTTGACTACCGGACGGCGGCATATAGTCAGGCACTCTACCAGCAGTCACCAACGGCCACGAGTTCTAGTGGCGGAGGAGCACTGTCGCCGATCGAACTCCAACCGCAGTCCAAGCACCATGGCCTCATGAAGCACGGTCACGGCGGTGGAGGCACTTCGAGCAGTTCGCACAGTTCCCCTTACCATCAGTCTTACTCGAGCAGCGGTGGCGGGACAGCCGCTGGTCAGGAGCAGTTGTATCAATCACCCACGGAGCGCACCTATCTGGCGGCAGCGGGCAGGTTGCAGGCCAGCAATGCCACTGCCGGCCATCATCCCATCTCGGCTCTACAGGCACAGTACCAACAGCTGCAGGCAGCCAAGATGCAGGCTCAGCTTGCCACCCAGAACGAGGCGGCTCAGGCGCAGCAACGGACCTTTGCCATGCGACAGGCCATGAATCCGCCCACCAATCATTATCACATGAGTCAGTCCCCCAGCATGGTGTCCACTCTGACGCAGCAGCAGCAGCAGCAGCAACAGCAGCAGGCACAGCAGCAGCAGAGGGCACCTCCCTCATCGCTCAATTTGCAGAATCAGTATCAACCAGCTCAGGGTCCACTGAAGCTGCAACAGCAGCAGCAGCAACAGCCTGTGATGCCCAAACACTACCAGGAGCAGCTGTATGCCCAGCAGCAACAGATGCAGCAGCAACAACAGCAGTTGCTGCAACAACAGCAGCAACAGCAGCAGCAGCAGCATCGACACAAGACCGACCTTCAAACACCTGGCAGTGAGCACGGTACCGTGTACATTCAACAAAACCATCCCGGACATGTGGTGAACCAGGCCTGCCAGACACAGATATCGGCTGTTAAGCCCAAGGCCACGCCAAGCTCAGAGGAGTCCTCGACCAACTCGGCCAAGAGTCCTTCGCACGCGCCTTTGGACAGAAAGAAGAGCGCGGGATCCATACAGGCTCTTAAGTCACCAATTACCAAGAGACCACCATCCACACCGGTGACCTTATCGGGTTGGTTGCACAAACAAGGTTCCGATGGCCTAAAGGTGTGGCGCAAACGGTGGTTCGTCCTGGCGGAATACTGCCTATACTATTACAAGGGACCGGAGGAGGAGAAGCTTCTGGGATCTGTGCTGCTGCCCTCGTATCGAGTATCCGCCTGCTTGCCGGAGGACAAGATCTACCGCAAGTTTGCCTTCAAGTGCGAGCACCAGAACATGCGGACCTACTGGCTGGCGGCGGACAACTCCGAGGCCATGATGCAGTGGGTCAGAGCCCTGGCGGCGGCCAGCTTAATGCAGGCACCCAGCAGCGGGGAGTCGGAACCCAGTGTGAACTCCTCGTTGAATCACAGCGGTGAGAACTCTGATTCCGGGATTCATACGTTGCAATCGCAGCCCAGCAAGGGACAGCCGACGCCATCCTCGGATAATGCGGGAGGAGGAGGCAATGGAGGCAATGGAGGAGGTGGAGCCCAGCCGCTCTACGCCAATGCCCCACCCAAGCCAAGACGTATCAATGATGGAGGCTACTCATCACCCTCACCCGAGCATCACGAGCAGCAGCAGCAGCAACACTCCGGTCGCCGTCTGATGTCGCCCACCCAACAACTCTACCAGCAACAGCAGCAGCAGCAACAGCACCAACGATCTCAACAGCAGCCGCAGCAGCACCATGCCATCTACGACACAAGGACGGGACACGTATCCACCGCCTTGCAGTTGCAACAGGCCCAGCAGCAGTACTCCCTGGACCATCTGGAGGCGCAATTCCAGCAGCAACAACTGGATATGGAGGCGCAGATAGCCAGGTTGCAGCAGCAGCGGGCCGCCGAGGAGATCTACGGCGAGCGGGAAATGTACATGGCCAAGCTGATGCAGCAGCGTCAGGGAGCAGGCGGTGTCTATCCCACACAACAGCAACTCTTGCAGGCCGAGAGACGCACTCCGGATGCCTATGGGCGATCCAAGCAGCAGCGCCTGTTCGCCGCTGCCGCTGCTGCAGCGGATTACGAGGATATCTACAACATGTCACAACTGGCAGGAGGAGGAGGAGCAGGTGGAGCCATGTCCGCCCAGGAGGCACTGCTTCAGGAGGCTGCTAGCTATCGGCGTCCCCTCAGCCCGCCCAGCTACGATGGCAGCAAACATGTGCCAGCGATGCCACAACGCTACACACCCAATCACATGGAGGTAAGTTTGGAAGAGAAGGAGAAACTTGACGAAAAGAAGGATGAGGAGGTAACCAAAGTGGAATTTTGAACAAATATCTAGTCGAGTAACTTTAGCTTTTAGATTTCAAGAAATGAGTCCATTTTTAGAAATAATTATAAAGAATAGAAAAGAAATTTCCCTTTAATGCTTAAAAGCTTTGTCAGGATCTTTTCAAAATCTAATAGTTTGTGCATTCCAGAAGATGTCTGTTTTAGCCCAAACCAAAAGTGCACTTTACAAAGGCAATCAAAATGACCAACCGCTGCCACAGGCAACAAAGAGCTGCGATTCCAATTGCGATTGCTGATGACCTGCCACTTGACTCGGCATCCATGGCTTTATGGGTACTTGGTAGCTTGAAACTCAGAACTCGGGGGCGTGGCACCCGCGAAGGTCAGCCCAGCAAATCATCTGCGATGCCACTTGATGTTGTCTGATTGCAGCAAACGGAGGAGCTGTGAGCTGTGAGCTCTCAAGAGCTCGGGAGAAAACTCTGGATGGCTGAGAGGTTGCTTTACAGTTTTTATATGTGTATATTTCCGCACCTCTCCTTTTGACCCAGTTGGCCAAGTCCCCCCGTCTGGTGGTTTCCACCTCAGCACGTATCAGCTTTTCACTTTTATTTGCCCTTGCCGGGCGCCTGTTCTCCGCTGATATAACTCCACAAAAGCCGCGCTGCAACACAAAAGCCGCCTCAGGTGGAGCAGGACCAGTGAGGGTGTGTGCCGGGCAGAGTGCACCCATTGATGGACGGGTTGGGAGCCAGTCTTTCTCGGAAACTTTCGGTTTCAAGCAGCTGCCTCGAGTCCCGAGTCCGGAGTCCGCAGCGCACTCTTTAATTGGACTTTAGTGTGTCAGTGGGTTGCTAAATTGCAGACGTTTCTTCAACGAGGGCTCCTCTCCCGTTCCTGGCCGCTGTGCTGCAATTTCCTTCGAATGCAACTTTATGAGCTCTTCGCCCCTTTGGCCCGGGAGTGGGAGTGGGAGTGGATGAGGGAGTGGCATCCGGAGAGGGCGTCGGGAGCAGCTGCTTAGTGGGTCAGGTCAGGCGCTGCAAGTTAGCCGGGAAATGAGTCGCGTGCATGATTTATGGCCAAAGGCCCTGGGCCCAAGACCAGCTGCGCGCTGAAGTTTGTTCTAGTATGCGCCTGCCAAGTGTCGAACAAGTTACAGGGCACGCCAATCTTCCACACTCAGCAAAGATATTTTTTGTGTAATTTGAAATGTAAATCCTAAAATAAGTTTGCTCGCTATGCAAGCTAAACAAAGCGTGACAGAAGTGTTTGCACTGTAAAGCAGACAGCTTCTACATAGCTCTCGAGGTCCTCCAGGTGTAACTGGGAATGTAACTTTAAATAATAATAATAACCGATTTCTTCAAGTGCTAGAACTAGTTAAAAATGGAAAAAACCCTACTCCCCTTGCGGCCATTAAATGCCCTTACTTAATCTGCTCGCTTTTTTTCCAACCCAATTCCGCAGGCCGGTGCCGCAGATCAACTAATCAATACCATGGACTTGCGTGCCCGCTCTGTGGCGGCCATAGTGCGTCCACACTCCGCGGATTTCCTGGAGTACGAGGCCCGTGCCGAGGCTGCTGCAGCTGCTGCCGCCGCAGCGGTGGCCCAGAGCCAGCAGGAGAGTGGCCGTGCCCCAAGACCCAAGTCCAGCCTGGACATTAACCGTACCCCAGATAGCTTCTACTATTCGGAGGCCAGCTATGCGGACAAGATGCGCAAGAGCGCTTTATATCTACAGAGCGGAGGAGCGGGTGGAGCCCAGCCCCAGCAGGCGGGTAGCTATCGTACCGCCACCGGGGACTTTGGCTCTGGAGTAAACACCATTGGCTATGAGAATCCCTATGAGCGAGCCTACAAGCGGCAGGAGCTGCTGGCCGAGGCACAAGCTCAGGGTGGAGCTGCTAGTAGCATGCCGCGCATGAGCCGCTCTGCGAGCCAAGGACGTTCGGTCACCTCGCAGCTGCAGTCGCCGCAGCAGGAGGATCTGCCGCCCCTGAATGTGCATCCGGGTTCCATTTTCCCGCCATCGATGTCCACGCAAGAGATCATCAGCAAGAACGAGCAGTTCCTGCGTTCCGCCAGCGCCCGACTGCCCAAGCGGTCGGGTGGCATGGATGACGATTACTCCGCAGGCAACTCGACCACCACCTCGCCCACTGGAGCATCCAATTCGCCGCAGCATAACCAGGATGGAGAGCGGAAGCGAGAGGAGTCCATGAAGCGACTGCTCGAGTGGAAGCAGCGCATGCTGCAGTCCCCATTGACGCGAAAGGGCATCCAGCAGGGCGGCAGCAATATGTCTGCCATGTCCAAGCTGGGCAGCAATCCGAACATCCTGCTGGCATCCACAGCTGTGGCCAGTGGAGCACGCTATGGCCCCCAGGCGGGCAAAACGGGTCTGGTGGGGAATGGCAACGGCAATGGGAATGGTAGTGCCACCGGAGCTGGCAATCCACCAACAGCCGCTGGCATCCAGCGATCCCGATCGGAGAGTCAGGCAAATGTGGGTCCTGGCGGAGTGGTGTACAACAGCTACTCCTCGGACGATGAGGGTGAGTGCTAAATCAGCAATGATAATCCCCAAATACGTATTATCCATATTTTTTGCTTGGCTTCAACTCTGTCCCTATTTAGTACTTTTCTATCTGTATCTGTATCTGTATCTGTAACTCTCTATTCCGTATCTAAACGTTAATGCGCTACTTTATTTGTAAAACATTTTCATTTACTTTGAAATAATAATGAGAAATTATTTACTGCTTAAAGAGCTTGATTTATAATAATAATCTAGGCTTCTGAATGTCTTCTTGGTTAGATTTCACACCAACCAAAATTAAATCACCTTGATTTCATGCCATAAATATGTTTTTAAATTAATTAATTGTTCAAGCTCATAATATAAAACTTTTTTAACATAAAATATGATCAATTTAAGTTTCCATGACAAATTTGATTTACTTTTTCTAAATGCTCTTTAATTGTTTACTAAATAAATGTAACGTTGACAAATAAGGCGTGCACATAAACGTGACCTATATGTATCTCTGCCTACATCCATAAAGTATTCGTATTCGTATTCGTATTCGTAGATGTATCTATCTGGCTCTGTAGCTGTTGCTAACCGTGATGCATTTTTCCTTGTATTTGCTCTTTGGCCTTGCTTTCAGTTAGTTGCATGTTAGATAACAACAGCTGCATGCCTCTTTGTTTTTGTACTTTCCTGACGGATTGCAAGCTGCTGCAGAGCTGGAAGAAAAACTCTTTAAAACAAAAGCACTTTCAGTGGCAGAAGCTTCTGTTTTTGACTGCCATAATCCCCCCATTTAAGCCTTTTCCTACCATTTTAATGCTAATTTATTAGGACCTGGCGCCAGACTAAACAATTAAAAGCTTCATGTAGTTTAATACTTGTGTGTTTTTGCCATTTTTTATTGCCTTGTTGCGTTCTTTTATGGCTTAATAAATACGGTTAATTAAATAGAATAGAAAAAAGAGATGGCCACTTTTTGCGAGAGACAAAAGCTTGTTAAGCGAAATCGAAAATAAACAACGAAAACCTTCCTGCCGTGCGCACACCCAAAGACACAACCACACACCATCCATCCATCAACACACGCACCCTTATACACACAGCAATCAGAAGCAAATTTAAATTTCAATGAATCGAGTATTTAAGAGGCGTTGCCGTAAAGTAGGCAACTTCTTAAATTAAATTTTGGACTGGTTTGAGTCTAAAATATAAACAAAACAAATAAATACCCTTGCAGTTATTCATAGGATTAGAGGTTTGAATGTGAAATCGATCAAAACTAAGTCAAAGATGTATAAATCTCAGAAATTTCAAGATTTTTTGACAATTTCATTAATGTATGATGTTTTCAAATGTTTTATTCTTTATTGGTTAGAATTTAGAATGCAAATAGAAATATACATATTTGACTTTTGGCAATCATTGGCTTTTTGGCCTTCGTAGACCTATCAGAAGAAAGGCATATCAAATAAATATTTCCATATGCTAATTTTTGGGTAAATACAAGTTTTTCGTATATCATAACTAAGCCAAAAATGCATTCATTCCAATTCGGAAAGCTGTTCTGTGCTAGTTTTTATAGGGCTAACAAATCTGCATACACAGATTTAAAATATAAGAAATCCAATTTTTTTTTTAATTTTAAAATTTTATAAAAATTTAATTTTGACCGGATGTAGATCGATTCGCTTTTTGATGCTAATCAAGAATATATATATAATTTATAGAGTCGGAAATGATTCCTTCACTGTGTTTGAGGCTTCTGACTGAAATGGTAATACCCTGCAAGGGTATAAAAACTATAACTTTTCGGTTCTTCGACATATTTTCATCTAATAATCATAATCTGTATTTCAATTTTAATTGTGTTCAAATCGGTTGGATATATCATACATAGAAACGATCGGTAAATGTACAGGAAAATAAAAATATCACAAACTGTTGATATGACATATATAGGTTAATATAGTGTTGCATTGCTTCATTATGCTGTGTCACTTTATATTACAATTAAGTTATAAGATTGATGGCAATAGGGGAATGAATCGGGAAATAAGAGGCCAGATCCCGCCTATAGCATCTATATAAATAATATAATTTTCATGCTTAAGACTTACCGCAGTATAGATACACGTCATCCTTCCGGTGTAGAGTTATATTCTTGGCATCATCGAAGTAAGCTTCATCCAGGTTATCCAGATGTGTTCCATAGGCCACGTCATATTTTTGAGGCTGTAGGTTAATCACTATCACTCCCACTATCACTTTAGGTGTTAACACTGCGAGGACCACGAACAGACTGAAGCCGGAGCGGCGGGCTGAGCCTCTATTTATAGTCCCAGAGCGTCAGAGCAAAGAGAATAACAGAGAGTGTAAGAGCGAGAGCGCGCTAGAGAAAGAGTTACCTCTGGAGAATGTCAGAGAGTGGCAGAGAGTAAGAGTTACGTCTAGAGGTAGCCAGTGGGAGATGGAGAGTTAGGCATACGTTCAACGATCATATTTATGAAAGCTATATGATATAGTCATCCGATTTTGATAAAATTAATACCGAAAATAATAGAAAATACTTTTGCATTTATATAGATGAAAATATTATGAAAACTGGATAAGTTTTAATATGTTTTCTAGACGGACATGGCCAGATCGACTTGACTGATCAAGAATATATATTATATTAATATCCTGCAAGGGTATAATGAAACATAAACATTTCGATTTATATAGCATACATATTTTGGTTTGGTTCTATTTGATCGAACAGTGGAGTTGGATATAAACCGAAACCAAAAACAAATAAACATTTCCGTAGTCGATAAATCTATTTATTTCACAAAACCCCTTTCTCCCTCTATCTATCTTTCATGGGTTTAGTAAACATTTTTTTTTTTTTTTGTTGGCGTAGTCACTTATTCCCGTATACTACATTTTTCCCATCATGAAAACCACCGGGTGCTTGGTATTTCCACTACTAAATGCCGCTGTAAACTTCGCACTAAAACCCAATACAACCAAAAAAAAAATCAAAATAATAATAAAATACAAAAAAAAAAAACCAAAACTCAAACTCAATCTGGGATCCATAGCGCAATCGACAACCCACTTTGATTGAATTGAATTTAATTACATGCCAACCAGCTCGATATACAAATATGTTTTATATTTCTTCTTTTCCATACGTACTATATAAAATAATTCGTTGTTGGTTACTTGTAAACCCAATGCCTCATAATTTTGTAAATGCTGTAAATCGATCAAAAAACATACAAAAAAAATACATAAACAAACTCGCTAAAAACATAAACAAAACGCACGATAACGCAGCTGGCACTGTGGATGATGATGATAACTTGTATAAAGCGGCGGCAGGAAGGTCACCATCTAAGGCAGCAGCAACAACAGCAGCAATAGGTACAACAATAGCAGCAACAGCAACCGTAGCAATAGCAACAACATCAGCAATAGAAACCCTTAGAAAAGTAGAGAGTCCCAAGCCCACACCAACCACGACGACAGGCCCAGTCACAGGCACTGCCAAATTCCAACTGAAGCCCATCCTGAAAGTGCACGAGGCCAGCAAGACCCGCATTATTCAGGTGCAGCCCAAACAGCCCGAGGAGGAGAGGCCCAAGCTCAAATTACACCTGCCCCAGACAAAGGAGGTGGCCAAAGGAGCTTTGGAAGCAGAGCTGGGAGAGCATCAGGCGGAGCTGGCAGAGCATCCTCTGCCCATTTTGCCAAAGAAGGCGGCCCCCAAGTCGCCGCAGAATGCCAATTATGTGCCCGTGTACAGCAATAAGCTGGTCAGCAACTACGAGAACATGGAGTTTGGCAAGCCAATCCCCGAAAGCAAGTCCCTAGAGAGCAGTGAAGCGATTACGGATCCCGAGGAGACGCCCATGCTGATGCAGCTCAAGTTGTTCAAAGAGCAGCAGCGGCAGCAGCTCGGGGAGAGTGTGGAGCAACAACAGCTGGAGGAGGACCTGACACCCACGGCGGAAAGTAAGCCAATGCCTGGGGAGGATTTCGATGGAATCAGGGAGAAACATGGTGGAGAGACTGACGGGGAAGAGGAGGAGGAGCAGGACGAGGATGATAGCACTGCCTGTGAGGAGTACACAGATGATGATATAGATGAGGCTCTAGCTCAGGATGATGATGACGGAGCTTCAAAAGCAGATGAAATGGAGTTGCAAGAGCAGGAGCAGAAGGAGGAAAAGGAAATGCAACAGATATATGTGAATGAGCCCATCACTCCCACCGAACAGCAGTTCGACGAGAGTCACTATTTGCCCATGACGCCCAAGAAGGCGGAACTGGGCCAGCCAGGAGTCCTTACACTGGTGGCCACACATGAGAGCTATGAGGAGGAGAATCACTATGTGGAGATGACAAAGGGCATCCAGGACGAGGATAACAAGGGCAACTACGAGATCATGTGCCTGGCAAGCACTAGCTCCAGCGCCTTCAAGCCGGCCACCAAATCGGAACCGGTCTATATGGAATTAGCTGGAGTCAAGGGCGCCCCACCGCCACCGCCAACCGAAGAGGCTCACTGCTCCTCAGGTCGGTCCACCCTCAAGAAGGGCAAGAAGTCTGGAACGGAGTCTTTAAAGAAAAAAACGAAAAAACGGCAGGGCAAGGACATGCCCGACATCCTCAAGCCCGCCAAGAGTGCCCTGGCGTTGGCCAGCGATAGCTCTGATGCTGATGACGAGAGCAGCCGGCAGCAACTGGAGGCGAAGAAACTCCGCTCCAGGTCGCGATTCAGTCTGTCGGATACCTTTAGGCCTGCTTCATACTACTTGGGAGCCTCCACGCCCCTCAACAACTATGCAGAGAGCTCGGACAGCGAGATACTGCCACCACCGCCGATTCCAGACTCACCGCCGCCCATGGAGGATCTCAAAACAGAAGAGATCTTCTCCTCGGAGCACTATGACACAGTAAAGAGACGGGATAGCCAAAGCAAGGTCACGTTGTCATACGAACAACTGCCCAAGATGCATGCCAGCAATACGTCCCTGAACCTACCAAAGGCTGTCCCTAGTCCCACTCTAAAGAGCAGTCGCCTCTCTTTGCCCGATCACTTTACCAAGGTGAGAGCCACTCCTCCCCAGAGACTACAGGTGGTAGCAACGCCATCGCAGCAGCACCACGCCCGCACCTTGTCGGACTCCAATTACAGCTGTCAGCTGACGGATAACAGTGGATCCCGCACTTCCTCTGACCTGGATTTGTACCGCCGGAGGGGACAGCAGCAACGCTGTACCAGCAACAACTCTCTCCCTCTTAGCAGCGAGAGTGAGTCTGTGGAATTCCGACAGAGATCCGACTCCGAGTTGGATCGCCAACGATCAAGGAGACCGCTGTCCCAAGAGTCCATCAGCGAGATAGAGTCATTGAGCGAACAGTTTGAGGAAACGCTAAGCAGCCACGAACTGGACACCTATCTGAGTCACCTTCACCTGCCCACCGGTCAGGCCACTCCCACAAGTCACCATCTTCTGAACGATGCCAATGCTGCAGCGGGAGCCGATATCCTAACCAACCTCATCAAGCCACCAAAGACATTCCGCAATGCCGAAGATGAAGAGCAGCACTTTTATGGGAACATACACTTCCTGTCCTCCACGGACTCTATCCAACAGTTGGGTGAGGGAGCAGCAGCTGCACTGATGGTCATGCATAGTAGAAACAATAGCAACATATCCACGCAATCTGCACCTTACTATTACTCTGAGCTGCCAACAGCGGCAGCCACTTTGAATAATCAGCGGGAGATCCATGCCCATGGGCTGAACATTGCGCACATTCACAATCCCATCAACAGACAGCAACAGTTCGATATGGATGCATTGGTGGACAAGGATCAGGCAATTGATAGCAAGAATCTGTACTGCGTAAAGGACAACAACGAAAAGCTAAGCAACAAGCTGAACAACCTAAAGCTAAAGCTGGATGCGGCAGAGCCACCGGAGAGTGGCGGTAGTGGTGCACTAAACCCATCACATTCATATCTCACAACTACTAAAAACACAAACCTCGCTCGTAAGACGATTGGTGGTAGCATCCCGTTGGATGGTGGAAGTGGCGGAGCCCCTAACAACGATGGTGCTGGTGATGATGCTGGTGCCGAGGCCGGAGGCAAGACCCAGATCCCATCGAATAATGCCAATCAAAACCTTTCAGTTCTAGGTGGCGAGCTGCTCTGGGAGGAGGATGCCCTGTGGCGGGAGAGTTTACGTAGGGTATCCCAGAGGCATGCGCGTTCCCTGGATGACCTGGACAGGATTGCCACAGGTCCGGTGTCCAGCTCCACGCCGAAGGTAAAGCTTACCAGAGAGGTGACCTATGTCAATGACAGCCTGAAGCCACGGCAGCAACAGCAGCAGCAGCAGCAGCAGCTGCAACCACAGTCACAACCTCAAATCAATGACGAGCATGATGTCTATGTTCAGCTCCTGGACAACTCCACCCTCAGCCAGGACCAGACGGATTCGGATGTGTATGAAGTGCTGCGAGAGGAGACTGCCTCTAATTTGTCGCACAAATCCAATGAGCTGGATCGCGAGACCATTCGCCAGTGGGATGCCATGTCCAGTGGACTAATGAAGAGTCACCACAGCAACACAGAGGCTGCGGGGACACCCAGCTCAGGATCAGCCGTTGCCCATCTGCCCCTCACCAGCAATGTGCGCTCCATCATCCAGCAGTTAAATAGCAGCGGTGATGACGCCAATGGCAATCCCATGAACAAGTCAACGAGGAGTAGTAACAACAATCAATGATGCAGTTGGATTCCCGTCTCACCCAAAAATATATGCAATGCTTTGCATGGGTTTTAGTTCAGATTTTAGTTTTCCATTTTCCATTTCCCATTTCTGTTTGCATTCTGCGAGTTATTTCATTTCATATTGGAGATAGTTCTCTCTATCTATTTGTTTATGTTGATTGATTTGTTACTGTTGCTGTTTGTTGTCGTCATTATTGTTGTGTTGTTTTGTTTAATTAATCAACTGGTAAGCAAACTTATATTTATTTATCAAATACCCACAACTATCCACATATCTCATTAAGTCATTAAAGCGCTTGTATATACGCCACTCATTACCAACACCACCTCTCACACACGATGCACTCTCCCTCCTCCCAGTCACGCCGTAGAGTTGAGAATCCCACAGATAGATAGATAGATACATAGATAGATAGATAGATAGATGGGTACATCTTTTGGGCAGCATCAAGAGATTATGCAACGATTTCCGCTTTATCCCTTACACCCGTAGCCATATCCATGTTTCTTTCCCTATCGAAATAGATAAAAAATAAACCAAAGAGCCATTGAAAATAAAAATGAAATTAAATTAAAACTATTTCCGGCATTCGCTAACCGAAAACTGATTGCTTTTCTAAATATTTCGCGCACGCATTGAAACTATTCTAAGCCCGCCGCCTCCCACGACCATCTGACATACCCTAAAGTGCCTAATTTAAATCTCTCCTGACCTTATAGCCTCGATTTCGGTGCGCAATGTGAGCAATCTGCCCATGGGTAATCTGACGGTGAAGCCAGATCCCTCGGATGCCATGCACCAGGAGTCTGCCTTCGCCCCTTACTATGGAGGAGCGGCCGAGACGAAATATGCCAAGAACACAGTGCTCACGGATCGGGGACTCTACGCCGGAAACGGTGTCCAACTGGCCACATCAACGCCGCAGCATCAGCAGCAGCAGTTCCGGATGCGACGCACTGGCAGTCGGGCGGAGATCGATATGCTGGAGCGGGAAACGAGCACTCAGATAAGGGTAAGTCTTTACTTAAAGAGTCTTAAGACTTTAACAGGAAGTTTCAGGGGGAATACATTGGGGGTACAAGCTGTACCCTTTATTTAGTTAAGTTTTCGAGACCAGGGTTGGTTCCTGCCTCTTGGAAACTGACCCAGACCATACTCACGATTTCACACAACCCACAGAACTTGGACGTGTCGGCAGGGGATTTGCTGAGTCGCACCCACGAGGAGCTGGTCCTGCTCCTGATCCAGCTAAGGCGCCAGAGCAGCCAGACTGCCAGGGCCATTGAGCAGTGCTGCAGCGACATACATGATGTGCAGGTGGATAAACAATTGATTAAATCCATGTTTATCGGTGGGGGCTAATCTGGTGCTGGTTCTTTTGCGACTAACTCTTCAAGCTTTTTGTCTGACTAATCCAATTATTTGGTGACCTTAACTAACTCTTTTATACTGAATCCCCTAGAATCGCTTGCGCAGTGCCGAGGGATTGACCAGAGCCGAGAGCATCCAGAGATTGGATTACTTGAAGCAGCACCTGCTCGACCTGGAGCGGCACTATGAGAAGAGCAAGCCGCTGGTCAATCTGGTGGATAACATGGTCAAGTTGGGATCCTTGTATCGCAACGATGCCAATGGTCGAGTCCAACCCGTTACCATAGAGCGTTTGGAGTTCAATCAGCGCATGCAGGAGCGGAACATGCTGCAGGAGGAGCAGCAACAGTGGGAGCGTTTGAGTCCCAATCAGGCGGAGTTGCAGGTGAGCTTAAGACAAATTATTGGTCAAACTATGATTCAAATATTTGTAAACTTCCCTCCTAACATTGACTAACATTTTGTGTCCCATTAGGCCAAGGTACGTGAGCTATACCAACTGGATCAGTTGTTGCAGGAGGAGTCTGGGACTCTGCAGAGTCTCCAGCGGGACAAGGAGGACCTCGAGCGTGCTCTGGGAGGACTCAGAGCTCGTATCCACGATAGCAATGCCACTCCAATGGCCCTGGAGGCCGCCAAGAAGCAGCAGCACATCCTGGAGCGCGAACTGTCGCGGGTCCATCAGCTGCTGGCCGAGAACTCAAAGGTATCCAAGGTGCCTAGTAGAAGTTTTTTGCATTTTTTTACCCACGCGTCCACGTGGGATGCGTGTTATTTGTCTGCTTGAGCTTCGCATGTCGCTTGTGTAACTAACAACTCATTTTTGAATCCCACAAAGCTCTCTTCTTATTGAAGGATTAATCTCCGACCTGTCATAGATGAAACCGGAGTACATGTGTGTGACATTAAGAGTCTTAAAACAATTTAATTACATTAATTAATACATTTTTGTTGAAGAAGATGACATGATTAATGCAAAAGACTTCTCATGTTTGTAGCCTCTGCTGCATGTGCCATAGCAAAAGTCTCAGAATAACCAAAACTAACCAAAATCTTGCCTTACAGAAATTGGAGCAGACAGTGGCGGGAAATGCCCATCTGGAGCAGGAGCTTCTACTTCTTCGTCAGAAGGTGCAGGCCAGCCGTGGAGAGGTCGCCAACGGAATGGGTAGTGATGCTGCACACATCAATGGAGATCAGACGGCCGCCGTGTTGCAGTCGGAGTTGGAGAGAGTCCAGTCTCTGGTGGGTGACATGCAGAGGCAGCGCCACGAACTCAGCTCGGCGGTGCGCCAGCTCACAGAAAACTCAACCAGGTTGTACCAGGAGATTGGAAATAAGGAGATGAACGGTGGTGGCTCCACCAATGGCAGTCTGAAAAAGCGCAGCAACTCTACGAGCTGGACAGAAACCGATCTGGATGCCAACATGTTGCGAAGCGGCAGCCGTCAGCAGTTGAATGACTCCTCCTTGAACCTATCTACACCCTTGTATGTGGACACGAACAATGGTTCGACCAAGCTGAGCGACTACAACCGATACAATGGCGGCGGAAGCAGCGATGCCCTGGAGATGAGTGGAGTGGATAGCGATGGCTTCTTGGACAGCAATCCTTTCGCCACCGCCCTGGAGAAGCAGGAGATCAAGACGGTGAGAATTGTAAAGCGGGAATCTGAGCGGAGGCATCGTGATCGCAGCGAAAGGGGACTCAGCAGCTCCACACAGAACCTGGATCAGGTCCTGGAGGAGGAGCAGTATGCCCAGCAACAGCAAATGCAGCAGCAACAACTGTACGCCCAGAGCTTGGAGGAGCAGATGAGCAATGGCCACCACAGCCGCTCCAAGTCCCTGCCCCGGAACTACAGTGAGCCCCCCAAGCCGCGACACAGTCGCCACATGAACGGAAAGCAGAATGGCCACCACTACAACGGTGGCTACGATTACGACCGGAACAGCAACTACGAGCACCAGCCGCCACCACCACCGGCTCCCCAGAGCAATGGACACCATCACTCGCAGCGAGAGCAGCGGGAGCATCTGAATCCACTGGCCAATGCCTACTTTGCCAAGCAACTACAGCAGCAGGCGAATCCCTCCCGGGACAGTGCACGTGTGGCCCTCAGGACCAAGACCGATTCCCTACAGAGCCTCAACAAGAGCTTGACGGACATCAGTCCGGAGCCCGTGTTTCAGAGCGTGGCTGCTCGCCAGATTATCAACGAAATGTCCGCTGGTTCGGCATCGGAGGACACCGAGAAGGTGGTGGAGAAGGTGCCCCCTCCGCATAAGCATCGTCGAGCGGTTCCCCGCGAGAAGAGGCGACACTATACGGCACCCAACAATGTCAACCAAAAGGCCATGGAGAAGGTACAAGCTGAAAACGATATGAATCGAAATGTGAGTGTAAAATAAATTAAATTTATCTTATACTTGATTATTTCATAAATCCTATTTATTTAGAACACAAACTGGCGAGCACGCGATGATCTGGACATGGAAGTGGCTCTGAGGCCAAGGATGAATGCTCCTGATGTGATTCGTTCTGCCCTGGGACAGGGTGAGAAGATCTCGGAGAATACCATTGATAACTTGCTCTTGGCTCCAAACAAAATAGTCATACCCGAGCGTTACATACCAGAAACAGTGAGTAAATACAAAGGCAATCTTTATAATATATATTAAAATATATTATTTATCCAAAACAGACGCCTGAGCTGTCGCCGGAGGAGAAGAAGCGTCGCCAGGAGAAGGTGGAATCCATCAAAAAAATGCTGTCCGAGGCGCCTCTTAGCAGCAATGTGAGTTTTTCATCAATTTACTTAATTAAACATGAGATGTGAAAATGATATGCATTTCTAGGAAAATGAGACCCTGCCGCCGAGCAAAATCAATGCGGAGAAGAAACAGCGCGAACACCTTTTGCAGCTAAATCAAATCCTGGCCCAGCAGGTGATGCAGGTCAGCAAGATTGTGGCCGGTAAGTTCAGAGAACCCAGGATACATTTCCTCAGAGAGACTTTAGGTTAAGTTCCTATTGAAGCAAGCCCGAAGCAAATTCCCAAATCAAACGTATTATGCAATGCCTTGCAAGTTGAGTTTCTGTTCCATGTTCTTCCGTTCCTACTAATGTGCTCTTCACTCACCGAATCGAGCCCATAGACCTAAGTGTTATGTGTATATATCCCTAAGCGTTTATTCAGTGTAATCTAACTATGCCAGTTAGCCCCACCATGACCCCACCCATTCATTCTGATCTGTCAACTCTATGCTCTCTTCTAATCTCTATATATGTATCTTCTTTCAACTCTTTCTGATTTCTAGATGATTAATGATAAACCATATCATAAGCATACCATATAATCTAAGCGTTGCTTCCCCTCCGTTCGAATCAAGATTCTCTCTAAGATCATCATTCCCCCATCACCTTCTCATTGCGAGCGATGTCCCTGATGGCGATGATATTCCTTCATGACCCCTTTTCACACACCCACACACCAGCACCCACAACCACGCCCACTTATACACTTCAGACACTGTCTACAGTCAATCGTACAACCCAAACATGTGTCCTCTCATACAATTCGCATTAGCACCTGGTCAGTTTATGTATAATTAATCATAAATTAAGTAACCAGCGATCAGGGTTCCATGAACTGCATACGTATACATATTACGTATACGCAGCGTTGTCCAAGTTTTACGAAACAAATCAAGCAGAAAGCCATTTCGTATTAATTGCATTTACAAATAAGGGATATTTATTTGAATTAAGTTAAATTAATCGTACCAAAGATCAGGATAATATAAACTGCATACTCTGCATATTACGTATACGCAGCGTTGTTCAAGGTCCACAAACAGATCAAGCAGAAAAGTCTTTCTTAGGTGTTTTGAAAAAATTTGGACGTTTTAAAGTCATTTTCATTAAAAAAATTAAGAGGGATTATCATTTATTTGAATAAAATTAAATTCATGGTAAATTAAGAACTGCATACTCTGCATATTACGTATACGCAGGGTTGGCCAGGCCTCAAAACAAATCAAGCCAAAACGCATTTCCTATTTATTTTCCAAGATTACTATTATATTCGTTTAAATTAAATTCAATTAATATTAAAGAAAGAAGCCAGAGGACAGGAATCCATTGCCTGCATATTACGTATACGCAGGGTTGGCCAGATCCTAAAACATATCAAGCCGAAAAGCATTTCCTTATTTAGATTTAGGAAATTATTACATAATTTTCATTCGTTTAAATTAAATTGAACTAATCTTAAATAAAGTAACCTGCGAAATGGAATCCATTCCCTGCATATTACGTATACGCAACGTTGGGCGGATCCCAAAACTTATCAAGCCGAAATGCTTTTCTTAGTTATTTCAAAAGATTTTGGAAACCACTTAAACATTTTCATTGACAAAATAAGGGAGATTTCCCTTTATATAAATTAAAATTTAATTGAAGTAAAGGAACTTTAAACTAAGAGGGCTGCATACCAAAGAAAATTGTTAATATTATTTTAAGCCCGGTTAGGGCTATTCCCACTGCGAACTCACATGAAATAAAATTCAGTTACATGTTCGAATAAATTATAATTAATACTAACCCCTTTTCATATTTATTTATATAATTAAATACTTGTTTTTGCATTTGCATTCTGTATAATTTAATAAATGTTTATTTGTTTTGTTTTGTTTTGTTTTCTTTGCATATTTTCTAGGCAACCCCACTAGTCACAACTAATCCGCAAGTAGCCAATCGAGTTGTTTCTGTTCACATTTTGTGTTTTTATTTGCATTGCATTCGATTTTCGTTCACGTTGTGTTTTCTGTTTCTTTGCAAATCGATAAGTGAGTGAGAGGGTTCGCGGTATATGAATTTGCTGTACTTACACACACACCAAACATATGAGCATACATAGAACAAACATACATATATAGAACGTAACACCTAAGCATACGGTAACTGCAGTTATAACAACAAGAACACACGCGAAGTTTACAGCATGCTAAATTAAAAAAAAACTCACTGAAACTCACTTCACAACAAAAAATACTAAAAACAAAAATATATGAAAAACAAACGACAACAAAAGTATAAACAGCAACGCAATAGCAACAAGAACAAGTACAACAACAACAAAATAAGCACAAAGAACAACAACAACAACCAGAACAAGAACAACAACAACAGTAATACGATACCGTAAGTCCAGGTTTGTACACATTACGTTTATACAATAACCATAAATAAACCATAAGCAAATATTGTAGCTTCCATGCCATGCCTATTATAATACATAATTATTATCACTCTGAAATCTCTGCTCTGCTTAGCCTAGAAACTATATTGGCCCAATATCACTTTGCACGCCCTAATTATAACTATAGGTTTTAATAAATATATAAATGAAATTTGCACTCGTAACACTAATCAAACAAATATCACACACACGCAAAGCACACAAAACTTACCAAACATTCTAAAGAACACTAAAACTAGTAACACAATACACTGAGCACAGTATTTAATACAAGCACCAAAAAGTGCAATTAAATCGGAAATTAATAAAGGGAAAAGTTTTAAATTTTAATATTACTTTTTGAGAAATATTCAAGAGCTAAGCTCAGTTTTCCGTCAGTGTACTTATCCCGGAGCAACATTCCGTGGAGTTAAGCTTGAGTTAAGTTACTCAGCAACTTGTTATCTCTCGGGATAACTAATTAGCTGCCTAAAAACCTTGTCACTTGAAAGATTATAAAGTCTCGCAAGAAATGTTTGAGAAAGTTTTGAAATTAAATTTCATGCAAATAGCTTAGTTTTCAACTAAATTTCTGCACTGCCTAACCTGCGTGTAAAACTTGTCAAATCGATCCAAGAACCAGAACGAGTAAGTATGAGCTCAAAGCACCAACAACAACAGAAACAGCCAAGACAGGAGTAATAAACAAACAAAACAATACACTCCCCAGAAAAAAAATACAAACAAATTGTAACCAAAATAATCCACAACAAACAAAACCTACATATATGTATACTTCCGTACGGTTTATATCGGTGTATCTACCTTTTTATACTCGAAACTTTTTACAGCACGCTTGGGAAGGTTGTGGTCAGAAGAAAAGATATTTTTTTAGATTTTGTCAACTAACTCGATTCCCTTTCTGTTAACCCGCAGAAAAAGCCATGTCCAAGTCGGCCGAAAGAGCAAACCAGGAGGACGAGCATCGATCGGAGTCACCAAGCGACCCACTGCCGATATTCCAGCAACGCGACAATTTTTACAGCTAAATGCGACAACTAAACTGCAACTAAATAACTAACTCCGATTAGCGAATACACTATTTTATTCAGGCACAATATCCGCTGCATTTATCTTGAGAATCAAACTAGGAAATTTGCTAACAATTTTAACCGAAAATCGAATCGAATCAATTCATAGATGTGACGACTGAGTTATATGGAAAGTTATATATGACATACGATATATCCGCGGAAAAGACTATGCTAATCGAAATCGAAATCACACAGAGGGGAGGGAATATTAACGAATTTTGTGCGAAAATGATTGTTATTGCGTTAATGATACTATGCATATTATATTATATATACATATATATATACACAACATATACAATATGGAAATCAAAGATTCAACATATCAATGTAAGGGTGTTACAAGTCATTCAAACGATATCAATTAACACACACAATTAGCGATCGTTCTTGAACAGAAGTTGGAAGGATACAGCCAGTAAAGGATAATGTCAGTAATTAATTCGGAGTTGAGGCGAATCAAATACGTTCCTGAGAGGTGGTAGATCGGTCAAAAAACTCATTCATGGCAACTAAAACAATAACTTTGAAGACTTTTGTAACCGACTTTTCGAGAGTAGCGCATTTTCTCTACAAAGAAGAAAGTAACCAAACCAGCAGGCAGTTACAGCATTTGAACAATTTTTGGAGCCAATATTATTGCATTTGATATGAACCAGTTTTTAAGATCAATCAGTCAGTCAGTCAGTCAGCAAATCAATGGCATCAAATGAACCTACAGCAGACCGCACAGCGCACTCAATGCACTTCTCAGTCCTTTGCAACTTTTCCCCAAAATGTACCTATCGCAATTATTCATAATTAATGGAATAATATATAAATAACTGAGAAAATATAATTAAATTGTATTTAAACAAAGAGAACATATATGAATGGCAACGCTGAACTACAACATGCATATATAAATTTAAAATTATACATATTTAAACGAGCATACTGCTATATACACATATAATTATTTAAATGTAGGTCAATTAGCCGGGCAATTAAGGCGGAACTATGAAGGAAATGATACCGATGATGGATGTTTTTAACAAAAAAAAAAAGAAAAAGAAAAATAAATACTATACAATACAAGTCAATGCTATCGCTGGTTGAATTTAATGTCTACATAACTTTAAAAGTTATTGAAATCGCATAGATCTATTCACAATTATACATTAAACAAAAATAATCGTACTAGCCCACAAGAAACAAAATGGAAACAACGAGACATTGTTAAATAGAGAGCAGAATCTAGATGAAAACGATCCATGCAAAATTGTACAAAAATATATTTTAAGTTGATAGTTTTTAGTTTTGTTATTACGATTATTATGTTACATCTATTTGCTACGTATGGTTTAAGGTTCATTTAATTACAATTATTATTGCTAAGTTCTTCATAATTCCACAAGTTGTTTGTACATTTCGCGGTGCTATATGGATGTGTATACATATGTAAATTATTTTTGCCCCCGAGTTTAATTCTAAGTTCAAGCACACACTGATCAGAATATATATATATTGAGACATTGTCGGATATGTCGGCTTAAAATTGCAACTGCACCAAGCTTAGAAGCACGCATATTCCCTAGAGATCGATTAAATACATTAAAAAAACACACACACCCACAACAAATATTTATTGCATATATATACATATAAATATACATAAACATATACATACAAACTGTACGTCATAATATGATAAGAGTTGAAGACGATAAACTGCGAACGAGAAATGTTATCAATAAAGATTATAGTTGAAAATTCAAATTCCCCTTGGTTTTCTTTGTAATTGAACGAAGGTTTCACGGAAACAGGAACTTTCTGGACACCTTTATGACGAATCTCAGCCTCAATTGCCGGCAAAATTCAAGATCAATGTTAAGGGGGGACTTTGTCGTCATGAATCACAATGAGTTCGTAAATATTGTGGAATAAATGTTTTGTTTGGAAGACGCTGCCAGCATTTCAAGTAGACCCAGAAATCAACGCAGAAGTTCCCCGTGTAAATGTGTGGGCGTAAAGACTGAATATATCGGGAGAAATGTGGAGCATTCGATAACTTTCTAAACAGACCGAGCCAAGAAGTCTTATCAGAGCTCCGATATCTCATTAACATAATCGTGACTCTCGAGCCTCTCGCCTACAACGAAAGTAAGTGCCAGAGAATGGGTTTGCATATTCATAATACACTTGGAAATATATTTATATGAGTAGAATGGATGTTCTCTTCGTATATTTTTAGTCTTCAACGAATTCTTTTCAGTATTCATCTTATGAAATAAAGTTCTTTATTGCAAGGGACAGAATCTTTACTTGACCATTTTCCCAAGTGTATTTCCTAACTCATTTTGAGGCAAATACGTTAATCTAAAAGGTTTTCGCACTCTCGCACAACCACTGTCAATGGGGTTTCAATACGACAACCACAAAATTAACAACACTTTGTCACATTAACTGGCAATTACAATGCGTTTGTGGCTATTATTCCAGGCCAACAACGACAGACAGGGCCCAATGCAGCAGTCCGGGCTAATTACAATACGCGCTTCGAAAGACAACCAACCGATTTATGGATGGCAGAGTCATGTGTAGATGGGTATGAGTATGGGTATGAGTATGGGTATGAAAAAAACCTGAATTATCATTAACCAATCAGGTTTGTGGCAACGCGCGGCGATGATGCGAATAAAAACAACTCAAGCCGTGAGTGAGTAGGGGAGCGGGAGATAAAAAAAACCCCGACATTGTCCAAGTATTAATTGTGCGGAATAAAGTGAGTCGTCGCTTTAGTCGATCTTTCGCGGCTAAACTGTGAGGTTACGAGACCGAGAGGCGTTCACCGAGAATAAAGTGATAACCAGGAACAAGTCCCAGGGATTGGAAGCTGCAGCAGCATCAGTATGTTTGCCTCAGTTCCCGCCCGAGTGAGTCCAGCGGTTGTCTCTGTCGGCAAGCCGTAAATTTCCAGCCTCAAACCCCATTTCAATCGCATATTTCACACAGCTGGCGCTGCTCGCCCTGATAAGCCTCCTGGCTCCTCCCCAGCTCCTGTCTGCTCCGTTTCCCGGTATCGAGAATGCGTTAGTATCCGTGGTGTGCTACACATCCGTAAATTCCATGCTTCACCTGGTTTCTGTTTTTTTTTTTTGCGCTCTCATTTTAGAGCCATCACTAACCAAGATTTATTGGCCGAGGAATCCTTGCCCGTTTCAAGTTTGAGCCAGGTTCACGTCCAGCACAATCGGCATCGTCGCCATCATGGGGACGGGAATCACGGTTTCGGGCATAGCCACCACAAGCGGCACTGGGATCACCAGTTTCCGGGCCCAGGTCCCGGACCGAGTTGCCATCATGGCCATGGCGGATTTGGATACGAGCATCCACACCATGGCCCACCCCACCATAGATTTGAGCCATTTCCATATGGTTTTGAGCCGTTCCCAAACACCTTTGGACCACCGGAACATGAGGAGCACCAGCGGCCATTTAAAGCTGAACTGGCGCCCTTTAAAGGTAAGAGTTTATGACACAAAAAGTGCAGTTCGGGAATTAAACTTGGAGTTTGAGGGTTTTGATAAAAATTCTCTTAAGGAAATTCATACATTTTAAAGTCTAAATATTAGGTAGAGAGTATACTTTTAATTTCCTTGCTTATATATTGCTTATAAACACTGCGGCACTTAGTTAAAAGTGTTGTTATCTTATGTTAACAAAGGGTAAATATTGTTAAAAACATAACTATTTGGTTTAAGAGATAATAAACTTTGATATGCAAATATAAATAATGTGATAAAAACATAAAACAAACTTGTATACCCTGAGAACAATTAGGGTAATAAGATATGATAAATTATTATAAACATGGCAAAGATTTACCTATTATAAACTAACTAAGCTTGATAATATATAAATATACATAAAAGTTAGACTGCTTCCGATTTCTAAATCTGCTCAACACTTGGCTAACAATACCTCCTACAATATCTTTTAGATGACAAAGAAAGATCTCCAATGACGCCTCAACAGCCCAGATCAAGCAGCGTGGCTCCTCCCGTAACCTCGCCACCTGCAACCACAACCACCTCATCCTCATCCACTGCAGCACCCACAACTTCCAGCACCACTGAAGATGCCCCCTTGGCCATTGACATACGCATCGGTTTGAGTTAGACTTAGGCCTTGGCTTTGTGTAAATGTGTAACAATAAAGTTGCTCCCCTTTTAACCACAAGTTATCTTTTTCATTACCATTTACCAAGGGCTATCGCCCAGCAAGGCCTGGATGCACACAGCGTAACATTATCCAGGCCATTTGCAGGAATCTGTCTGAAATATGGTAATTCTAGAGCATAAACAACACCAGGGGGTGACAGTGAGACAGATAAAATGCGAATGCAAAACAATCGGAAAGAAAGTGGGCAAAAACAACAAGCTAAACTGATCTGGAAATGAGCACACACTCAGAGTCAGAGCCAGAAGAAACACAAAAGCCCGTTCTTCTCCATGCTGCCCCGCTACCCATCCCACACCCATCCCACACCCATTCCCGAGCGGAGAATCGCACACCTCTCACGCACTCTACGCAGGAACAAAGGCGCAATCCAAGAACCGGACTGCAAAAAATAAACTAAGCCGAGGCGACATTTCGCCACCGCCGCCCACTATAAAAGCCAGACTGATCGAGAGTTTGACTGTCATTTGACGTCAAACGAGCGTCGCACGCAGAACGTCGAGATTCCTCGTATCCAAACATAAAATATATATATATATTCCCCGATCGCCGTCTCTTGGAGGAGCATTAAGAAATGGGTAAGCCTGGCCGTGCATACAAAGTGCAAGTCGGTGAACGAACTTGAGCGTGCAGTATTATGGACACTCAACCTTAGAGAGCCATAAAGCGGCACCGGATTGTATTCAATTCAATTATATATGCGTGTCGCGTGAATCTGGAAAACAAATCGTAACCAGGAACGAGGGAAACATTTTACGATTACAAAACAATCCAGAGGATTCCTGATAAACAGATAACGTTAGAAAGCTAGTGTTGCATCTCAAATCTTTAAAGCTAAATGTTTTTAATAGTAACATTAACCTTTTTAGTGCACCGTTTGGCACTTTTGCTGCTGGGCGCGATCTTCTGTGCTCCAGTGGCCATTCTTGGTAGCGATACACCAGCTCGAATTGTGTGCTATTTCAGCAACTGGGCAGTATATCGTCCTGGAATCGGTCGCTATGGTCTAGAGGATGTACCCGCCGATCTGTGCACTCATCTCATCTACTCCTTCATTGGTGTTAACGACAAAAGCTGGGACGTTCTGGTTATCGATCCGGATTTGGATGTGGACCAAGAAGGCTTCAGCAAGTTCACTCAACTGAAGAAAACCCATCCCAATCTGAAGCTGCAGGTGGCTGTTGGTGGTTGGGCCGAAGGTGGCTCCAAGTATTCCCAAATGGTGGCAGTTCGAGAACGACGAACCAGTTTCATACGCAGTGTGGTCCGCTTCATGAGGCAGTACAACTTTGATGGCTTCGATCTGGACTGGGAGTACCCGGGAGCCACGGATCGTGGTGGCACCTTCGGGGACAAGGATAGGTTCCTCTACTTTGTGCAAGAGCTGCGACGTGCCTTTGATCGCGAGGGTCGTGGTTGGGAAATCACCATGGCAGTGCCAGTGGCCAAGTTCCGTTTGCAAGAGGGTTACCATGTCCCGGAGTTGTGCGAGTAAATTAAAATCTAGCTTTAGTCTCTGGAAAATTTTACTCTAATTCAATCCTTAAAGATTACTGGATGCCATTCATGCCATGACCTACGACCTGCGTGGAAACTGGGCCGGATTTGCTGATGTGCACAGTCCGCTTTACAAACGAAAGCATGACCAATACGCCTACGAACGCCTCAATGTGGTGAGTAAAACTCAAAGGGATTGGGATTTGGTTGCCAAACTCATTTGCATCACCCTTCAAGAACGATGGCCTGGCCCTGTGGGAGGAGATGGGCTGTCCGGCCAACAAGCTAGTGGTGGGCATACCATTCTATGGCCGCACCTTCACGCTGAGCAACTCGAACAAGAACTACAACATGGGCACTTACATCAACAAGGAGGCGGGTGGCGGAGCTCCAGGTCCCTACACAAATGCCAGCGGTTTCCTGGCCTACTATGAGATCTGTACAGAGGTGATGGACAAGTCCAAGGGTTGGACTGTCGAGTGGGATGATGCTGGAATGGTGCCCTTCACCTACAAGGACACCCAGTGGGTGGGCTACGAGAACGAGGCCTCCGTGCAGATTAAGATGGACTTCATCAAGCAGCGTGGCTATGCAGGTGCCATGACCTGGGCCGTGGATATGGACGATTTCCACGGTCTGTGCGGCCGGAAAAATGGTTTGATGCAGATTCTATATGATAATATGCGAAGCTATCGAGTGCCGGAACCAACCAGGGAGACAACACCAAGAGTAAGTATTTCCTGAACTCCGAATAACTGAAAACTTATATTCAATTCCTTAGCCCGAGTGGGCGAAACCACCTGCCACCCCACCAAATCCGGATGAGGGTCCTGTGCTGCAAACTGAAGCCACACCCACCACCACACGGAGACCAAAGCCAAAGCCTCAGCCAACTGTCAGCTCAACATCCGCACCAGTGCCCACCTTGGCCAGCAGCACTCAGAAGCCAACCACGAAGGTAAGCTCTGGAAAATGTTTTTAATTTGAGGTGAATGACAACACATTTTCCCTTTTTCCAGAAACCCAAAAAGCCCAAGAAGACAACTACCAGTACGACAACGACAACGACTCCAGCTCCTGAGAAGACAACTGAAGAACCCGAGGAAGTTATAGATCCAGAGCAGCCCAGTGACCCTCAGTTTGATCCCAGTGAAATTGATTGCACCAACCGTGATTTTGTGCCACATCCAAACTGTCGCAAGGTAGGAAACATTCGATAACTTTATAACAACAATTAAAATAATATTTTTCCGATTTTTCCACAGTACTTCCGGTGCGTTCATGGCAAGCCAGTGGAATTCGAGTGTAAAGAGGGCACGGCCTTCCACACTGTCCTCAATGTTTGCGATTGGATTGAGAACAGCGATCGCTACTATTGCAGCCACAAGAAGGGGAAACTTCAAGGCAACGAAGCCCACTAAGAGTCCCCCAAAGCACTTTTAAATTATTTAAGCTAAGAACCCTAGATTAAGTTGGTAAAATCATATGCTGCAAACAGGATTATGCATTTAATTTAATAGCTTCTAAGGGTCATAAACCAGATCGAAGAGATTAACCCCCAGACGAGACGAAAACAATAAAAATAAATATGATTTTCGAAACCAATAAACCACAAGCTAAATGAGCCATTCGAAGGGAGGTGTGAGCAATCGTTTTTTGAACAAAAAAAAGAAAACGATCTGATGAGGCAGAACATGCCTTACATAATGCCACTGGGAATCGCAATTCTGACGGAATTCGCCATTTCTAATTGCGCTAATAAACGCAATGACTTGGGACACATTGGCACTTGTCTGCGGCGAAGTGAGGTGAGCTGAATTTTTGGGGTACTGAGGAGGGGCAGCGACATTGCCAGCCTTGGAACAACCAGGGAACAGCTGTTCATGCAATCAACCATTGCAACGAGTGAAACAACGATCCTTAACATTTGATTTTCATCATCTCAACCCATCTTCAGAGATGTCCCCAGAGAATGAGAGGGAGGCTGAGAATGAGGGATTGGTGACACCAAACAAATCGGCAAGAGTCTCAAAATCAAGCTGCCTCCCAAAAATTTCAAAACTTTTAAGCTCAAAAAAGTATAAGAAGAAGGTGCTCTGAGTAATTTAGCGGAATGAGCACCGCATTATCTAAAATTAAACATTCCTCCAAATCCATAACGAAAGTGCCAAGAGAGAGAGAAAGTGATATACGATGGCTAACCAAGTTCCAATCCGTCAAACAATCTATCTTAAGTACATTATTTAAATAACTTACAGAGTACTTTTTTTTAAACACCAAACACCAAAGCCATTTATTATTGGCTCCTTGCCCCTAGACTTCCGCCCCGAAATCCGGGAAAATCCAAATGGAGAGCGCCACCCGGCGAGTGGAAATAGAAAAGAAAATAGAAAAATTAAGAAGAGCGTTTCCCACTCACTCTCTCAACAGTCTCCCAAACGCTTTGTGCTTTTGACAAAATTTCTACGTGCTACGAAAATATCAAAATCGAATAATTTTCGCGGTCACAAGGTAAATTCATGGTATATGCATGTTGAGTTACGAATTGGTTTTGGACCGGGAGAGATCGTCTCGTATACTCGTGTACGCCGCAAAGCAGACAAGTTTCCTCCTTTCAGACCGACTAGAGATAGAAAATAGATGTGTGTTGGGAAAAATTCGAGCTGCCTCTGGTTCAAAAAACGACACGCACACGACGTGCACAGACGACCAAATCGAAGACGACCACGACGGCCAGAAATAAGCAAATTATTTAGCTAACAATCGTCGAAAGGGACACTAAGGATTACCCAGCCGACGATTGTTGGTTAAATTTTGCCCAAAGGCAGCGCGAGAAATACTCGAAACTTTAACTCAATTAATAATAAATAATAATTTAATTAATATAATCGATCTGCAAAGTGAAAGAAGCAAAACGAACAAGTGCAAAATTGGAAAACCCATTAAAACTGTGACAAAATTTGTGCGAGCCTAGTTAAATATATATATAAACACCAGATTCCCAATACATCTATATCCTTGAAACATATATCCCTATCTTAAAGCAATATATCTAGGCCTAAATAATCGTTGATTTTCAAATTCTTCACTCTTTCATTTAGTGCATTTAAACGAGCGCATATATATAGCGGATGCATATATATGCAGAATACGAGAAAAAGTGTTATTTCTAATTTTCCCTAATTATTTATAATTACGGAAAACTTGCAAGGAGAATTTATGACGTGGCTAAAGTGTTAACCACGCTGGGAACTCGAGGATAATTTCTTTGTTTTGATTATTATGGGGCGGCTAACAATTTGGTTCCTGCTGGGACTAACGTTATTCGCCGTCTCCAATCATGGTGAGTATATCCCTGAAAATTATGTCCTTAGTTATTATATAAACATACAAGATGGTAGCAAAAGGGCTGGCATTTCTTTTTTTTCCACTTAGCCTGGGCAGGCATTATGCAATTTTATAACAAAAAGCCAAGAAAAACAGAAGAAAAACGTCGGGGAAAAAAAGAAATATGTATTAATATACGTTTAAAAATATTTGCCTGAGTTTGTGCGTTCTGTATGTTTTTTTTTTTATTTGTTTTTGGGTCGGTGTTGGTGTCTGCAAACGTCAGTGGACGAACATTAGTTCTTGGCCAACCACTAGTAGATACACAGATACAGATACATCTTAGCCTATGCGGATTTTTCTTCTTTCTTTTTTCTTTGAGAGAAATTAGATTTCTGCTGCTCCGCGCTTGGTTGCTCTTCGTTGTCATCGTTTGTAATATTTTTAAATTTAGAATTTTTAAGTTATTTTATTTGCTCTCAGCGAGCGCTTTCTGTCCATCTATCTAACATATATTCCCATCCCATTGGTGTGTGCGAAATGCGTCCGTATATATTTTGTTTGGTTTGCTCAAGTTTGCAAAACAGCGAAAGGCTAAAGAAAAATGAGAAATGAGAAATGAGAAATGGCGCAAATGCCATGTACTATAATTCCTTTTTTCTGGGGATGGGCTCGATTGCAGCAACATAAACACAATGTGCAGGCAGCAGGCAGGCCTTCTGAAAACCTGTATAAATAATTCTATCAATGCGGATGGATAGCAATGTGAAATGCGAAATAGCCCAAATAGCTTCCCACCCACATACGCCCTGAAATAAATCAAATGAATTATCCGTTGACGGATAAACTGCACATTGAGTGTCCAATAGACGCACTCATTAATATCTGGCTTAATTAGACCCGGCTTGTTGGCTGATATACGGTCCAATTATCGGAGCTTCCGCCCGATCACACGCTGCGGCATTTGTCCTAATTGTGTGACAACAATAGTAATTAGCTGAGGCGACCTCACTCAGAAGACGACCTTCCATCACCGAAATGCTGAATATCTGAAGATGTAGAATATTCCATTGCAAATGGAAATGGAACGCCCCCGCATTTTTTTATGGGTGCTCTGAGGGGGGTGCAAGCAGGACAGTAAGGTGGCCAAGAGAAACAAAAATATAGAAGTAAAGCCAAAGTGGGCGAGCAGCCAACAAAATGGTACAGCAATTTACTCATCCACAAGCTGGCGAAATGTGTGTTTGAGTTTTCATCTTTTAAAAATAAAATTCATAAATCCGGCGCATATACACATATATTCAAAAGTGTGTATGTTTGTACTGTGCGAGTACCATAAATAATGTCAAGTTTGAACAGATAGAATGACCTCGTCGTTGGCGCTGACATCAAACTGAGAAAGTGCGGCAATTGTTCTTGGTTGACGGACTCTGAAAATAGCATTTAGCATTTAGGGCCCATCCTTACCTAGGGCTTCCTTGCATTACACTCGGATTACAAATTGATCTGTCATTTTGTTCATTTAACAGTTGGGTTTGTCAATGCCGATGTCGGACCGAGCGAATCAGAATGTCGACCCTACATTGAGAAGGCCATACATAATTTGAAAACTGGTAAGGATCACTTCTAGTATATAAGGAATAGATAACATATATTAATTCCTCTTTTAAACGATTATAGATGGTGTCAAAGATGGCTCTGGAGAACTGCAATCCGATCAGCCACGTGGGGACGACGATGATGATGATGGTGGGATATTCGCAAATGATGAAAAAGAGACGATAGAAATTGAAACTGTCGAATTGGATTCCACAGAGGACGCGAAAAGTGCCAACGATTTAGATGGCGATGGCATACCTGATGACGAGGACGATGATATCGATGGGGATGGCATACCGAACGATAAGGACGATGATATTGATGGAGATGGCATACCAAACGACGAGGATGAGGACATTGATGGCGATGGCATCCCGAATGATGAGGACGACGATATCGATGGCGATGGTGTGCCCAACTCCAAGGACGAGGACATTGATGGCGACGGTGTGCCCAACTCAAGGGATGAAGACATCGATGGCGATGGCAAAGCGAATCACGGTAGGATATAACAAATGCTATATTTGATAGAAGAAACTCTAAGTAAAAATTCATTTGTCTTTCTCATAACAGAGGACGATGATCTAGACGGCGATGGCACTCCAAATCATGGTATTATTCCCTTAAATTAATATTTCTCTTTAAGCTATTTACTTGCTTTCTAGGCTTTTTAACAAAAGATTTGTTTTCATATGTATTTTATTCCTTATTTGAAAGCTTCTTTAAATTTCAGATAGTTGCCGACTGAAATGATTCTTTTGATTCGCAGCATTTCAATTGCTATAGACTAATTTAGAATACTCTGAATTTCTCTTAATCACTTTATGCTTTTTCAGAGGACGAAGATTTAGATGGTGATGGTGTTCCAAATGAGGAGGATGATGATCTGGATGGTGATGGCAAAGTCAACCACGGTAAGCTATTCAATTCTGGTATTGAAACGATTTTTAAGAATATTATTATGTTTCTTATATCTTTAATTACCTAATTATTGACTCTCTAGAAGATATCAAAACCTAGAATAAATATCTTTAGTTACCAAAGATTGATTATATATTTTCTTTCACAGAGGATGAGGATCTCGATGGTGATGGAGTGAAGAATGATGAAGATGATGACCTCGACGGTGACGGCACGGTTAATCACGGCAAGTAGAAACATTGAACATCAATTAAAATTATGTTTAACTAATAATCGTTTACAGAGGACGAAGATATTGATGGAGATGGTGTGAAAAACGAAAAGGATGAAGATTTGGATGGTGATGGCACCAACAATTCCCGTAAGCTTATTAAAATGTAACTTTACCGAGCTTCTGATTAATTGTTCCCATCGATGTTACTCCCAATATTTACAGAGGATGAAGATCTCGATGGCGATGGAGTGCCAAATGAGAAGGATGATGATCTGGATGGAGATGGTATCCTGAACGAGCACGATGGGGATGTGGATGGCGATGGAGTTCCCAACGAACATGATGATGAGGACAGTGCTGAGGATGGAAAGGTCAAGAAGCGCAGCAAACGTGAAGTTGACGCTGCCCCTGTTCCAGACAACGAGGCTCCTCCAAGTCCTGCCGAAGAATTCCCCGTTGAGGAGGAAATCGTAAAGGAAGAATCTGCCGAAATCGAAGAAGAAAAGGAGCAGGAGGAGGAGCAGCAGGCTGAGCCCGAAGTTGAGCAGGTTCAGGAACCGGAAGTAGAGGAAGTCGAACCGGAACCAGTGCAGCAGGAGGAAGAGAAGGCCGAGTCTGAGGAAGAAAAGGAGGAGGAGAAGCCAGCTCCAGTCGAGGAGGCTGAGGAGGAACCTGTACAGCAGGAAACTGCTCCCGAGGAACCAGAAGCCGTCAAAGAAGACGCCGTTGAATCTGAGGAAACTCAAGATGAACCTCAGGCCGATGCTGCTGCTGCTGCCAAGGAAACCGCTGATGATGATGATGACGATGATGACGACACCAAGCCAGAGGACGAACTCCTTTGGGTAAGTTTCGATTCGTTTGATATAGCCAGAAGGAAATGTTTTAATGTTGTAATTGCATTTGCAGGAGGGACAGATCCCCGAAAACCGTCGCAGTCGTCAGCACATTTCGGAGCTCCTTCAGCTGGATGAGGAATTCAATGCCCGCGAGAAGGCCACCGATAATGTGGCTGAGATCATCCTGCGGGACATTAAGCGCATCTACGAGAATGCCGTCAAGCCCCTGGAGACACTGTATAAGTACCGCGATTTGAGCAACCGCCACTTCAGCGATCCTGAGATCTTCTCCAAGCCCCTGATCTTGTTCATGGGACCCTGGTCCGGTGGCAAGTCATCCATTCTGAACTACCTCACTGATAACGAGTACACACCCAACTCTCTGCGTACTGGTAAGCATTCATTACTACTTTGAGCTACTTAAAAATAAATAATGCTTTATTATAAGCATTACTAAACTTCAAAATCTATTCCCTAAATATTTCCCCAAATTATTTCCTTAATTTTCAACAGGTGCCGAGCCCTCTCCGGCCTACTTCAACATTCTGATGTGGGGCAATGAGACGGAGGTTCTGGATGGCACCCAATTGGCGGCCGACTACACCTTCTCCGGCCTGCAAAAGTTCGGCCAGGGACTGGAGGAGCGCCTGCGGGGACTGAAGATGAAGAGCAAGATTCTTGAGAAGGTAAGCAGCCGGCAAATAGCTGCCAGGTCAGACCACATTAACTTGTCGCCCAGGGCAGCAGCTGCCCGTCCGTCGATTGGGAAACTGCACACTGCTGCTGGCCACCTGCCAAAGGGAATTTATAGCTTTTAGCGCACAGCCTGCATTAATTTCGTTATTAATAAATTGATGCGGGATGGCAGAGAGTGGGCCGGCCGACAAGTACAGGCAGTAAAGCAGACAAGGCAAGAGCCAAGAGTTACTAAATTTAAGCACTTGGCGAATTCGAATACATTTTTCAGGTCAACATCGTTGAGATACCCGGCATTCTAGAGGTGCGCAAGCAAGTGTCCCGAGTCTTTCCCTTCAATGACGCCTGCCAGTGGTTCATCGATCGGGCGGACATCATCTTTCTGGTCTACGACCCGGCCAAGTTGGACGTGGGCCCTGAAACGGAGGCAATTCTCGATCAGCTGAAGGGACGCGAGTACCAGACGCGCATCATCCTCAACAAGGCCGACACTGTCAAGCCAGAGGAGCTGTTGCGCGTCCAGGGTGCCCTCATCTGGAACATTTCGCCTCTGATGTCCTCGGCCCAGCCACCGCTTATGTACACCACCTCGCTGTGGACTCATCCCTACCAGGATGGTGCCCCAGCACGCCTGCTGCTGGCCCAGGAACGCGCCTTCCTGCGGGACCTACGCACGGCCATTGATAAGCGTATCGAGCACAAGATCTCCAGCGCCCGACGCTTTGCGGTGAGTACTTTTTCTCAAAAAACCCAAGTCAGTTATCTAAAATATTCTAAGGGTTTCTGTTCAAAACTATTTAACTGCATACTAATAAGTTATAATTCTTTTAATATTTCTTACAGGTGCGCGTGCGCAACCACGCCAAAATGGTGGACTGTTACTTGAACACGTACTACAACCACAAGACGCTGTTTGGTAACAAAAGCGCATTGCGGACGATATTATTGACCATCCGCAGAATTACCACATCTACGAGGGCCTGTCCACGCTGACGAACATCTCGCGTTATGATCTGCCCGATCCGGAAGTATATCGCGACTTCTTCCGCCTGAATCCATTGTACGAGTTCAAGAAGCTGACGGACACCTGCACTTACTTCCGCGGTTGCCCGATCACCAAACTGGACCTGGCCATTGCCTACGAGCTACCCGAGTTGGCCGGAAAGTACAAGAAGATGTCCGAATCGGCCTTGGCCAGCATCGAGGCGCAACAGGATGAGGCCCAGAACCCGGTTCCGGCCGACCCGAAAAAGACGAGTTGAGATGTTGGCTCCCAATGAGGAGAAAACCTGCCATTTAGTTTGTTTTAATGAGAGATAGAGAGAATGTGACATCGGCACCGGCAACCGTCTATAGAGAATTAATATCGAGGGAGACTTGGAGACGATAAACGGAGGAAGAGAGGGGTTGCACTTACAGGGCATAGGAGAAAGTTATTCTATTCTTCTTATTTTGTTAAAGTACCCCCCAAAATCGGTGGAGAACAACAGCGCAAGACCAAACAGAGCCTATTGTTTGTTTTTTTGAAAGGGAAGAGAGAGAGAGAATGTGAAACCAGAAGGAGATAGAGAGCGATTCAAAGTAGCAACGGTTGCTTTAGCGAAGTTTGAATTTCAACCGCGTTGCAGGATATCTTTATTTTCATTTACCATAATAATACACATGTAACCGAACTGAGAGCTTTATGAGAGGGAAACTAATGCAATATTGAGAGCAAAATACACACAGCATACACCTGTACTTTTTTCCCCCATTTTAACCGAGTAGAGAGAGGTAGCATTGAGTCCTTTCTAGGCGAGTAGAACAGCACTTAACCCATTACTGAGAGCAATAACTAATAGACGAACTATCGACGACTTCTAACCCATACACATAGCCCAAACATTCAGAGAACCCTTCATTGGCAAGCACCCTGTTATAATTCCCAAGTGACATTTATTCTTTCTTTCCTCCAGCAGTAGTAGTGAACAACAGAGGAGCGCTTTTTGATTTTGAGATCTGAGATTTGAGTTTTGAGCAAATGAAATATAGCAAAGTTTTGATTTTTGTTTTTTGGTTTTCAAACCCTGACGATGCCGTAGTTGATAAGACTTTTTGATAAAAGCAAACAGTGAAGACGATAATAAAGAATTTAACTTATGTAATCATGAATGACTTAGACGCATGTGAGATAAAATGAACTTGTTGACGAGAGCGAGAGCAGCTTATACACATAAACTAAACATAATCAATTTTACACACTGAAAGCCTATGTAAAATGAACTGTGAGAGCGGGTGAAATACACAAATAAATAAAAACAACAGAAAACCCCAAGCAATTATGTGTTTTTCTGATTCATATCGATTCAAGGTCTTTTTGAGGCCATAAGTTGTCCAAGAAACCAGCTATTACTTATTCCAATTCGTCACTAAAATCTCAATTAATTAATAATAAATACTGCAAAAGCAAATGTTAAGCATTTTAGGAAATTTCAAAAAATTTCCAAATAAATCTTTACTATTGTTATATCTTAGCTGGGTACCAGATTTAAGTCAAAAGCTTTTTACGGTGTGAAGGAGTAATTTCCACCCTATAAATCATATATATTCTTGATCAGCATCAGCAGGCGAATCTTTCCAGACGTGTCGTAACATAAGAAAATGTTTACTACTTTTTTCGAAATTTTATAATCATTAAATTTTCAAAAATTTTAACTTTTTTAAATTTAAAAATTAAGTATGCATATTTAATAGTATAGTAAAAACTAACATAGACAAGTTTACCAAATTAAAATTAATGCATTTTTGGCTTAGGTATGGTATTCTTAAACTTTGATTTGTCCCAAAACTATAATGTGATAATATTTCTGTAAACATCAATGCATCCCCACCATGCACATACACATGCATTTTTAGTTATTTGTCACCACCAGATTCTTATACCTTTTCTATAGAAAATGGGTTTATTTTTTCCCATTAATAAAATATAGGTTTTAAATTTAGTGTCGATTCAAAAATTTAAATTTTTGGTGAATACCGTTGCTATTTATCGAACAGCTGATTTTGGCCGGCACTAGTTATCGTTATCGAAGTCATTACCTAACAGCATTTGACAACACACTTTCGGCACAAAAAATCAGGCATTGGAATAAATAAATAAATACCCGGCGAGAGGAGCAGGAGAAAATGCATACGGATCTGTCCGCCCATCTGCACACACCCGCTTGCAACAAATTAATAGAAGAACTACAGGCCTGCCACGAAAACGTGAGTGTTCTTAATCCACTTACCGGTTTAAAGAGTTGCTAAATGTTGGTATTCCTTTGCAGAACGCGTTCGCCAAGTTCGTGGGCGTGTGTAACTCCATCGACGACAAGGTGGTCAAGTGCCTAAAGGGTGAACGTATCGCCCGATCCGCCGCAAACCGAGCCCGAGCCCGTGAGCGTCAGGCAAAGTATAAGGAAAAGTTGCTGCAAGGAGAAGACAATTAGAGACGGACAAGATGACAGCTGCAACGATGGATCCCCTAGAGCCCTTCTATTTCCAGCACGAGGAACAGATTATCTGCGGACAGGCTGTTAGCCCCATAACCGACGGATTCGATGTGAAATACCCTAGTGTTGTGGACCGCTTCTTCACCAGATACTATTACTTCAAAGGAGATGTGCCCTACCAGGTGCTCTACCACTCTAATCGCATTTGCCTCATTTGCCTGGCTGCCGGTCATCCTGCTCTGGCTCAGGGCATCGCTTCCGTCAGCTTTGATGTCGGAAATGTGGATCGTAGCCAAAATGTGGTCAAGGGCAAGGCCAAAAAGGGCGGAATGATCCTCCAGGCGGAGTCCACTTTAGCCTTAATAAGCACGGAGAAAGGAGAAACCTTCAAGGTTCCGAGCTGCATTCGAGGAAAACTCGTCGAGGTTAACACAGCTTTAGTGGAGGAACCAAAGCTTCTGGAACAACTTCCCGAAGGAGCGGCTTACTTTGCCATCCTTCTGCCCAAAATTGAGAACTGCGATTCCATCAAGGCTAGCCTACTGACCCAAGAGCAGTACGAGCAGCGTTTAGAAGCGAAGAAAATGAACCTGGACACGTGACTTCAACTAAAAAAAATTGTGTAATAAAGTCTCATTTGTTAAAGAAATGTTAAACGAGATTTTTTTAAATCCTAATTTTTGTTTAGTTAACAGAGCTTTGCTTTTCGTTTAACAGCTGTTCAGCTTAACAGCTCTGTTAATATACCAAATGGTTGGCAACGCGGCGCAACACGTGTGTTTGTCGAAACAGCTGTTGCTGGAGCCGCGTTCTTTTCGTTTGTTTAACAAAAGTTGCGTTTAAATAGAAATAATGTCGGCAAGTAAGCAAAAGAAGCTGAATAAGATGGAGGTTGATCCAAACGACGAGGATTCCACCTCCAGTGAGGACGATGATGACGAGGTGCACCCAGACGCCTACAGAGGCAACGAGGTAATTGGATGCCGGCCACTAAGTAAATTTGAATGTGTTTAAATACTGAATAACTTTATAGGAGGTACAAATCGACTTCGAAGGCCGTGCCCCGGTGGATCCCGATGCACAGGGAATTTCTCAGCTGCTGCAGCGTTTGTTCTTACGTGCCCACATCAATTGCAATCAAATGGCGGATCTAATCATTGGTGAGTACGGAAAACCAACACGCTCATCTTGTTTACATTTAAAAATTTTTCCTAGCTCAAAACTATGTTGGAAGCGTGATCTGTCAGTGCGATGACGAGGAGCCCGAAAGCGAAACGGACGACGATATGGTTGAGGATGGCACCGTGTTTGGCATCACATCCGTACTGAACTTGACAGCCAAGAAGGATCAGCCAAGCATCGCGCAGTTAAGAACGTACCTACTCGATCGCGCTAAGGCACACGCTTCGGGTGCAGTGCACGAGCAATTAAAGGCAATTCTGGAGAACGACCAGTGCCACACAGGGTTTCTGGTCAACGAGCGGTTCATCAACATACCCGCACAGATCTCTGTGCCACTTCTGCAGAATCTACAACAGGAAATAGAAGCCGCCAAGGCCAAGAAGATGAAGTTTGACTTTGACACGCTGCTCCTCCTTGTCAAGTTCTACAGAAAGGAGGCAAAGAAGGGAAAGCCAGCCGAGGATAACTACACAAATGCTGAGGATGAGTTACTTTCGGAACGGGCCAAGTTCTCGTTTGAGTACTCAGTGGCCTCCGAAACGGACTCGGGCATGTCCGGCGACTGGCTAGAAGGCGATGCCGTGATGACACCATACAGAAAACTTCTTGTTCTAGACGCCAAGCAGCTGCCGAAACTGACAAAGGACATTGAAAGCTTTATCAATGGCGAATAAATGTTAACAAGTATGTCTATTTTGTTTTTCCTTTTCTGGTTCGTTCAATTAAGGAGTTCGAAACAAAAATAGCGGTTTCTATGTGCAAAAAAGTTTTATCCCAATATTATTTCATCATTAAGCCATTAAACATATATTAATTAAGTATGTAACAAGATGTAGTACTTACCAAATTTGATGGGCCAGGAAATGCAGCTTCTTGTTCATCGATTGTATTAAACGGCAATGTAGTCATGATTACACTACTACAGTTAGCACTTAATTGATGTTAATGTCACGTATAACTACCGGAAAATAATTAAACAATAATTAAATGTTCGAAGACTCCCTGCAACATTGAGGGACACTCGTGCTAATTTTGACTATTAAACATATGATCATTGAGCTTTTAAGATGCAGCCACTCTGAATGCAGCTTATTCCCAAATCTCAAAAAGCACAGAGCTTTTGCTTCCGGCTCCAAAGTTGCTGTGCGGTGCAAAGTAAAAGTCGTGATCCCACATCTTGGCTAAGGTCAGGCGCCTTTTTAATGCTAGCCAAAGTGAACGGATGCAATTACTCAACTGCTCTGACTCTAGCTCTGGCTCTGGCCTTTGTTGTAGTTTTATGCTTGCGCCCAAGTCAATCGGTGTTGTTGCCAAACGAGAGCACAGGTGAACGCTCGCGAGTGGGAGCAAAAGGCGGGACGAAAGCTCGAGAGCGAAAGCTTTAAGAGCGGTTTCTTACCTGCTTAACCTGCTGCTCACGTCTGGCGATAGATGGAGAGAGAGCGGAGCAGCAGCGCGGATTCCGCGCAAGATACAAGTAAACAGGCGGCAGACCAAACCCGACTCCATCAGTCTGCGAGGCCGCCCCGAGCGATCAACACCTGTGCGGAGCTGGAAACCTGAAAAACCTAAACCCACCGCGCACACCCACCAATTAATCCACCAAAGGCTACGTTTGTGCTACCACTTAGCGGCCTCTCCCCATGCAAATGAAGTGAGGGAAAAGCGGCTGAGAAAGTGAAAATTTCGGGCGGAATGCAACTGCAGAAGACGATCCTACCAGATGAGACCAACCCACCGTTCGAATTCAGAGCATACCCATTGAGATTCCAAGCGAAGCACATACCCATGCCGCTGGGACTGTTTTAGCCAAGAGCGAGGAGCAGAGGAGCGGGTAGCAGGTTCGAGAGATCAGTGGAAGCCCAAACAAAACAAACCAACCAAAACAGCAAAGTGAATCCGAAAGCACCAGCCAACATGAATCAAACGCAAGTGAATAATTTTCTCAAGTGCTTCCTGCAAATCGATGAGCCCGCCGGCCGTTGGATATCGCGTCATGACGACGAGGATCACGACCACGACCACGATCATGATCACGATCACGATCATGAGGACGAGGACGATAGCAGCGGTTTGTTGGTGGCCAAGGTCACCGCCATGGTGGTTCTCTTCTGCGCCAGCACCATCTGCGGATCCATTCCCTTTCTGCTGAACCGCTGCTACCGCTGGACAGAGAGCCAGACGAATGCCCGCTCAGCGATTGTGGTCAAGTGTCTGCTCTACTTTGGCGGCGGTGTCCTGCTGGCCACCACCTTCTTGCATCTACTGCCCGAGGTCCAGGAGGTCGTGGAGGAGCTACAGGAATGCGGCATCATTGGAGAACTTACCTTCCCGCTAGCGGAGCTGCTTATGTGCTGCGGCTTCTTCCTTATGTACTTCATAGAGGAGGCCATGCACACATATGTGCATCACCATCAAAAGGACGAGGCGGGAGCAGCCTTTGAGCGTGGCCACAGCATCCGGAACAGTCACCTTCTAAAGCCCACGGAAGCCACAGCGCCGCCAGCAAATCAAGTCACGGGTGCCGGCAGTGCCACCTCGGAACTTGGAACGCTATCCGTGCAGAACCTCCTGCAGAATGATCTTGAGCAGCAGAAATTCGCCTCTAAGCCCCAGAGTCAGGCCAATGGTCATGCTCATGGTCACAGCCACGGACACGGACATGGACATAGTCATCTTCCTGTGATAGCAGACGATGGCTCCGCCGGAGACATGCTGGCCTCATCGCTGCGAGGACTCTTTATCGTGTCCGCTTTGTCGCTTCACGAACTCTTCGAGGGCATGGCCATCGGATTGGAGGGCTCCGCCAGCTCCGTGTGGTTCATGTTCGGCGCCGTCTCCGCCCACAAGCTAGTTCTGGCCTTCTGCGTGGGCGTGGAACTGATCGTGGCCCGAACCAGGCTCACGTTGGCTGTGATCTATGTGCTAACCTTTGCCGTGGTCAGCCCCCTCGGCATCGGCATTGGCATCCTTATAAACCATGGCCAGGAGACTACAGGACCCAGTCTAGTTTCGGCCATCTTGCAGGGCTTTGCCTGCGGCACGCTCATCTACGTGGTCTTCTTCGAAATCCTCTCGAAGAACCGGTCGGGTCTGCGCGCCTATCTGGCCCTCTTTGTAGGCTTCCTCGTCATGTTTGGTCTGCAGCAGCTAAGTGAGTACTACTTTTGTTTTAATATTAATTCTGGGAAAATAAGAAATAGAAATAGGGAATATTTTTGGTAGCTAATTTTGGGAAAATTAGAAATAGAAGGGATATTTTTGGTAGCTAATAGGAGATATGAATTGGCTTAATAGGAAAAGATTCGAGAACTCTTAGTTAATTAATTCCGAAGGGAAATAAATCGTTTTTAGGAGCTTCTCTATATCAATCATATGGATACTTATTATTATTTATATAACTAAGTCATAGAAATTGTTTTCTTCATCTCAACAACGATAAAATTATTAATTAACTATTTGCACCCAATAATCAAGTTGTTGTTTACTATTTTCCCGTACCATCTATAAGCAGTTTTCTGATTACTAATATTTTTTGTTATTAATTAAAGTTTATGACCATGAAAAATGCATGTAAATTAAGCTTATTAAGCTAAGGGCCCATAAACATCTACATATATGAACTTAGAATAATATACTCAATGATGATGTAGGGAATTATAAGGAAAGGCATTAACTGACTAGAATTAGAAAAGTAGTAGGATTAAGTACTCAGCAGTGGGTGTTTGCTTGCCAGATAAAGCAACTATGTATATCTTTCATATTTAGGAGTAATAAGTGCGACCGTCGCCGGGCTGTCGGATGAGATTCTTCAACCGGAATCGATTCGGGTGAATTGGGAACAGGTTCTACAGTGGTTGATCCGCTGGACACTGCGTGGTTGGCCTTGTAACAGACCTTGCTGCGGTTTATTTCGCAAGCGAGTCTGAGTTTTTCTGTCTGTCTGTCTGTCTGTGTACCTAGCAAACAGGTGAAGCAAAAATCCCGTCCCTGCCATGAAGTCATCTCACGTGGAGATCGGGGTAGCCCCCGGTGCGAAAAAGCACCGCCAGATGAGGCATCCAGACCCATCAAAACAGAGGGATGCAACCTCACGAATTTGTGGTTTGTGATTACCCGGAATGTAGAGTTGGAAAAGTGAATATATGGGCTCGATAAGGTGGCACAAAACGATCATAAATCATCGCTTAGATTCGGGGTTATTGAAACACACTCAATGGAAACCATCGAAGGGCTGGGCAATCGAAGCATGAGGAAATTGGGTCTATCAAAGATTACGATTGGCATACTTTTCAGCTTACACTCGATTCATTGACAAAGTACCTCCAAGTCTCTAACTAACTCTCATGTCTCCTCTTCTCGTTTACAGCTTCCGGTGGCGGACACGGCCACAGTCACAGTCACAGCAGCTGCTCGGCCCATACCCACGACCACCATGAGACTGAGACCAGGTCTGGCTCGGACCACGTCCACGATCACGAGCATGACCATGATCATGCCCACCCGCCACCTCATCACAACCATGCCGAAGAGCTGGCCGCCGTCCATAATTACGAGCAGCAGCTGCAGGTCCTGCGGCAGGTGACCCAGAAGCTGTTGGAAGCTCACCCCAAAAAGGACGTCTAGATTTTAAGCTGCTAAGCAGAATATTGATCTAACTTATATTGTAACATATATGTATTTATGTAGAAATAAAGCCTAAGATTAAATAATATAAAAACTTAATTTGTGTCTTTAGGGCATCTTTTTTAATCCACAGGTCATGTTTTTATATCATTGCAGAATATTATAATTTCAGTCAGAAGCATAAAACAGAGTGAAGGAACCATCTTTGACCCTATAATCCATATATATTCTTGATCGGCATCAATAGCCAAGTCAATTAAGCTATGTCCGACAAACATTTAATTTTTTCAAAATTTTTTTATATTTTATAAGGGGTTAAAATTGTCAAAAATTGACAATAAATTGAATTTTTTAAATTTTAAAACTTAATATGCAGATTTGTTTACCTTATAAAAACTAGCACAGAACTTCTTTGAAAATGAAAATTAATGAATTTTTAGCTCAGTTGTGATATTTAAAAAATTGATATATATAAAAATATCAATAAAAATCGATTAAAATAATGCAAATATTTAAAGCTTATTTGTGATCGATTTCTGATTCAATCAAATAATTCAATTGCAAACTTTTAGGTTATGTAAACTTTAGCCTCCAGAAGTTAATTACCTTTCTTGTTTTCATTGATATTTAAACTATCTTTTTACATGTAGTGATATTTCCAAGAACACAGATTCTATGTAAACGAGGTCAAAAAGTTACTTACTGCCAAAACTATTGTATATCCTCGTCCTTGATGAGATCATTGTGTTTTATTCAGCAAGAACTTTGTTTAGTGATATAAAGACTTATTTTTTTAGTCAGAGGTAAGTATATATGTTTATATATGTGAATTATATACGGTTAGCTGCCTAATTGGGGTTTCCCCAGTCGGCACTCGTCTACAAGACTCTTTGTGTGGTTTCTTAACAACCTTACCTTTCGTACACAAAGACGGAAATTGCCCAACGGAGATATCAAATTTTCAGAAAAGCAATATTCTCTAATGAAATTTAACTCTTTTTGGACTGATTTACCTGAATTGACAAAACAATAAACCTATTGTGATCATTTACAATATCTTAGTTATTTTTCTCATTAACGTTTCATTATAGCTCTAAATATTTCGTGATTATTAACAAACAAATAATCCGAAAGACACAAGGTGTCAATATTTTTCTCGAGGGTTCTTTGTGCTAACAAATAAAACAAATAATTCCAAGTAATCCCAATAATAAAATACAATTATGGTTTACGCTTTGATAGCAAATAAACATAACTAACTAGGGCATGAAAATGATTGAGGATAGAAACTTAAATTTAATAGAACTTTATTACTTTTAGTTCTTTAGATAAAGTCTAACGTGTTCCCTTTGTGTTTGTCATGATAAAGAAGTAGCAACATTGTATTATATACAATATAGTTTATTATAATAAACAATTTGCTAGGTTTTGGTAAAGAATTACATTAAGTTATTAACAAATATTATATATGTGTGGAAAACACATAGAAACGAATTTTCAACTTCGCTTAGAGTTCAACTAAAAATTCTAGAATAAATTAAAATTTATATAGCCTGTAAATAAATACATTACCTTATGGAGCTCTCATTTACCATAAAAGTTAAAATTATTCACAACACTAGAATGATTACTCTGACTGGTAAATAAAGAAAGTGAAGGGCATTTCAAACTTCGTTTAGTGCCGAAAAAGTAATAATTATTTTCACGATGTCATGTACATATGCTAGAAATGCCTGCTATAAAGCGAAATACGTGCCTGGGCATAAAGTTCCCCCACATCAGATTATTGCAAGCCAGGCCCCGTTTGCGGCGCAGTGGCGATATTCTCGACATTGTGAAATTTCAGCACGATATCTCTCGTTGGCAGAGTCCGCATCGTAAAGTGGTTGATTGAAATAGATGGTCGAGTAGGCCTTGTTGCCGAGGCCTGTTCACTGTTCATCATGTGATCGCCTTGTTTTCGTTGTCCCAGCCCACAATAAATACAATTTCAAGCTGATAACTTTGTTGCTTGCGCAAATTTTTAACACGATATCTCCGCAAAATGCCCTCAGACCGGTTTTTATATGGACTTCTCTTGCTCCGCCGCTCTTGCTCTCCGGACTGCTATCTCTCCGTGTTTTGATAACTGAGATAAGCGCATGTTCTCCACTGGCAGCCATCTGCCCTGGTTCCCGATCCCCAATCCCCAGTCCCCGGTCCTCGACTGCACCGGAAATTAGCGCCTTAAGTGCCAAGTGTGAATTGGCAGGCGGCAACCATACCTGACAGCAGATCAAAACAGCTTCGTGGCTTAATTAGCGCACTCCGGTGATCTTATTGACATCTGCTAATGATGATGATGATGCTGCTGAGTGACGACTCTGTTTCCAACGCATGCCGTAGTCGGAACTTCCCTCTTATCGCTGGCACGCTCTCCGAGATGTTATCGCGACTATCTCAGCGAAGTGCACACACCTTAAAATTATTGCAAAATGTATTGCCCAACGAGCTTAACGGCAAGCGGAACAGTTAATCTCTAATATTCTTGCCTGATAGCCATTGCCTATATTATCATTTGAACCCATGCTCTTGAACCAAATACACCCAGAGAGAGTGTTTGCAATAAATCATAAAAAAAGACTGATTGGTATGCGTTAGTTAAGATCGGGGGTAACAGAGGAATAACTCTTTTATGTTCTAATTGGGTACTCTGATAACCGGTAGTACGTATACGTAATTTCCGAATTTATATTTTTAACTAAATATGAAATAAAACGGGTTGGACTTAGTTCTTAAATAGTGTACTTTGGAGTTTAAAAAACGGAGGGTAGTTTATAAGAAAATGTGTAGTTATCTTAAATGAAATATTAGAATTTTATGGGGGACAATTCTTGCAAGATAATAATGATCCATATACTGATAATCTTAATAAATTTGTATGTAAAAAAGATTTACAAAGAATCAATAAATAAGCTCAGCCTGAAAGCATGTTATATATTTTAAACAAATGGAATCGATTTTTATTATATTTTTAAATATATGTTTCATTAGAAAAAAAGTAAGTCAAATGAAATAGTAAAGGTAATAATTACTTGCGACTGTCCCAGCTCAGTAGCTTCATAAATCATGTATAAATTTAATTATCTCTCCATTCGTACTCCCTAAAATACATGTAATAAAACGAAACAACTTAATAAATCATGAAGTTGTGATAAAAGTTTATTACTTGCAACAGTTTTTACTTTTTGCTTTTAATACATTTGAGTTTATATATTAATTTTCAGAGTTAATGGTATGACATTATTAACGTGGCCGATACAATATTTTTGTTTATTGCTCGCATAAAAGCGGGTTTGCTACCTAAACGTCTTTGGGAATTTGCGGCATGGGCGGGGCTTGGGGGTCTCTTAACAATTGTTACGTGTCTAGTACGGCATAAATATATATGGTTTAGTTCTCTAATTAATACGCAGTGACAACGAATTTGTTATGTATGCATAGCGTTTTGTTCATTTCGCAATGAGAATGGCCAATAAATACAATTTCACTTGGATTCGCTACAATTAATCGAATTCTTTGCTAGGATATATACTCAACTAATTTAACTTTTAACCAATTTCGCTAAATAATTTATTTAGTTTCTGTAGCATTCGGTACTGGCTGCTTCTGGGTTTTGCTTATCAATTTATGTACAAATTAGGCATCCTATGAGCTAATTAATTAAAATGTGTGGCTGTTACTATAAAGTATAAATATTGCAAGCCAAATAGAAGAAACTTCACATACACACACAGTTTGGTTACAAGAGTCTAAACGTAAGTAAGATAATAGATTAAAACACAGTCTTATTTATGTATGAAGAAATCCAATGGGGGGGGGGGCCAAACCAAATAGCAGGGATTGGAGCTGGTGCTGGGAGCTGGCAAGCAAGGTACGCATAGGATATGTATGTGGAGTGATCCCATCCTCCGGTCCCATCATCTCTAGGCCACTGCTGCCGGGCTCACTGAGTGTGTGGACAAGAATCTGGGCGACTGTTGCTGGTGGGGTTGCTGCTTCCACGGACGCCGCTTTAGGTGCGTCTGCTGCGAGCCTGTCAATCTGAAGAAATGTGAAAGCAGTTAGACCCTCGGCTTGGAGTTCAGTTCCAGCTGCACTTACCTGTTGTATTTGGACAGCTTACGTCGCTTCATGGGAGGCAGCCCATCCATGTCCAGTCGTGGTCCCACGAAGGCGTAGTTACCTACGGTTCCCGCAAGGGGAGCTGAAACAGTAAAGATAGAACAGGAAATAGTTCAAGTTCAAGACACTCTTTAAATGAATGGAGGGTTAGTCGAAGGCCTTACAGTGCTTGCGTTTGTTGTTGCGATGCACCTGATTGATGGCACTGGGCAGCTGTGGGGCACTGGTTCCGCTATCCAACTGGGCTTGATGTCGCCGGATGCTGCAACTGCGGCCCCTACAGCCCTTCAGTTGATCCAGGGCATCATGCATGTGGGCTCTCTCACCGGGTGTCAGGCCTGCAGCACGATTTGTGGTCTCAAAGCGATCTGAGGGCAAGTAAGAATATAAGTTTTCATCATTCTTCAGCTGCTAAACCTCCTCTCTTACCTATTGTCAGGTTGTAGAAGGTAATCAGGCCCGTGGTAAACTCGCAGTAAAGATAGTTGTGGGTAGAGTTAATGGTCCTTAGGCAGGAATAAGTATTATTGTTGGCGTTCATGCAGAAACAGAAGGGACTGTCGTTCCACAGCGGAGCTGTGCGCCAGTGCTGGTTGTCGTGCGAGAAGCAGTTCATCTTCTCCGACAGACACTCCTTCTCCAGACGGGCCTTCTTGATGCGCTTGCGCTCCTTCTTGCGCTGCCTCTCCTCCTTCAGCTTCCTGCGAGCCTCGCGGGCCATTTCCTTGGAGTCCGCGTAGCTGAAACAGAAGAATTGATTTGCCGAATTAGTTATCCAACTCTAAAGGAAGTAGAATCACTCACCTCTCCCCCACATCTGGCTCGCAATAGCACTCTGCTCGAGGAGAAAAGCGAGGTGTCTGTGGCTCCAATGAGTCCAGCAGGCCGGCATTCCCATAGCCCCGGTAAATCTCCTTTTGGCCAACGCCAGCACTCGGCCTGGCCGTGCTGCTACTGATCTCGGTGAAGTAGCTCATGTTGAACTCCGGTCCGGCTCCACCATCCAACACGTTCTCGTCGTTCCGCCGGCGGTTCTCCTGCCTTCGACCAGATGATCCCGCCAACTTGTTGCTCTCCCGCAGCTGCTTCTTCATCTCCTTCAACTTTCCAATCTTATCCTTCAGAACCTTGATCAGCATATCGATCTGCATGCGGGAAGTGCGCCACGTCTTCTCATCATCATAGATTACGTTCGAGCAGTTCACCTTGCCCGAGGTTGCATCCACGAAGCAACGATGACCTTCGGTCTTTGGGAACTTCTCGCCCCGACCGTTGGGATGGGAACTGGAGTTGGACAGCAGTCCGGGACCGTGCAGCTCGTGCTCATTGAACTTGTGTTCGAGGGTCTCCAGCGTGGTCTGTATCTGCTGGATGACCTGAGCAATCTTTTCGTTGCTGCTCACAGACAATTCCCGCTTGCTGCGATGCGAGTGCTCGGTGAGCATATCAACCGCTTGGTGCAGGTCCAGAAGCTCCTCCATCTCATAGGGCAGCTCTGTGTGGAACAACTCACGCTTGTTCCGCCGCCTGGCATGACCGCCATGATGGGTGCGCTTGTTCACGCGATGTGATCCGGCGGATGGGGCTCGAATCTTGGTGTAAACCACGCCATCGGAGGTGAAGCAGGCGCAGTTGCGTTGGTACTGCTTCCGCGGCATCGCAGCCAATTGATGCTCTAACTGGAGCTGAGTTGGATTGGAAATGATTAATGAAGGTCATCAGGGAATATGTGGTCATGAAACTTACATGGAACTTGCACTTGTGCTTGCGCCAGCGTCCATCCTCATTGACGCACTTCCACTTCTGTCCAGGCAGACAGTTCTTCAACAGAGCTGGATCCGAGCACTCCGAGTTCAGGCGCATCATCTTGGTTACGTAGGGAGCCAGGGGAAGATCATTGTCTTGCGGGTGAGGGAACTCCTGATCGTCCAGCTCTTCGTCACCCTCCTCAATGGCGGCATCCTCGAGATCCTCCTCTTCCAGAGCAGCAGCTGAGCTGTCCATTGCTCCATCCACATCTTCCTCTTCATTGTCGGTGTCCAAATCCTCCTCGCCATCCTCAAATTGCTGAGTGGTAGAGCTCATCAGGCTGGCAGCAGTACTGCTGCTGCTGCTGCTTCTGCTTGAGATGGTGGTTGTGCTCTCCACTCCAGAGTCCAAGAAATCCTCCAGCAGGGAACTGTTGACCAACTTCATATTACGTCTTTCAGCCTGTAATCGTGCCCTTGACTCGGCTATTTGCTCCGAGGTCTCCCTTCTGCCGGAACTCTCGATGAGGAAGCTGTCAGGCCAGTTATCCCGCACAGCTCGGTTTCTGCTCAGCAGCAAGGGCATGATGCTGCGTCCATCCATATGTTGAGGCGTAGGTACACCACCCATGTCCAGGAAAGTGGGAGCCAGGTCCACGTTCAGAACAATCTCATTGACCCTGAAGAGAAACACTTTTTTTAATCAAGAGATGAGGAAAAGCTCGAGCTACTTACACCTTGGAGGCCTGAATGCCGGGACCTCGAATGAGGAACGGCACCCGCACATCGAATTCGAAGGGAAAGCTCTTGCCCTTGATCAGGCCGAACTGTCCCAAGTGGTAGCCGTGATCCGAGGTGTACACAATATACGTATTATCCAGCTCCCCTAGTTCCTTTAGCTCATTGTAGACGCGTTCCACGGCCACATCCACGCTCTGGAGCGTCTGCAGACGCTTCGTCATCAGCAGATTGGTGAACCTTTTGTGCACGGGCTGCATGGGTTCGGTGACCCGTAGGATCCACTGCTTGTCTGGATTGGGGGCATGATCATATGATGGAGTGCTGGAGATAAATGTAATAAATTGCAGTTAAAAGTTTCCGATAGAATCCTAGTTATACTCACTGGTGGGTGGTCACATTGAAGAACAAATGACTGTACTGTGGCGCCGAATCCTCTGGACCGTGAGGGGCCGGAAAACTCATGGTGAGCAGGACAGGCTTGCGCTGGTTCTGCTGCTTGGAGGAGCGCAAAAAGGCAATGGAATCGTTGGCAATTAGATCCGGATAGTAGTCCTTGGCATAGTCAAAACCATGCTTGATCTTCTGCCCATTGAGGTTGATGCTATAGTTGTAGTACTTGGAGTTCATGATCAGACCACCCCACTCCCGCCAGCCAGGAGGGATGTAGGAGCCATTGTACTTGTTCAGGTACTTGCCAAAGTAACCGGTACGGTAACCGGCATTCGACAAATACGTGGCATAGGAACGCGTCTCGTGCGTGGCCTGCCACTGGGGACTGGAGCAGTTGTCATTGTTGGTGAACACCTGATGGTTGTGCACATACATCCCGGTGAGCAGTGAGGAGCGCGCGGGACAGCACATGGGCGTGGTGGTGTAGGCATGCCGGAACTCGGCTCCGCCGTCCCTTAGGAGGCGCAGGGTGCGCGGCATAAAGTTTAGAGAGCCCAGCTCCACATCCTGGTCGTCGGTGAGGATCAGGATAATGTTCGGTCTTCGCTCACGGGCTGCGTTGGAGTCCCGGGAAAAGCGCTTAGACGCATGACTACGCTGATGGTGCTGTCGATGGTGCTGTGCTCCTGCTCCAGTTCCCTGTTCCTTGCCGAGCACATGTAGCACAAAGACGAACAGAATCAGACTGGCAATGGCCAAACGCAGGCTGGAGGGCTGCATCATCATCATAGCTTTCGGGGGTAACTACTACAGCAAGCCTTTAAGTCCGGAGTCACCCTCAAAAAGCTCTCGAAATGCTCAGAAATTGCATCTTGTTTATTGCTGACCTGAAAAAACATGAAGTTAAAGGTGGCTTGTATTTATTTTTAAAGACCGTAAATGATTTCCCCTTAATTTTTACTTGAAGCCAACTCAAGCATCTTCTTGGACCTGATTTTAACTGCAGCTGCCTGTTTTGCAGCTGCTGCTTTGCCTGCTACCAAAATTTCATGCACCAGTTGACCTCGACGGTGCCGCGACTCGAGTGCCCTTGCCACCAAATATTTGCCAAGACAGCAGCATGGCCAAAAGCTGAATCAGAGCGATGCACATTTTGTCCACTTATCAGCAAATGCCGGCGACTGTCAGCCCGTCCTCAGACCCCCCGTCAAGTGTATTTGCGTCCTTGCTGAAATTTATGTGCCACTTGCCGTTAAGTGAAAACTGCACAAGCAGTGGATTTCCCTTATCCTGCGGCGGATCCACGTAAATTTCCTTGTGGCATTAAGCTGCCTGCCAGCCAGCCCAATCTGCCACCCACGCAACCTGCATTTCCTGCACCGAGACATACATAGTAATAAAGGCGGCGGAACAAGGAGGTTTACGGTTTACTGCGGCCCGTTTAAGTGTGATTTATGTGGTCGCAGTGCCGCTGTTTGTTGCATTGTAATTGCCAGGTAACAGTCAGTTCTAGCCACTTTTTCGAGAAGTGTGTTCGAGAGTCGAATATAGTAGAAGCTCCACTGGGTGGCGGCGACCTTCTGCTGACGGCAGGGCACTCGACGATTCGACTTGGCCTTGAGGTAGTGTGCTTAGCGATTCGGCACGCTGAGAAGAATTATCGCGGCCCCCTTGGCTCCACTCACTAATGATGGCTCTTTGCGTAAATCTCACATTTCAAGGCTAAAACTCAAAGATCTCCACGAATTGAGCAGCTCTCTGTGCTTCTCATAAAAACGAACTCCCCAAGTGACCGCTCTCTGCACTTCTCAAAAAGTTTAAGTCTTGTCTAAGCTCTTTTTCAATACAACATGTAACTTTAATCTCTTCAAGTCATTGATTATTTACTCTTAAATCCCGTAGTGGCCCTGGCCATTCTTCATTCCCTCACTTCAGCTGTTGCATAATCAGAAAGAGTACTTACTGCCAGAAGTTTTTCGGAGTGGAGTTGGAGTCCAAATTGTATTTAAATATGCAGCACAAATAATGCAAAAACTGAAAAAATAAAACCGAACCACTGCAGGTTGCAACAACTGAAACATCTGATAGCTGGAGAGGCCCAACATCCGGCGGTGTGCCAAGATGAATAGGTAGGCATCCCACGAGATGGATGGACTGATGGGAGCCAACTCAATGAGCCACTTGAGCTCGGCACAATAGAGAGAATGCCGCCCACCAATGGCAAATGCAATATTTCGCCAGGCATTTTATTTATTTATGCTCAATTATGCTGCATTTCTTTTCCTTTTTCCTCCAATAGCACTCGCAATCGAAATAGAAATGCCAACTTGAGCAGAGCAAAGCCGGCTGAAGTGGCTCCCCTGCTCCATTGGCGGAGCAGCTGGAGGCCCTCAGCCACTTGACTGGCGAAACTTCCTTGTTTCGCCCCAAGGCTGTGTTTTTTTTTGCCCGTTTCGATAGATGGACTAACGCAGGGAAAGGCACGGACTGGGAACGGGTTTGGGGCCCAGCATGACCCAACGGCAGCCGAAGGCCCTAAAAGGAAAACATGTTTGTGGCCAAACAAAGCCGGCTAAAAGGAGCCTGGATCCGCTGGTGCCTCTTTTTGTTGTGCGGCACCTTCCTGTCGCCTGCTGACAGACGTCACGCATGCGCAGACGGCACTAAGAGCAGAAGGAGCAGGAGGAGGAGGTTAAAGGAGCAAGAGCAGGAACAGGCAACGGCGGCTATCCCGACCTGGACCACAGTGAACGTGTTCCCGACTTGGCAACATCGGGCAAAACTTGTCTCACCAAAACTCAGCTGCGGCAGCCGCACAGAGATTGGCGGCTTGGGGTGAGGATGAAAGCCAACACGATTTCCTGATTCATTCATGAATTTCATGACTTTTGTTTTGTGTCCTTTTCCCTCCTGCATTCCCCAATTCTCTCACCGATTCCCAGGTAATTCCATCTTCTGGCGACCGAAAGTCGTGCTTGTTGCTAGGCGATCGTAAAATTTTATTACAGAAGTTTTCTTAAAGAATGATGCCTTTTGCTTTTTGCATGGTTTCAAAGTTACGTTTTCCCTTTTTGTGAGGGGAAAAGAGATGGGTTTATTTTATACATAAAAATAATTAAGCTTTGATTTGGAATTTACAAATATTTATCCCAAAGAAACCACATCTTTGAGAGAATATTTAAAGATCATTGCTATTTCGATATTTCATAAATCAGTTGGCTTTGAAAAATACTTCAAATAAGTGCCAAAGGTTGAAGTATTAAACACATTAAGTTGTTAGTTTTTGGGAGTTATTCAGGAACAATTGTCTTATATTTTCACGTAAGAAAAATTGTCATAAAATAGTATAACAACAGTATGAAATTCTTGTATTTCTTTCATTTAGGCGAAAAAAACGTGAAGATGAAAATAAAAAATAATTTTATTGTTCGGAACTTTTTCGTTTTCCATCCCACTAAAAACGAAGAGGAATGCAAGATTTGCCGGAACTCCTTCAAGGGATCCTACACTACAAATATGAAGAGGCATTTGCTGCAGCATCATGAGGCAGCCTATCTTAGCGAAATGGAAAAGAACAAAGTTAATGAACCGGCCGAAAAGAAAAGGAAATTTGAAATAACTATGTCACGACGCGAAATGAAGGAGGTATTGGAGAAGATCGTCACTAATGTTCCAGCAGAAACTTTGGAATCGGCTCCATTTAAGGCATTGAGTGAGCAAATCTTTGCCGGACTAGAGATGAAACCAGAAGATTTCCTTAATGCACAGGAATCATAAATACAAGATACGATAAAGAGTAAAAATCTCCGTATTCGATAGATACTGACTGGGGGCCTTTGTTTAAAAGTATATTTTATATTTTTACTCTGGTATAAAATTATAAAAAATTAAACAAAATATGATGCAATTGGTAAGCTGATCCTCAGTCTTTATTTTATGTTATATAGTCAAACTGGGGTTGAATGCACATAGGGTTTATACACTTCTATAGCTTACGACGTGACAATCCAACTGCATATCAAATGAGGCAATCTCCCTTATCCAGTGGACAAAGTGATTACACAGCAAAGAGACATGGACATGGAACAGAAGTCAGGCCAGAAGGAAAACCTGAAAGGGAAAGCTCTGGCCTGACTCTGGCCTGACTCTGGCTCACCAGATAGGACAGATAGAGGCAGACACACTCAATTACATGCAAATATGTATTTCAATTAGTGCAGGCTCCCGAGATTTATGAATATGCAAATAGAGCGATGTCGGCTAATCCGACAGTTGCCAGGCATCCAGATGATAAATTCCATCTTATCAGCTCTGCATCGCATTGGCAGGAGCAACTCGTTGCTGCAGCGACTCATTAGCGGCCATGTCGACGACTCCAAGTGGATTAGAGCTGCGAAATGTGGAGCTGCTGCAGTCTTGCTTGATCTCTGTGGATCTGGTGCAGCATCTGCGTAGGCTGCCAAGTCCAACTTTGCGCTTAATTATGCAATTAACAAGGCAACCAGCCGGCTAGGGATTGGGTCTGACATGTGACCAGTTGATGGCTTTGCCGAGTCAATTTAACGCTCAACTAACTATTTAAAAGCCATCCCGTGGCGAATGCAACTCCCACTCGCATGAGAGTGCCGCACATCTTCGTTTTGCTGGCTCTGTTGCCTTTCCAGTTCGATTTATGCATATTTAATGGGACCCCAGCTCTAGTCCCAGTTTCAATCCCAAAACCGACACCGAAACCGACACTGAAACCGAAACCGAGACGCCTTCAGTGTTTCCAAAACGGGAAAAGCATGTGGCAAGTGTCAAGCGGGAGGGCCTTGACAGGGGTCGACTTGTGGCAAGCCAATTTGCGTTCAGCTCACTCAAACTCACAAAACCCCGAACATGTTGTGACAGTTTGTAATGGACTTGAAATATTTAAGTTCACTTTGGAGCCACAGCCGACACTTGCGAAAGTTTACCAGGTTACCAGAATTATGAAAGATGAATCAAGAGGGGGAGAATCGAGGTGTTCTGATTTAACTTCAGCCGCATTAAAGTGCTCCTTAAATATATCTGACAAAATCGTAAGCCGACAATTATGAAAAACTCTATAAACACGCAATTGATACATTAAAATCACACTGTCTCGAGGGCGGAATGAGCTATATTTGACAATGTGAACGACTTGACTTGGCGGCACGTTCACGTTCCGAAATCATTCAGACGCGGCGACAAGTCCAAAGGAAGCCGCAGAAAATAAACAGAACCCAGGGCAAGGGGAGTGGGTTTTTGGAACAATTTGTTAATGGAAATAAAACGCCAAATGTCGTGAGTGAGTGAATGTGGCATAGCGGAACACATATTCAAAAGTCGCCTCAATAAATTTCAATGGCAACAAATTGTTCGTGAAACGGCTGCCAATAAATCTTGCGGTTTTTTGCGAGTCGCTTGGTTTTTTGTTCTCTTATTTTGTCAGAATTATAACACAGGGGAGAGTGACCAGTGACCAGTGACCATTGGGATTCACGTTTAGCTCAATTTATGACCGATTTCCACGGGGGCCAACGCCCTGGGATCGGTCCGTGACTGTTGGTTTAAAGGCCCCGCGCCACATTGCCAAATGAATATTTATTCGATTTTAATAAAGCCAAGTATGCCGAATTCGGTTATGACTGCAGTTATTTTGTAATCACGTCGATGGCAATTTGTTTTACACAGATTTCAGTAATTTATTTTGCAGCTGTTGCTGCTGTTGGCGAACAAGAATTTTTAGCAATTAACTCAATTACAAGTTGTGGCCCAAACAACTCTGTATGGCTTTGGCAAAAGGTTAAAAGTTAGGGTCTAGCGGGTATCCTGCAAATTGCACAATTAGGTCTGTCACACAAACTGCTATATTATTTATGAAAAAAGTCAGGTCGAAAGGCAAAGAACTCCCACATTTGCTGTTGTTTGTGGCATAAACAAATCAAATCCAATTGTGACCCACTTAGACAGACGGCAAAAAGTGTCCTCCACTCCTTAGTCGCATAAAAAAAAACCAAAAGGAAAAGGACTTCTGAGTTGTTGCCTGGAATTTGCATATTACATTTGCTGACTATAGAAGTTCTGCTGTTTTACCATAATGTGTATAATTTTTTCTTTCCTGGAAATCGATTCAAATAGCCTTGCTGGGTATATCTGTGCCCAATTGAACTTTCTTATCGTGATATTTATACACTTGAAACACACTTATCAGTTCATAGACCCATGTACAACTAAGACCCCCCGAAAAAAACTATATCACATTGAGTGCTGCTTCTTTGCGATTTCAATTTGGGTGAATTTAACAAGAAATAAAATGTCTTAGGCTTCCCCGTTCCCAGTTCCCATTCAAGGTCTGGCCCCAAGTCGTGCCGCAAAAACCAAAATAGAAATTCTATCGAAAATGTTAAACATTCCCTTGACATATCAGAGGAATGCCGTGTTGTCGTCACCGCCACTTTTCGAGATTCTATCTGAAAATCTACAAATCTACAAATCCCCAAATAGTTGCCACAAAGAAATGCCTCCAGGCCAACAATGTGATGACACAGAAATGGCGAATAATTAAAAACAATTCGAGTAATAATAATAGCCAATCCAGAGCAGAGAACAGAGAGACAGAAAAAGCTGATTGCCTTGGACCAAATGTGTGCAGAATTTCGAGGCGATAAATCATAACCATCGGGGGACTGGGACGTGGACATGGACATGGACATGGGGCGGGGACGTGGGCGTGGACTGGCTCGGATTCGTTTTCAAAGGAATTTCGGTCTGCCACACGATCGCCTTTCGAGAATGTTGAATCATTGAGCACACCGTCCAGGGGATCGGCATTATCATGAGGATGATGATGATGATGAAGAGACTATAAGGCCTGACTCAGTAAAGTTCAACTGCAGGCTCAGCTTTCAGCGCCGGGCGTCAAACGGAAGCCGCATTAGTTGGAAGTTGGAACTGGGAACTGGGAACTGGGAACTGGGAAGGTGCTGTGCTCTAACCCACAATACAGCGTGTATAATGGATCAGATCAGGTTGTCTGGGGCAAGGCAACCGCTTTTCAGGGACACGAGGCATCGGGTAGTGGATTCGATTTCGTCAGAATTCATCAGGTTGCCGAGGAAGGTCTCAACTTGTATATGGGGAAATCAAGTTCTTCTGTATACTCTTCATTGAAACAAACGATCATATTAGTTAATCAAAATAAATTCAGTCCTTAATTAAGACATAAATTTATGACGTAGGAGAAACATAATAACCTTAATTAGTGTGGGAATAAGAAGAATAGTTTTATTCAGTTCCTAAATTCGCAATAAAGTAAGCTTAAAGACATTAACCTTGTCTGGTTAGTTTATAGTTTTAGTTTACTTATACATGTGTAGTAAAACATTTATGATCCTCCCACATTTTCATTTGAAATTTCGCTAAAGTTCATAGATTTCAAAATGCATTCTGAAAGTTTGCCAAATATGAAAACCAAATTAACGTAACCTTGCCATATGTCAGAGGCAACCCGTTGCCAGGCATTACAGTATAGATTTTATTTATTATTTTACCCGGGCATCGTAAAAATTCATAATTTGTAATTAACCAAATTATTACAAACAATATGGTCAAATTTATTTATTTCTCAGACCTGGCTAGCAAATTTTCCTTTCCTTTATGGCTCTTTTAAATTGCAATTTCCGTCAGCTAAAACGTGCGACTGCAAAGAAGGCGTCTTTGTGAAATTGATGTGGACCTATTAAGACACGCAAATGTCATTAAACATTTTTGCAACTGTCAGGAATTGTGACACAAAAAGAGGCGAAGCCGAAATGTTTTTATATATAGTAAGCGGTTTAAAAATAGAGGCCACAATTGAACTTTGAGGTGAACTTATATGCGGCTAAGTTTATATATAGACCATCAGTTCGTAATCTCTAATTGGCCGCAAGGAATCCACAAGCCGAAATAGCTCAGTTGGGAGAGCGTTAGACTGAAGATCTAAAGGTCCCCGGTTCAATCCCGGGTTTCGGCAATTATATATTTTGTTTTTTAATTGAAATTAATTTTTTATAATAAATTTTTGAAGTAGACTTAATTTTTTGAAGTTTGAACTGCTCTAGAAAAGATATCATTTTAGTCAGAAGCTTTAAACAATGTGAAGGAGTCATTACCCGACCCTATAAATCATATATGTTCTTGATCATCATCAACAGTCGAAGAAAATTAAATTTTTTTAAATTTAAAATTGAGTATGCAGATTTGTTAACTAAATAAAAACTAACATATGAAAGCTTTCCGAATTGAATTTAATGAATTTTTGGCCTAGTTATGAGTTTTTTAAACTTTGATTTGTCGAAAGAAGTTTCATATAAAAACATCGATAAATATCGATTCAATGAATTCGAATTTTTTAAGCTTAGTTATGATTAATTTCCAATACTATCCTATAATTAAATTGCAAACTCCAATGGTATATAAACCTCGGTTTCCCAAAATTAATTCCCTTTTTTGTTTATATATAATTTTGCTTTTACTTGAAGAACCCTGAAAGGCTCGTTTTTTATCAGTTTGATGCATTTTTTATTTTATTAATTATTTATTTTTTATTTATTAATTAATTAATAATATTTTAATAATTTCAACAGCCGAAATAGCTCAGTTGGGAGAGCGTTAGACTGAAGATCTAAAGGTCCCCGGTTCAATCCCGGGTTTCGGCAATTATATATTTTTTTTTTAATGGAAATTAATTTTTTCGAAATAAATTTTTGAAGTTGTATCTGCTGTACAAATGATGATATAATTTTAGTCAGAAGCTTGAAACACAATGCAGGAATCATTTCCGACCCTATAAATCATATATATTCTTGATCAGCATAAACAGGCGAGTCGATCTAGCTATGTTTGGCCAACATTTAAGTTTTAAAAAATTTTGAAAATTTCATAAGGTTTTACATTGCCAAAATTTGACAAAGAAAATTTAATTTTTTTAAATTTTAAATAGAGTATGCAGAGGTATTAACCTGATAAAAAATATCATAGGAATGCATTCCGAATTTAAATTAATGCATTTTTGGCTTACCTATGAGTTTTTTAAACTTTGATTTAGCAAAAAAATGTCTAATAAAACATCGATGAATATCGATTAGTTATGATCAATTTTCGATACTATCCTATAATTAAATTGCAAACTGCAATGCTATATAAACCTCGGCTTCCCGAAGTTATATTCCTTTCATGTTTATATATAATTTGGGTTTTACTTGAAGAAACGTGAAAGGTTCGTTTTTTATCAGTTTAATGCATTTTTTTTTTGTATAAAATAATTAATTAATTAATAATATTTTAATAATTTCAACAGCCGAAATAGCTCAGTTGGGAGAGCGTTAGACTGAAGATCTAAAGGTCCCCGGTTCAATCCCGGGTTTCGGCAAATATTTATTTTGTTTTTTGATTGAAAATCAAATGTATTAAAACATTATTTAAGTAGACTTTAATTTTTGAAGGTTTTGTAGATTGGTCTGCTTTACGAAAGTGATACTGCAAGCATATAATATAATAATATATATAATGGGGACTTATATTTACTATATTTGGGTTTTATTTAAACAAATGTGAAAAGCCTGGTTTTTATCAGCTTGATGCATTTTTGTTTATAATCTATTTATTAATTATTAATATTTTAATAACTTCAACAGCCGAAATAGCTCAGTTGGGAGAGCGTTAGACTGAAGATCTAAAGGTCCCCGGTTCAATCCCGGGTTTCGGCAATGCATTTTTTAGTGCTCCTTATATTTATTTTGTAGCAATAAAATTTAATTGAAAACATCACTTATAGTTTTCTGCTGCCTTAAGTTTTTATCCTCTTTCCCCTTTCTAAAATTATTAAGTGTTTCCGTGGTGTAGTGGTTATCACATCCGCCTAACACGCGGAAGGCCCCCGGTTCAATCCCGGGCGGAAACAAATTGAGTAAAATTAACTATTTATTGTTATTTTTATTTGGTAAAGTATACGTAAGAAGTGAAGAATTCAAAGTAGTCATATTAAAAACAAGAGAATTAAAGTCTGCTACTTTATGGTATAAACAGAGACCTATAAATATATACAGTCTACTCTCCTCTTTTAGTAGAACATTTTCTATGACTTGCAAGTCTAGTGTCACTTTTCAATTCCCAGTTCTATTAGTTCCCCAAATATTGTGGTATTTCCGAGATTTCACTTAACCAAAAAAGAAGTCGCCAGGATGCCCACTTCCCTGTTGTGGCCACATACCCGGCTCAACTGGAAGCGGGCACTGCTGTTCTCGCTGAAGTGCGTCTACCTCCTGATGATGGTGACATTAAGCAGACAGACCGCTGGGATGGCTGTGAACAGCAGCCTGGCCCAGCATCATCGAAGGAGATTCCTGGAGGGGACTGCAGCCGCAGCATACACTTGATTCCTGTATGTCCCATTTGGCGGAAATAAACGACAGTTGGGGAATGTCTCTGCTCTACGCGCGCCGTCTTAATATGCTTTTATTGGCCAAGATATTCGCGCCGGCTGTCGGCCAGAGTAATTAGACTCCATTAGTGGCCTGGCAGACGTCGCCGCATTTCTCCCGAAGGCAGCATCACCACAGAAATCCATGCAAAGTGCCCCATGTACCATGTGCCATGTGCCATTTGCCATTTGTGCCATGTGCCCGTATCCAGATCTATCTCAATCTACAGTCCATGGCCACATGTTGGCGCTCATAATTTTTACGCCATTAGACAACTTTGTGCATAAACTCATTAAAATGTACTCGAGTCTCTCGAAACGAAATGGAGATGGCATTTGCTGCTGATGTGGCTGGATCTGGAGCTGGAGCTGGAGCAGGGAGCTGGTGCTGGAGCTGGAGTCGTCATGGCACTTGGCTAATTTGTCGAGCGGCGTCAAATGACAAGGAACAGGCAGCAGGCAGAGGCAGTCGCACTCCTCATCCTCCCCAGAATCCAAAGACATGTGGCGCGATTTGACAGTTTGAGGCGCAACAAGATAGATTGGCTTGCAAAGATGCTGGGCCTTTGGGATCGGTTGGGATGATGTCGAAGTGGAGTGGTTGGAAATGGCAGTGTCAGTGCAGACATTACGCAATTCGAGACAACTCAAGTAAACACTCGAGTGGTGGCCCGCCGCCGGGATGATTATGATTGCGAGCCCGATGAGTTTGTTGCTGCTGCTAATGCCATACATAATGCAGACGCTAGACAGGCGCTCTGGAGTCGTCACACACCACTTGGTTTCATCAAGAGAAGAAGGTTGCTTCATATCCCATTCCCTCAGCCTTTGGCCCTATTCAAGACACTTTCTTTTCGCAGAAAAAGAGGTCTTGGTTAGCCCAAAAGCGTGTCAATACTTAAAGATTTAAATATGCTTTGCTGCCTAGTAATTATACTTAAAGATAACAACAGAAGAAACCTATTTATATGTTGCCCCGCTTGTTTGGTCACCCAAACAAAAAAAGTCCCCAATGTGACTGATCATGATTCACAGCCAAGGCCAAGCGGCCAATTGACTCAAATTTATGGGAATCGCGAAGACACTTGTATCTATAAACTGATTATAGTGTCATTACTTATCAGCTAGATATCACTATCGCCGAATTCGGACCACATTTTTCCAATTTCCTATTTAAATGCGATTGCGGACAATGGCGGGGCCCCAGTAACGAACGAACAACCGAACGAAATTCTAGGAAATGAGTGGATTTCAAGGCACTAACATGAGTGCAGGTCCTCTTCCTGTAAAGGAGACCATCTACATAAGCACTGCACCTCCGCCGGAACCAGCGATACCGCCATCTGTTAACGTGACCGTTACCAACAATGGCTACTGGGCCAGAATGAACAGACAGACGGCAACGTCTAGTGCGGGTGAGAAAATTACCAATTTTCCCAGGTAGAGATGACACGTGACTTGACTAATCGGTATATAAAAACTTTTTCTGCAGTTTTCTTTTTCTTTGTCTATGGGGGTATGGACTTTGCCGCCAGCTTGGGCTGGGATCCAACCTTCAGTGTCCTCATGTCCACCGAATTCTCATATAGCTGGTTCATAGGCGTTATAATAGGAGCACTGGCTGCCATGGCCACCATGACATTTATGCCCAAGCAGGTCTACTATGTAAGTGATATGAAGATATCTAATTTTAAAGATTGTTTGAAACTTTTGACTCTCTTTACCCACCCCAGGTCTTTGGAGGTTTAATGCAGCTTACTGGTTCCATTATCTTTACCGCTGCACCCGATGACTACTCCTGCTGCCTGGCCGCTCGCTATGTGGCTGGTGTGGGCATCGGTTTCATCACCGTTCCATTCATCATTCACAATGCCGAGGTGACGGGAACCAATCAGCGGGGCGCAACCGGAGGACTGGAGCAATGTGGCCTGGCCATTGGTGTAGCCGCCCAAGTGGTTTACACTACGGAGTGGCTCACATTTCTTGATGGCAGCCCGAACTTGGTGCACGGCATCCTTGGCATTGTGTTCTCCTTGTTGGGCCTAGGAACTTGCGGTTTGGCCATCGAGTCACCGGTCTTCTTTCTGCAACGCAATCAGGAGCAGAAGGCACGCAGTTGCCAAATGCAACTTGTGGGCAATAACACCGGTGTTGCCAACAAGTACTTCGAGGAGGCACGAATCTATGTGGTGGAGAGCAGCAGCCGCAGTCTTGGCGAGGAGCTGGTCGCCTCCGCGATGCCCTTTGTCAAGCTTCTCCTATTCCGCTGCTGCGTTGCGTTCTCCTTTTCCCTGCCGCTGACCAGCTCCATAATACATAGCAGCCGCTTTGTTGAGGGCATGTCCCTCACCTGGCAGCTGTATGTGTGGGGATGTCTCCGCCCGATTGGCACCCTGGTGGCCCTCTGCTTTCTGGACACGATTGGACGCAAGGCGGTGTCGCTCGTTGGTCTACTCTGCATGGCGGGACTGATGCTCGGCATGGCGGGTCTTTACGATGACTTGTTGAGCTTCTACACTATGGCACAGGTATGCAACATTGGAATGGCCTTCCAGGCCTTTGCCGGACTCTTCATCTGCAGCTCCTCGGTGTACCTGGGTGAGGCTTTCCCTCTGCGCTTGAAACCCCACCTGGTTGGACTGATTGTAATCGTGGAGCAGGTGATCCATGTCATCGTAATTGCATGCATTGGCCCTGGAGTAGAAGTCAATTTCTTTGCGTACTTCCTGTCCGTGGGCATTATAATGCTCCTGTGTGTGATCTTCTTTGCTGTCTCCATGCCGGAAACGAAGAGAATGACACTGAGGGAGGCTGGCCACCGGTTTCAGAAGTGGTACGATGTGACAATATACTAAGCTTGAGAATCTGAATTAGGCACTCACCTACTTGTTAAAATTTATGTTTGCTTTTAATAAATATAATTAGATTTGTAAACAAATGTTTAAAGCTTGAATTGTATTGATTTTTTATTGAAAATTGAACTTGAATAATATGCTATGACTATGTCACCTGTATTGAACTTATGGATGACTAGACCTTCATAAAATAATACATTTTTATCGAACCTCATTGAGGCTTACTTTCACTGGCGGAACTTCCATAAAGCAAACATTATCTAAAGCTTATTACACACAGCACTAATCCCCCAATAGGTTTATATTACTTAGACCTCAATTGGTTCTTATGGCTCGTACAGTTGTTCCTTGACCATTAAAACGAACGGATCGAACCAAGTTCTCTGCAACCATAGAATATGACAATCACTTATGTTACCCGCTGTCCGGAGGACAATCAACAAAATAACTTTAAAATTAAGGATTCCGAGGGAGGATATATTCCTAAAGCTCAGCCAACAATGCAAAATGTGAATGTAACCATGGGAAATACAGCTTCTATGCGTCATTTCAACAAGCAACTCAATGTGGCCTCTGCAGGTGTGTCAAAGAAGCTATTTTTACTTAATTTCAGGAGGGGATTCCTTATCATTTACCCTTTGTCTCTGTAGTGTTTTTTCTGTTCGTATATGGAGGCATGGATCTGGCTCACAGTACAGGTTGGAATCAAACTCTAAACACAAAGGCCTCCCAACAGTTCAAATGCAGTTGGTTTATCGGAGTTCTTGGAGGATCCGTGCTATCGTCCCTGGTTATGAGCTTTCTGCCAAAGTTGCCTTTCTATGTGAGTCATATGAAATGTATTCAGGAGAGATAAACTAATTTTCTGCATATTCTTCAAAGGTCCTAGGAGGACTCCTGCAGCTCACTGGCGCCATCATCTTCACCTGTGCTCCCTTCAATTACACACTTCTTCTGGCTGCTCGTTACGTCTCAGGCGCTGGAATTGGCCTAATAACTGTCCCATTCCTCATTCACAGTGCCGAAGTATCGACGGATAAATATCGAGGGGTTAGTGGATCCATGGAGCAGTGTGGTCTGGCCCTGGGCATCGCCATTCAAGTGATCTATGACACTCAGTTGGTAGATGACAAGGAGGCATCCGTTAATGAGGTCCACGGAATCATAGGCATTGTTTTGTCCCTGCTGGGTCTGGGCATGACAGCCCTCTCGATCGAGTCACCCGTCTTCCATCTGCGTCGCAATCAGGAGGAGATGGCCCGCGAGTGCCATGAGAAACTCCTGGGAAGCTTCAATCCCTATGTTGACCAGGCTTTTGAGGAGGTCAGTCTATATGTGGCTGAGAGCCAGGAGAGAACCTTCTTCCGGGAACTGCTTGCCTCCGTGTTGCCTTTCATCAAGATGCTTTTCTATCGCGGCTTTGTGGCCTTCTCCTTCTCCCTGCCTCTGTCTGCATCCCTAATCTCGAGTGCCAAGCTCACCGAGGGTGAAATTTCCTGCTGGCCAGTCACTGTGTGGGGTCTGGTGCGCCTCCTTGGCGCTCTTGTCGCTCAAGGATTCCTGGATAAGGTTGGAAGGAAACTGTTCTCCCTGGTGGGATTGCTCTGCATGGCCATCCTGATGCTGTGCATGGCTGTCTCCTACGATGATCCATCCAACATCCTGGTCACCTTTTACATGTATCAGGTGTGGAGGCTGGGCGTTGCCTTTCAGGCCTTTGCCGGAGTCTTTGTCTGCAGTTCCTCGGTGTATCTGGGTGAGGCTTTCCCGCTGCGTGTGAAACCCTTACTTGTGGGTTATATCATAGGATTTGAGCAAACGATTCACATCCTCAATATAGTGGGGTACAACAAGGGTTCCGCTGACTTTTTCTATCGTTACTATCTCACTGTTGGAATTATCCTTATGCTTGGAGTGATATTCTTTGCGATTGTCATACCAGAGACAAAGAAACTCACACTCCGGGAGGCTGGCAAGAGGTTCCAGCGACTATTAAATATACGATTTTTCTAAGAAAAATACCTTTTTGGAGGAATAAATTAATTAGTTAACAATTTATTTATGTCTTTAATTAAGCTACTTGTGAGTACAGCTACCCTTTAGAGATAACGATTATCTCTAACCTCCAAAATCGTGGTTATCTGTGACATTTGTTAATCGAATTAATTTTTTGGGATTGATAAGCGAGTTCCAGCTATTAGCAGAACGTCATAGGATGGTAGAGAGGCTTTCCCTCAGTCACTGGGGGTATACCCCGATTTAGTGGCAAACGATGGCTCACCCTGAACTTTGTACTCCCGAATTCAATCAATTTCACTAAGTTGGCTAGGACACCTCCTGGGGAGTGAGTGAGTAACTTGGTTGCCCCCATGGCCCTCGAATGTTTCTGTGACTTTATCACGACTTAACGTGGCTTACTCGAAATGAATCACGGCAACAGGCAGCGGGCGTCGGGCCTACTGTTAAACGTGGAACGCGAGTATCTACCAGCTGATAAAACCTATGTGTATATCAATTATCTACTGGCTAGATATCAATTATGTTGATAGCTACCACTTACGCAGCCACATTTTATAAAAGCCCGCCCAGTCCACCCGTAGCTACCAAAACGAACGAATCGGAATTGCACGCGCTCCTTGAATCGAATTTAGATCGCCTTCAGGTTACATAAGTTGGACAGCGACCATGACAACTACCTATGTGACCACGGGCCAGGTGCCCGTCCAGCAGACCACGTTCATCACAACGGGTCCACAGCAGACTCAAACCACATACATCACCACCGGTCGACCACAGCCACCACCTCCACCGGTAGTGGTGGTCACAGCTCCCACCACTGGACGCTGGGCCACAGCAGCTCAAACCCAATCCGGAACAGCTGGTGAGATTAGCAGAATCTTGAAAGAAATTTGGTTAAATTGCTAATGGGGATCTCCTCTTTCCTAAAATCAATTAAAATACTTTGTTTCAATTGAAATATCTTCAGTAGTAAGAAGGTACTAATATATATATGACACAGAGTCTTTTAAATATTGACAAACCATTTTCTTGAGAATTCCTAGACACCTGATAAGAAATAATATCATATTTAAAAGCTTCTTTGTCCAACTATCTATGACAATTGGTATAATATATAAAAGAAGCAATACTACACATGTATTTGAGGAATAAAATAATATATCTTTAAATAACAAAATAAAGGTATATACTGCCAAAGAAGTATATATTACTTCCATTACCTTAAGTACCCAAAAACTCAAAGTCCTCATAGACTTTCTGTGAAGTTTTACTTCATTTACTAAATCCTTTATTAACCTAAAAGTGAGAATAACCACTTGATATTTAAGATCTCACTGCCCAAACCTGATCTATTTCTCCTCCAATACTAACTTTATTTTTTACCCCTAACCTAGCTTGTTTCCTCTTTGTTTATGCCGGAATGGACATGGCCCAAAGCCTGGGCTGGAGCTCTCTATTCACCGTCTCAACACTTGAGTTCCAGTATAGTTGGTTCGTTGGTGTCATCATTGGAGCTGTGGTCTCCGCCGTAACATCTTCTTTTCTGCCCAAAATGGTTTTCTATGTATGTTAAGTAAACCTATCACACACTTCTCTTGCAGATTCCCTTAACTAACTCTATACTCTTTCCCTGCAGGGCCTTGGTGGTGTAATGAATCTGATTGATGCCATTATTTTTGTGAGTGCTCCGTACGAGTATGAATCCATACTGGCTGCTCGCTATGTAGGGGGAGTGGGCATCGGCCTGATCACCGTACCCTTCCTCATCCATAGCGCAGAGATTGCCTCGAGCAGCAATCGTGGTTCCTGCAGTGCCATGGAGCAGTATGGTCTCGCCCTAGGTGTTGCCATCCAGGTGATCTATGACTCCCAGTGGACGCAGAGCTTGGACATGACTGTGAATCGAGTGCACGGCATCTTTGGCATTGTCTTTACGGCAATTGCTCTGGGTAGCTTGGCGGTTTCGACGGAATCACCGATCTTCTACATCCGTCAGAATCAGGAGCAGAAGGCACGAGCCAGTCTGAAGCGACTGATGGGTGGCTATTGGACGCAGGAAAGTGGCGAACGGGCCTACAATGAGGCGAAGCTGTATGTGGTGGAGGGCAGCAGTCAGGGAGTTGGCGAACAGCTGGGCGAATCCCTGATGCCCTTCCTCAAACTGTTGCTTTTCCGTTGCTTTGTGGCCTTCTCCTTCTCGCTGCCACTCTCCTTGTCCATGCTGAGCAGTACCTACGAGGTGGAGAACACCACCATCGCCTGGCCACCGGTTATCTTTGGCATCCTTCGCCTCATCGGAGCTCTGATCACCATTGGCGTGCTGGATCCGGTGGGCAGGAAGTTTGTCTCTCTGCTGGGACTCATGTGCATGGCCGGATTGATGCTGGGCATGGCTGGTGTTTACGGAGACTACTCTAACATCGCCGATCTCTACTTTATGTGGCAAGTGTGCCGCCTGGGCATGGCCTTCCAATTCTTTGCCGGACTCTTCATCTGCAGCAGCTCCGTTTATCTGGGAGAGGCCTTCCCCATGCGTGTTAAACCCTTCTTGATTGGCCTGATTGTGTGTCTGGAGCAGGTTATTCACATAATTGTAATTGTTACATTCAATGTGGGCGCCAACCACTTCTATAGTTACTTTGTGGCCGTGGGCATTATCCTGGTAGTGGGTCTGGTGGCCTTTGCTGTGGTTATGCCAGAGACCCGAGGCATGACACTGCGCCAGGCGGGTGAGCGATTCCGAAGGGTTCACGATGTGATGGCCTACTAATGGGTTTATATTTAATAATTGTATTCAAAAAAAATACTTGTTTAATAAACTAATGCCCTATACTTATAAATCTGCTATTTTTTTAATGAAAAAGTATTTAAAATGTAGTCAAAGAAAGTCTGAAAACCCATCCCGAATATCTAAATCTATATGCAAACTGTCTATTGATTTACGATTCTTATTTTTAAATTTAGCTGCTCTTCTTATGAACCAACTGTGTGCATTTACAATTTATCTTCTGGATCAGTTTTATTCTATACAAAAAAATTAAAATAAAATTGCAAAAATCTAAAATACTGTACACAAAGTAGGTAAATGTGGCAAGTGTTTGGTGCATTACTCATTCGCCCCGTTGACTTCCGCGTGGACGAAAAAAGCAGCAGTCAGGCCAGCTGCCTCTACTCGTACGCATATATTTATGTCTTCTCAAAAGAAACTATTTAATGCAGCTAATTCCCCCTCTCTTGGCAAGTCACTGGAGGAGACTATTTTTATAGGGCTGCGGGCTTTGCCCGGTTTATTTTGAACTTTATTACGGACTAATTTATGTCTCCGCCGGCTCTGTTCTACGGTTTCTGAACCTAATCTCTACCCAGGAACATGTGGATGCAGTGGATAGCTTCATTTTTGACACTTTGATGGCGCTTTTGTGGTGTTTGCATGTTTGTTTAACGTTCCGCCATCGGTTTATGCGTTTTTAATGCACTTTTATGGATCAAATCATTTCCACGACCAATTTAACACATTTTTTCCAAAAAGCGGCAGCTGTTATCTTGTATAGTTTTTAAATAGATCTTTGCCTTATGAAAAGTATATATATCATAGTTAAACTATCATCAATAATTTCATTAACAACCTTATGCCTTGCTAAAATCACTGACTAAGTAAAGTTATATACACTGATTTTCCTCCACACTGAAGTGAGGCAACGTGGCATTCTCCAGAAGCGACAACAACAAAGACCCATTGAGTCAACAATAAGGCGAATTATATGAATTACAATTGAAATTATCTTACAAGTGACACATCGACAACAGGGATGCGGGGCTGGTCCATTACAGCGCACAAAAATGCGCATAAAAATTGCATTAAAATGCCATCACAGACACAGGGGCCTAATGAAGGAATGGCAATAAAGGACAATTGCCAGAGGCATCAGCAGCTCAGGAGCTGAGGAGCTGAGGAGCTGGGGAGCTGGCTGGCAGCAATGCCCTTAAATAGAAATAGAGACGAAGAAGCTGGCCAAGATATGGGAACCAGCCAAATGCGTGCAAAAATGTTTCCACACATCTCTCGAGTGGCTTTTCGCGACTCGGCAATTTCCCAGACACCAAAGTGAATTAAATGCAGACGCGTGATTTTGCACACTGATTGCGGGGGCACCTGGAACCATCAGGCTCCTCCAGAAAGGGTGAGCGGGTGAGAGTTCAAGCCTCCCAGGGCAGTGCATTTAATTCCCTTGCCACAGGTGAGCGGTGAAGCGACTGCATCCACCAGATCCAATGTGCGAAAATGGGATTTTATGGACCGCAGCTTGGGCTAATTAACAGCTCAAAGGAAAATTTTGCAAGCGGCAGGGCACTTGAATGTACGAATTAAGGTACTTTATAGCAATATGTGTATTGTAACTCACCTTTAATTAGAATATATATTAGACTTCCGCTTTGGTCGCAATAAATCTGCAATTCAAACAAGTAGAAATGTGCTATGATTAACATCAGATAAGTTAGACAGCTGGAAATCCTTAATCAAGCAGCAAGCATATCATTAATTCATCTCAATTAAAACAGTCCAAGACGGTGACACTTTTCCGTGAACTTTCTGCTCATTTGCAACTGACACATTTGCACCTGCCTGAGCGCTGAATGATTGATAGTGGAACACCCGGTGGAGGGATAGTCCGTCCGTGACCCGGTCCGCACTCCGGAGTTTCCTTTTTAACCCGGGGGCAAAATTTCCATCTGTCAGCTGTCAGTTTTGAATGTTGGCAGGCGCTGAACTTGGCATTTTAATTGAGTGCAAGAAGCAAAAAAAATATATGTATAAAACTCAGGGAAATGACTGCAGTGCAAATGTGAATTGTGAATGCGAATTAATGGGATTTGCCGGCTGCCACTTGTGAGGAGGAGCTGAAGTGGCGCTCTTTTCTTCTGGGCACCTGTCAGTTAGGGTATTTCGACTTCGTTAAAACCGTCTTGTTTGGCTTTTATTGAACAAACAGCTGCCGCTTAACTGCCTTCTGGCAGAGTGAGACGTTGCTTTTATGGCTCTGCAGTGCAACGCTGCGTATGCGCAATGTACGATGTGGAAAGTTGCCATTTAACCCAGTTTGGTGTGCAAGTTTGTTACCCTTCGACTTCTGGATTTCTTATCATCACCACCATCACCTCTCGGGAAAGTGTTCACTTGACATGCGAACGTCGGCAACCTTGAACGATTCAGCAAACCCGAATTCGTATCGAAACTGCACCCATTGCGTATACGCAGCGTGTGCAAATAGGAAGGCAAACAAGAAGTGAATGGCTGTCGCTGCCCCTCATCCTCCACCTGGCTTGTTTGTCCGCCGATTGTACGGGTGTTCAGTTTATATTTACATACAAGGCGGGCAAGCGAGGTGTGCAGGCAAACAGAATGAAAAGGAAAAACATAAACTGTTTTGATTGCAGGTAAACAAAACGACTGACTAACTGACTAAGCGACTGGCCGCGAAGGCAGCAGACAACTCTTCGTTATTGATTGCTGTCCATTTATCATGCCGCTTGTTTATCAACAGGCCAGAACTTTTGATAAGCGCCCAGAACCGGTTTCCCGCCTCCCCCCAAACTCCCTTTGTGGAGTCAATGATCTTGGGTCCACGGCACTCACAACTCTTGGTTACGTGTGACGGACTATTGCGCATTTGCCTATCAAATAGGAGACACTCTAAGAAATCTATAATCATTTTAGGTAATCATATTAATATAATACAGATTACAAGTGAACTAAAGCTTAAACAAACCTAATTAGTTGAAGGTCAATTGGTATAGCTAAAATAATTTACTTTAGTAATCAAGGTATTCTTTCTAAATACAGAATAGTTTTACCATTTGTATATGTTAGCAATATTTTTTCATTGGATACTATAGTATACTCTCAGTAATACTATATTAAAAGTTTATTAATTTGATTAGATAGTTAGATTATAGATTATTTTGGATCTGCAGGGCTATTTTTTCCAATGTACAGGGGAAACAGGTAGTTGTTGCCTGGCGATGATTTCATTGGAAACAAAGCCAAACAATTCGAATGGCAATAATGCTTTTGGAAATGCTTCATTGATCACCAGAGGGAAATGTTACGCACCAATTACTGCCAGCTGGGGGGGGGGGAGGAGAGTGTAAAATGGCATTCCACCTGAGCTGGGAAATATCCCATATACTATCCCATACCCATACTGGTAGTATTAATCTCAAATGAATAGTTATAATCCGCAGTAATTAGTTGGATTTACATGCCGCATTAAAAGTCTGCACATAAATCTGTCACAAATCGTATAAAAAATCATATTTATGGCATAAATAACTCAAATCGGGCAATAATCAATGCCACTGACAGGCATTCACATAAAAAAAACCCAAAGAGACAGAAACACACACGCAGAAAATGTAATAAACGCCCTCGGCCAGAGTTGAGATTTTGATTGAGTTGGAAAATGGCGCATGCAAATCACAATTAGGAATGTTATTATTGCCATAGCTATTTTATTTTATTATTATATGTAGCTGTAATAGCCAGCCATTGGAATCGTAAAACGCTTGTTAATTGATTGCGAACGCGACAGGGCATTGTTGCCGAATTAATTATTCAGCAATTGAACAATTGATTGAACGCTCTGGGCACAGCGATTATTTATGGACATTGTCGCAGGCAGGTCTTGCGAGTGAATTGGTTCGGTTTCCGGTGGTCTCCTTTGTCCTTTTGTCCTGCTCCTGTCAGTTATATTTAATACATTCAATACATATTCAAGGTGTGAGCCAGGGGGCAAGGGCATTCGACCTGTGAAGGCTCATTTCTTACCTCCTTTGACCTGCCACTGACTTTGACAAAATGAAGGCCATATTTACTCAACATTCTCGGGAAACAAAGCGCATTCAGAGTGCGTATGAGATATTTGTGTCGATTTGTCAGTGAGCATGGAATTTGGCTTAAGAATTCGGCCGACTTTGAACGGAAATGCCACAATGGACCAAAATGGATGCCTGGATTCCTTGTATCATCGAACAATTGGTTCAACAGAAATCACTTGCAACGACTTCTACTTCGAAGCAACCCGAAAGGCAGTTGTTTTTTGTAAAAATTAATATCCGTAGCTGGTCTGATGAATGCTCACAAAACTACCTGATAAATCGCACTCGCATCTGTTGACAGCCAAAACAAATGACTTTGGCAAGCAAACACACACTTGGGATTCTGGGAAAGATTTTCAATTAGCACTGGGCAAGGCATTATGGGGAATTATTAAACAGCACGCGCTCTCTGAACTCTGCCGTTCAATATGCCAAAGATATCCATAAATGAAATAAACAGCCAATGTATGTGTATGTATACAGAATGCATCATTAATCACAACCTGGCTCTGGCTCTGGCCTTTTCAAGATCATTTAGCACCAGATACTACATTCGGTCCGTCAAAAGTTTTATTGTATTTCGACACCCAACACTGGCGCTAAATTTGCACATTTTTCACTTAATTTTTTCTTCTCTTTTGGCTAGCAACAAAACATTAAAATCATAATTTTAAATGAATTTATAGAATTTGTATTATTGGCTTACGTTTCGATTTTTGAGGGAATTTTCGCTCATGTTTGGGTTTTGAGGGGGGGGAAAAAACCACATGATGGTTTTCCATCATTAATTTGTTTTGGCTCATAAACAATCACGAACTTTTATTGATGTTATGAATGTGATTCTGATTGCCCCGTGTTTGTTTATCTGTTTGTAGAGGAAAATGTGCAATGTGGGATAGATTTAGTGCTTAGTTAGCCTTGGGATCAAATATCCAAAATATTTTCTACAACTTGTTATTGAATGGTTCGAGCGTTTTGAGAATCACATGATCGCATAGATGTTTCTTATTTATTGAAGGTAATTTTAAGACATAAATATATGATTGTTCAGCCGTATATATTGTGTATGTATTGTACTTTAAAAAACTTTGTGAGCACATTTTGATGATTTTGTAAATAAGTTTTATTGCGTCTTATGTGCATTTCCTAATCCTTATGGAAAATTTATAAATATTAAGATTGGTTTCCAACTCTACATTTGATTTCTATTAGCTTGAGTATTTTGAATTATTTATCTTAGGTATTTATCAAAGATATTAGCACTTATTAAGCCTCATTTAATTATGACATGTAATTAAATATTTACCCCAAGGAATTAAGGACTTTTGCCTAGCAATGTCTAGTTATTTTCCTCGCTTTGCTTCCATTTCTTTGTTTGTTTTTCGAATTTTTCATTCTAGCCACACTCGCTTTTCATTTCCCGCTTCATCCTGGCCTGAAACTATGTCTGGAACTGAGACTGGGATTGGGAAGGGGAATGGGAATGGAACTGGGGACTCCGAATGGGACCTGGGAATGGGTAGGTTTGCTCTCATTTTGCCTTTTTTCACGCTTATTATGTGTTGTGGTTTGTTGTAGTTGCGGCTGATGTTGGTTTGTTGTGCACATATTTACTATAGGTCTGTGTATATATGTATATATTTTGGTTTAAATGTTGTCAGACAGGATTTTCCACTTTAATGCAGTCGACGGCGCTGCTTTTTGGCGCGTTTTCAGTCGCACAGCTCATCATGGATCAGAACAGCCCAGCTCCCGGGGCGCCTTACCCTTCTCCCTTCTCCCATCGCCTGGTTTCTCTCCTTCACCCCTTGCTAAACGTTGAGCCTGCGTGTCCGCAATCCTGCAGCTGTGGCAGCAGCATTCAGGTTAATGCAGCCTTTTATTCATACTATTTTTCTAAGCGCATTATGCCTCGAGCTCCGCTCAAAATATTAGCAAAAATTATGTTAATCCTACTTGCCAGCCTGCGCAGCGTATGCCGGCGAGTTGAATTAATTTAATAGCCGCTTACAATAATTACCCAGGGACCAAGCCACCCTTGGACAGGGGGTAATGTTTTTAATGTCTTCAATGTTTGACGCGATTTCAAATTGCGCCTTGCGGCGCAGACACTCCGGACATTAAAATGGGATATTGCCAGTGGTGTGAGGATGCAGTTGCTCCTGCAGGAGAGCAGGGTTAAAAATAAATTCAGTCAGAAGACTTTGAGGTGGAGATATAGGGTCCAAGTACACTAGAGAACTTAGGGAATGTAAGGAAAAAAAATATAGATATAGTATAATCGAAGAGTTTTAAGATTGTTTAATTTATATTTTTAAATTTATTGGATCCTTGCTACACTTTGATTTATATTTTTTGTTAAGTATTAATATTAAATCTTTAGTTTATAAGAAAAGTCTGCTGGCGTCTTTGACAAAAACATGAAAAGATCTCGTTCTGAACTTGTGAGACTCTGATGACCATGATAACCATTATGGTTTATATAAACAAATAAAAAGTAAATAGATTCAATAAGACTCTATGACATGGTCATTTAATATTATTTATAAAACAAAAAGCTATAATTGTTAATATTTCTTAATATAAGCTAACTTAGAGTTCACTGAATCTGCTTTGAAATCAAATTTACGCAAAACAAAAGCTATAAACTATAGTCATACAAGCACTGATCGGGTGGCTCTATCTGGAATATACATACATATAGTATGTTATATATAAAATAGTTTCCTAAACATTTCAATTAAAAATTCCTTCAATTCCCAATTAACCCGAGATAGTAAGAGGGCGCGGTCCATTGTCCTTATCAATTTCCAGCTTCCAACAGAGACGAGAGACATGTGTTAATTTACACTTGCTGCTAAATGGGGTGCTCCACCATTGGGCGTTATAGTTCGATCCATTTCCAGATCAGACTTAAGGGGGAGGAAAATGCAAATTGAGGCGTTTAAAAACGCGCACAAATCGCTCGCTGCAATTAAACGGCGCCCCGAAACGCGTGCTTGGGATAGAGCCCGCCTCCCGGGTGATTTTATGACTGTATTTTATGCGTGCCATGTCTGCCATATAAATATATATATATATATTTATACACATACATAGTTTGCGGCTAATGACTCCGCCTGGGGAGCGGGCAGCGGATGCAAATGGAAGTCAGAGACGCCTTGTGTCCACTCATTAAGTGGTGTTAGTTCAACCAGTTCCGAGGACAGCATGATGGATTGCCGGCCAGCTGAATAACTCGAACCCCAATCGCTCATTCAGTTGGCCATTCATTCATTCATTCATTCATTCATCGGACTTTTGGGCTTCGAGAGCGGACCGAAACCTGATTACGGTAAAAGGCCAAAACGGAGTGTGTTCTGGTCGATGCCTTTGGGGCAACAACCAAAGCGTTAGTCATCGTCATTGTCGCCAGCTGCTCCTCCTCCTTTTTGCCCTCTCCCCCAGAGCCTCAACCTGCGGCTGACCGAATTATAGCTCTCGGATTGCGTGGAGCGATCAAACCAGTTTCCAGCTTCAGCTCCTACTCCAACTGCAGCTCCTCGGTAGGCCGAAAAAGGCCAGGAGAAATTGCCACAGTCGAAACAATTAGACAGCCCGACCAGGCGGCTAACGGCTACAACTTGTTGCCGCCGCGGACAGAAGACGCAGAGTCTTGGCGCTGGGAAAAGTAAAAAGTGTCTAATTAAATGCTTGGCCAGTCAGGCCGCGGGAAATCTAGAGAGGGAATCCACTAAACGAAGTTGAAATACTCTAAATTAGATTAGAGTTTAAGTTACTTCAGAGGCTTTGAAGCAGGCTTACAAGGATCGGACTCCTTCGAATTTCAGGCATTCAATTAAAATAGCTTTGTTTTGTAGTCAAAAAGGTAAAGAGTTGTTATAAACCTTTGACTCTGAAATTAATGCATTATATGGGTATCCACTTTAGGAAATATTCCAAAATCCTTGGACTTTCCCTGAACTTGCTCATGGATTCATCTCATATATTCAAAGCCAAAAGGGTATAATGTTAAAAACTTTGGCTTTAGCAAATAAAACTTATTCACAACTAACAGATTCACAAAGTTTTATTTACTATCAAGGTATGTTTGTGTATTAGCAAGGTAAGTAAGTTTATATAAAAGTCATTTGAAAAATTTCCATTCGCATCTCATTTGTCATTTAGCAAATACTAAAAGGTGATTTTATTCAATGCCCATTGACTATTGTTTACTTCCCTTACCCAAGTATTTAATGTACCCGGTTGAGGAGTATAGTGTACAACAGGCAAACAACAATTAACATAAATTGCTTACGCGATGCGGCCCATTGAGTGCGGACAAGGGGTTAAGGGGTCACAGTTGCTGCCCGTCAATCATTCTCGCAAACGAACTGTGACTAGTCGGGGAAAGGGTTTTCAATTTCCACGCTTGCCTATTGCCGATTTTCCAGCACCGGTGGAAACTACAAGACGGACAGCCCACCTGTCGCACTTCTGCGATAAGCATCTCATCACAACAAAAGATTAACAACGCCGGTGAGGGACAAAGATCAGAGACCGATGGGCAGATGGACAGGTCTCCGATTAGAGACGAGACCAGGAGGCGGCAGGGTTTCAAAGCAACCTGCCTGCACAGAGAAAAATAAGGGAGGATAAAGAGGAAATTATACAATTTCTAAGGTAAAGGTGTATAAAAATAGATGATCCTTTTCGATTGTTTCAAAACTATACTATCATGAGCTACATATCGTATCTAAGATAAGACAAGACAGGTCTGAGTTATTTGACACTTTCTAGTTACTAGAAATAAATAACAGTGTACCCACAGATCAACCGGAACCACCAGAGGAGACGAAGGCCTTGAAGGCCACCACCAGGTAGGTAGTCAGGTATTGTATGCATTTAGGTAGTAGTTGCCACAAGGGGCAACACCTTCGGGTTGACATATCGAATTACCCGAAGAAGCGGCACCCTAGGAAGCTGCCAAGTGTCGGGACCTCAACGCCAACGATCCAAAGTGGGTCACATTACCAAGAGATCCATCGATCGCCATGCATTCCGTGTTACTTTCCCTGGCGCATGAGGCGGAAGTGCTAATGAATCCGTAGAACAACGATTCAACAGGCATAGTTAATGAGGCTCGTAAACAACACCAATATACCAATGATTCGATTGAATCAGCCTAAAGCAGCCCTCAACAGCTTGTTTCAAGTTATGATCAATAAAAAACCTTTTAAGTTTGGAACGAGAACAATGGCTCCCCCCAGTGGGAGAGATTCGCTGAGATTGCGTTCTATGTTGTTAATTTTTAACGATCACAGCAATTCCGTGGGCATGCAAAAACATCAATAAAAATGCAGTACACTCACCTACCTCTTGTTTTATATTTATTTTTTGTTCCAAGTAATTGTAACTTCAACACATGAGGTTTACTCCGAGTAGCAGCCCGCCGGCGTTCAATTTCGACACTTCACCTTCTATTTATAGTTTGTGTCGTGCGAGAAGAGTGCCTCTTGAATTAGATGATAAACCCGGTAATTGGTTGTACAATCGCGATTAACGAGGTGGAGCTGACTAACCGCGGAGAGCCCCGGCCGATCCGAGTGAAGTTCGATGGCACTGAAGGGCGGGGGAGCAGCCGCCGCTGATAAGCCGATGGACACCAACGCACAGTCTTTAATTAATTTAGGGCCAGCAATCAACTCGTCTGGATCCCACGACCTTAGAAGAGGCGTACTCCGCACTGCCCACGGATTAGCTTGTTGGTTTGTCAATGCACTTCTGTCAAATTATTTATTATTTACGGACACTCCCGACGTGGGCACAGCGATCTCTCCAGCACAGTTTCCCAGACTTTTGGCGCACTTTTCGCCCTCAGGCCCACGGCACATGCGAGTTGTTGTTGGAGCGCGGGAGTCGCCGGCCGGCCACCGATGGGGGAAAATTCACGTTATACACAAGCACAACCGCCTCCGTTGAAAATTTTTTCATCTGTATTGTTTTGAACGTGCGCGCTAGAGATGAATGAAAATCGATGAAAACTTCGATGCATCGATAGTTTTCGAATTTTATAAGTAATCGATGTTTTGGGGCTATCGATTTTGTGGTACTTTTTTTTGATAGTTTTGTATTTTATTGTTTTGTCCCTCTGAATTCCATAGCTGTTATTAATAGTGGGGTTGTTGTTGAAATATTTCAAAATACCAAGATATCGATATTTTTGTGATTTTTTGATATTTTTCTATTGGTAAGTCGAAATTCCGAAGCTTTTATTTAACATTGTATATTTTACACTCTTACAGATACGTGTAAAATGCTCAAGTAGAATGTAAAATTAATAACATTCCCACTCTCATGTCATCTAAAATTAGTAATTCACCACGATTAAGAAAGCGGCGAACTAGTTGCTGTCGTACTGGTTCAAAACCAAATGAATTGTTGGCGCCAAACCTTTTGCAAAGAATATTAGTTAATTTAATTTAATTTTATTACACCATAAATCACAGGACTCAAAGTTTATTCTTCGTTACATTTTAAATTTGAAAAGCCAATAGATTTAACATTTACTTAGTGAACAATAATTGATGGTTCCCACCTTCTTAAACAAACACTAAATAGAAACACTCGTTATTTGACTGGTGTATATATATAGATTTATATTTATTGTAAAGGTGGATTATATTTCAAAAATATTTAAGACTATAGATCGAATCGATAAGCAATAAGAACTCGTCGTTAATCGGTTCTCAGGTCTAAAATCGTTTCATTTTAATGGTAAATAATTAAATACATTGTATTTGAATAAAAGAAAGATCATGCAAATAATGATGGGAGTATGGGGCTATAGTTTGGGCTTGCGATTTAACGTTTTTTCTAGTCAAAACATGGAAAACCAAAACACACACGACGTATTCGTCACATTTCGGAGGCAACAACACCAATGGAGACGAAAGAGTTGGGTAAAGAGTATCCAGCCGGGTTCCCAATTCCATTTCTTGGACTCTGAATTGATAAATTGTTTACATTTCTTATTTAAAATATGTGCAAATATTGCAAACTTCTGATTCTTTGTTTAATCAATTCAAATTCCATAATGTTTACTTTGATTTGAAATTGAGAACCGGATTGAGATATTATGTAAATAATACAACTTATAAACGCAAATTAAAAGTAAGTTAAAATAGTTGTGGCAATCGAACATACCGCTAAGAGACGAGACAGAGGGAGACCGGACCACACCAGACCAGGGATCACTATCCACTATCCAGCGTTGGGCGCAAGGCAACGTTGGATGATGCACAGCAAATCCGTGAAATGATAACGACTGAAGCGCGAAGGCCTCGAAATTCGCGGTTCCCTGAAGTGTGCGATTACAAGTGTTGGGGGGAGTGCGATCCAAAGATCCAAAAGGCGACAACAATGCGCGTGAGCCTGTTCCAAGTGAATCCTAAATCCCGAGACCGTTAGGGCAGATGCCGAAGAAAAGGCGAGGCTCGAAGAAATGGCGACCGAGTCCGAAACTGTTCGCTATAGTCCTGTCCATGGGCAACTCGACATGGCTTTACCAGCGTCCTCCTCCTCATCCTCCACACATCCGTTACCCATTAAACGACCAAAGGATACAGAAAATCCACGACAGAGCCGAAAATATCCGAAAATCCTGTCTCCTCCTCCTCATCCTCCACTTAATCCTCCGAGGTGCGAGTAAGCCGTGGGGACTCGGCATCCCACGTTGTCCTAGCGAAGGGCTCAGAAAAATCCTACATCCAAATCCAAATCCATTCCTGATCACAATCTCATAAATATACACATATTTATCCAGATCCTGCCTCCACACTAAATTAAATCCAAATTTATCCACTCCATTCCATAACATCCAAAAAATATCCTCATCATCCTCCTCCTCCTCCATTTATCCTCATCCTCCTCATCCACTCTCCAAACATAAACGCGCAAAAGGGGAAGAGAAGAAAATAAAAATGTAAGTATTAATAGTTTGCTGATCATTGTGATTGACATTGCGATTTGTGTTCGGGTATCTTGTTTTTGTATATCATTCATTAAAAACATATTTATTCTGTATCGATGTTTGTTTCTTGCTTCCGTTAAGATAAAAGCTAATAAATTATGCTGCCAAAAGTGAGGTTTCAATTATAATTTGTTGTGTGTGCGGAGCAAAGGCTCAAAATCCAACAAACGCAAGACAGGAAATGCTCAAGCGGTCAATTCCCTGGATTACATTTGTCATTTTCGAACTGTTTTTGTCAAAGGAAAAAAAATAGTATTGTTGAATGATTCCGGTTTCTAGTTTATGGGAACTCTTCTCTGCTTCTCTGAACTTTTGGCTCAGTTGGAAAAGCAAGTGTCTTGAGTTTTGAATTTAGTTTTGCCTTGTTGAGAGCTTGAAAGTTGACTGAACAAACTTGATTGATTGTTTGCCTGGTGTCTTGCTTGGTTAGTCAATTTACAATGTGGCTTGAACAAATATAGAATGTGGTTTCTTAATTTAACTTGCTTTCCCTAAAAATTCCTGCTCGTAAGAAATATTTTATATTAATGGATAATGCTTGGTAGTGTTTAGTAATTAGAGCGAGAGCGAGACCTGGAATAGGATTGACGACGCACTGGCGAGTAGGTGGGTGTTCCACGACGGCGCGGCCTAGACGAGAAAGAGCGCGAGCGCGATCTGTTGAGAGGGAGATGCAAACAAAGAATAAATCATACTCAATACTCTAAACCTGAAGCCAATGCTTACCTATCGCGGTAGTCACGGCCTCCGCCGCCACCACCACCACCTCCGCCGCCGCCACCGCCTCCTCCGCCCCCGCCGCCACTGCGTTCACCATCACCGCTATCCTCGCGCACCCGTATGTAGGCAACTTCGCCCTGCAGAATAAAAGGAAACAAAGTAGGCAGTTAGAAAATAGTTGCTTTAAAATAATGCATGAAATCTATGTTGCCCTGCCTAAATTCCTGTTAAAATTAAAAATATATAAAGATGCATGTCATGCTATAAATATATTCTGCAGCGATAAGCAAGAAGGGAACACGTTGGTCTCAGTTCCAGTGCTAATTGTAGTCATTATTCAAAATGAATAATGTATTCTCAAACAATAAATTAAACATTTGAATTGCCTAGCCAGCGATTGACCCTTTGGAATGAGAAATCAATAATTTGCATACCTCATGCGAACGGAAGCGCGAGTCGTCCAGCTTCTTGATGGCGTACTTCATGTCCTCGTGACGCAGGAACTCTACCACGCCGGAGCCATCCTTGTATGTGTCTGCGAAACACACGTCGCCGGCCTCGCGCATGTGATCCTTGAGATCCTGCCAGGAGCCTGAGGCCGGCAGTCCGGTGACCATGACTCGGTACTGTGAGCGCTTCGCCGGAGGTCCGCGTCCGCCCATGCGTCCGCCGTCACGGCTGCGTCCACCGTCACGGTTGCCGCGATAGCTGCCGGGGCCGCCGCCCCGAGGGAACTCTACGCGCAGGCGGTAGCCATCATAGTCGTAGCCATCGCGAGCCTTAACTGCATCGTCAGCATCGCTGTTTATGGAGCAGCGGCGCAAATGGGGGGCCAAGGTCACAGAGGGAGAGACCAACAAACTCGGATTAGTTGGGGTTTCTTCGCACGGCGGACAGCCTGCCGTGCGTGTGTGTATTCCCATTACTCACCGCGCATCTTCGAACTCGACAAAAGCAAATGGCGGCCCACGCCGATTCTTTAGGTCGACGAACGTCACTTTGCCGAACTTGTGGAACAAATCCTGGATGTCCTTGGTGCGAATATCTGGCGGCAGGTTGCCCACGTAGATGCGGCACTCGTTGCGCGAACCCATTTTATCAATTTAATTATTCGTACAATTTGCTTTGCGAGCTGAAATTTGCGAGTTAACTCGTTTGGCTTTTTTTTCTGTCAAGACCAGTGTGACCACTTAATTTTTTCCTGTCAAAAGACCGGTGTGACCAGTTATTGTTTTGGCGTAATATCGTTTGCTTGTGCAATATCGATAGGTAGAGCACAATTGACTGTTTCCCGCGATAGTTTTGAAAATTAATTAATTGTTTTGTAATATTTTACAAACCATCGACTTATCGTTTACACTCTCACCTCTGCGCTTACGTCAATTCAAATATGGGCGACATACCGGGAATTTTAAGCCTACATCTTTCTAAGAAGTTTCACGAGTTTGTTTCAGTCGAGATGGTTAAGTTCAACATTTACTCAAATATGAAAGATGGTTTAGAGCGCCGCCGCCAAAGATCAGGGCGTGCTCGGAGCGACGTCGTAGCGGCTGCGCGTGCTCGTGCTCTACGTAGGCAAGCTGTAGATAATTTGCTTTGGCGTGATAAAAAGGCAATTCTGCAGGCAGATCAGGGCCAAAATCTAGCGATGCAGGATCAGGAGCAGTCAAGACCAGAGGACCAGCCTATATCAGAGGAGCTGCCAACCCAAGCTCACTCTAGCACTGTCCAGGACTTACATGAGACCATAACGCAGAATCTGCGTGGCTTAATTCTAGATGCAGTTAAGTTGGCTCTGCATCCCGAACAGGGCCAAGACCAGCTGATGGATCAAGAGCAGTCAGGAGAGGAGCCCCCACAGCAGAAGGATTAATCAAAGCAGGCCGAACAGCCAACACCAGAGGAGCAGCCAAATGTATTGAGCGATCCAGAGCTTTCGGCACATACCTTCCTACTTGGGTAAAAGGCATTAACTTATGAGAAATTATAAATATAAATACAAAAAACAGTTAAATAAACGTACTAAAGGCTTGCTTAATTCTGTATATTCGTTCTGTCTGGTGGAGAAATTTAAATTATGTATAATGGGGGTAAAACAGAGAGGACTTGTTTTTATTTTTATTACTATGTATTTCGTTTTAGTATATTATATATTAAAGCTTATATACTCCAGTTATTTTTTTCCAATTAGACGCCATTTACTTGGCGCGCTAAGAGTTAAGTGTGCCCGCTAGGTTTTCCAATTATGATGCGGGCTTATCCCTCCACGTCACCTGGTCACACTGAACCGCCATTGTGAACTGACAATTGACACTTTTCCGCACGAAAGTTTGCATTTGCCAAGGAAATTAAGGTAAAAATAGGATTTATCATGGATTTAAAATACTTCCTGGAGAGTTAATTGACGTCCTGCAAGGATTGCTTTTAATATCATCTTCGGGATACTCCAGGAAACACGACAACAACAAATCGTATTACATAACCTTTTTAAGGTTACATATGAAGGAACCCAAAATCCGCAATTCTAATTGTTTTATTTTAAATTCCAGATGCTGTCGCAATCCCTGCTGAATGGCATGCGTGTCCTGCGCACCGAGGCTCGCCGTAACATTGCCCTGATGGCCCCCGCCATGAACAAGGCCTCCGATCCCATCCAGCAGCTGTTCCTGGACAAAGTGCGCGAATACAAGCAGAAGAGCTCGTGAGTTGCCGCCTCCAAGCCATGATTGGTTCCAAGTACTAACCAGTATCTCATCTTCTATAGCGGTGGCAAGCTGGTCGATTCCAATCCCGAGATCGAGCGCGAGATGAAGAACGAGCTGGATCGTGTGGCCAAGCAGTTCGGCAGCGACGGCAAGACCGACATGCTCAAGTTCCCCGAGTTCTCGTTCCCCGATGTCAAGGTTGACCCCATCACGCAGGCCGCCTCTTAAATATGTTGCGTATGACTTAGTTTAATTGCTTTAAGTTCTGCTGCTAATTTCCTCTTCGAACGCCCACGAAAATCACGGGATTAACACGTCAAAAATCCAATTAATAAAATCGGAAAACAAGCGAAACGTTTGTGAAACAAGCAAAAGTGTGTGTGTGTGTCGCAGCGAAATCATTATCAAATCATCTCCAATCATCGCGAAAAGAATGTTTTAACGCTTAACATATATATTTAGATAAAACCTACAAACTACGGATTTAACAAGCTCTACCGCGGCGTGTTAAGTGCCTGTTGAACCGTCTGCTGGAGCAACTGCATCTTGTGATTGTTGGCCACCTTGCTAAATGTACTTAGCAGGGTCTGAATATCCTTGCCACTGATGAGTGGCACAAAATTGCCAGCACAGGTGCAAAATTCAGCCAAATTTTCGCGTTTAATCTCACTGCAGCGGGCACAGCGCAAATCCTGCAATACATAGGACATCATCTTGCGCTGCAGGGCATCCAGCATACGCATCTCGATCTCCTCGTTGTCATAGGCCACATAGCACTGGGCACAAAGCCAGACGGGTCTGTAATTAAGGTTTTGGAATATAAATATTTATTTTAAAGTAACTTTATGTCAATATAATTGCTACTCACACTCCATCTTTCATGGCTCGATGCTTGTCCTTGCAGAGATCCAGATCCCTGCAATGATTACAGGCCTTGCAGATGACTTCATTGATGATGTGACTGTCGCAGGGATCTGTCCACTCGGCCATGTCCGAGAATTCGCCAATACCAACCAGCCTCAGCATATTCCGGCGCAATTCGTTAATCTGCTCCGCCAGGGTCTTGTCCACACTGAGCACCTTAATCAGCGTGCGAATGAGCTCTAGGCCAGGACTGGGTTTGCCCTTGCCGTAGTTTTTGTGCAGCTTCAGGATGAAGTCAAAGGCGCAGTGGGATAGGTCACGGATGGACTGCTCAGTGGTCTTTCTCTCAGCCAGAGATTGCATGAAGAGCGTTATGAGCGACTCGAACTTCTCACGGCACTCGTTTTCATCGGGCAAATGTTCGCCAATGGTCCAGTTGAGTTCCAGGGAGAGCTCCTCCTCCTGATCCTGCTCGGTTTCGATTATCTCCACGGGATCCCTGTTTTCCACATCTTCATCATCATCCTCATCCTCATCGTCTTCATTTCGTTCCGATTCTGGTCGCATGGTATTGGAAACGATTGAGGAAACTGTCTCGTCGATTCCTTTGGGTAGCTTTCCTCTTATTCCCGAGAAATTGGCCTGATCCATCCAAAGCATAAAGTTCCAGCACTGCTCAAAGCTCAACTGGATGGAGTGGAACATCTCCTTGTTCCTCAGACTCTGTACAATGTAGTCCACATAGCCGAGGGCATCCGACACAGACTTCTTGCCGGAACTGAGGATGATCCTGTTGAAGTCCGCATAAACAATGGTGGCACCCAATCTCTTGAACTCCGCGATGATACGCAGGAACATTTTCCTCATCAGATTGTTGAGGGATCTCCTCAGCGCCGGATCGTATAGCAGGGCGTTGCTGGAGCGCACCCAGCGGTAGAAGTGTACGATCTGGAAGTCGGAGAAGATGTTCCTATTGATGGACACCTCTCTCAGCCAACCATTCACCATGGAGCGCATCACACGAAAGGCGGCGGAGCAAAGGGCCGTTTCATCGTAGCTCGGAAGCGTGGCCGCCGGAACTGTGCCAATCATCTCCTCCAGCGAGACCTGCGGCATCACATCAAAGGTTATTGCCGAGGAGGCGCCCTCCATCTCCTGGATCCTGTTCGATTGGAGGAGTGCACTCACAGCCAGACTGTCCAGGGCCAACTCTACGCAGACATCCGGATAAAAACCGGCTTTGTTCTGCACCACACTGATGCTCTCCTCGAATTCTGCCAGCAACCGACTGTCATCCGCCTCCCTGCCACCCAGATCCGGCCTGGTACTCGCCGACCACCAGAGCACAAAGTTATGACGCTGCAGCAACCGGGCGAAGAAGAGATCCGCTCCAAACAGCACCGTGTCCGGCGGCATGTTCCCAATTGGAACGTGGAAATAACGACACTGATCCAGCATCAAATCCAGCACATTATTTAGATTAAGGAAGTGACGGATCACCGCTCTCGAACCCTGTCGCTGCCAATCCAGGCCGGACAGCAAGCTGGCATCATCAGAGATGTGAATCTGGGCCTGGGGGAACTCCAGCAGAATGGGCATGGCCAAGCTTAGCTTTCGGGCCTCCAGTGCAGTTTGCAGGCAAAGCATCGTGGGTCCCTGGTGCTCCTGTTTGTAGGTGGTCAGAGCCCTCTGGATATGCCGGTAAATCTGCTTCACATCCACTTCTATCAGCACCTCAAAGGTGTAATCCTCCACAGGAATCTTCTCCTGCTCAGCGGTGGCTGTTAGATTCTTGAGCAAGGCCAAACGCTCCGCCGTATACATCTGCTTCATGTTGGGCATCTGATTGGCTCGCACCGTGTCCAAGGCGAAGATGTAACCCTTCTTGCTAGGCATCAGGATCAGGGACCAGATCTCCTTCTTGGCCGTGGGTGTGTTGTGTTGGTACAGATAGATCTTCCGCATCCTGTGGTTGGCACTTGCCAGATACTTGACCTGTGACTGAGGACGCTGCTCCAGCTGCTCGATACTGAAGGTTTCCAGATCCTTGGTGGCCAGCTGGGCAAGTCGTCGTGCCTCCTCGCGTTGAACGCCGCAAATACAGCCCATGTCCATGAGGGCCCGGAACTCCAGCGTCATCTGTGTCTCATAGATGCCTTCGATATCCGGCGTAGCCAGATCAGCCAGCATTCCCAGTGAGTTATCCCGGAAGAGCTGCTCGGGAACACTATACCGGTAGAGATTGAAAACAGGTCGGGATCGGGGTAGAACCCTATTGACTTTGCGCCACAATTGACCCTCCTCCGGGGGCGCTGCACTCCGCTGATTCACATAAAAGATCCTGGGCACCGTCAACTTAATCCTGTGCAGCTCTTCGCCTATCAAAGCCCACACGGTAAAGTGGCCAAGATCATCGATGGGCACCAGTTGTAGGATCTGCCAGGGTTGATCCAATAGCGTGCGCTGGGCTCGTCTCAGGAATCCTCCCAAAGTAGCTGTAGATCCCGTGGCTCGCACCACGGGAGCATCCTCGTTGCGAGATCTCTTGCTGGCCTGGCGACTTCGCTGGCGCTGATCGTATTGCCATTTCCACTTTTTCTTTTGGAAGCGCACCCATTCCACAATGGTTTTCCTCGTTTCTCCGATTGGAGGCGGTGCTCCTAAAGCTTGTCGCCAAGTCGTAGGCTGCGGTTGCTCTTGTTGCTCCTCTTCTCCATCCTCCAGCTGAACGCGCTTTCTCTTGGTGACAATGGGACGGCCTGAAGCGTCTTCACCGCCATCTCTGCCAGCCAAATCCTCCATATCCGCCAGCTTATTTTCTCCAGTGTCCAGGGGCTTTGGCTTGGGTCTACTGGTGAACATCTCGTTGATTCGGCGTTGTTTCAGCACATCGTTCTTCTCCAGCATCTTCTTGTGCAACCAATCTGGATGCTGCACCCTGGGCACCGGATTGGCCAGACCCTGCAGCGCTGCCGGAATGGTGATAATCTTTTGGATGGTGCCACCCAATCTCTCGATGTAGTAGTTCCAATCCAGCACATCCCGAATGTCTGCATCACCCATGGTGTTGTCCTTGAGCCAGCGGCGCAAGTGATGTCGCCTTACACTTGGCTCTGATTGGAAAATAGCCAAGGGAATGGCTCTTTCGGTTACAGGTGCTCCTTCCGGTTTCTTGGATATAATGTATTTGCAGGCCAAACCGGCATCCTTGACCATCTGCTCGCCCAGAAACTCGGCCAATCGCTTGGCCGTGGATATAGATGTGCTCTTCTGTGCTCCATATTCCTCCAGCTTCTTGGACATGCTCTTGTTCTCGGCAATCAGTTCAAAGAGCTCCGAGTCGGGCAGATTGGATCCTCTGCTGTAGAGGACATCTAGCCAATAGTCTGCCACTTTGGCCACGGATGCATAGCATTCTTCCAGAGTGCTGCCAGCCAGGAAGGCTTCGAACACAGAACTCTGGAAATTCTTGATCAACTGCAGCTCGCCACGTCGCTTCACCTCAAATCCCTTGAGTTCAGCCAAGGAACCATCAAAGTTGAAGACAGCATATCGTTTCTTGAGCTTCTTACCCTCCTCCTTGGCAGCTGGCAAGACCATGGCCAGGTAAGGCCCATCCACCTCAAAGAAAATGGAGTTCTCCTCGCGTATATCATACTTGGGTTGGTTATCCTCCGGGTCCTTTCTCAACTCATGGTACTGATCGTTGGTAAAATGATCCTTGACCATTGTATTAAGCACTGCGTTTGGATATGATATATTGATCTTTTTCTTTTTCTCGTGACTGGTCTGGATGGTGAACTCCTGGGGAAATGAGCCGGGTAATATACACCATATACCATCAGTGTCCAACTCCAGAGGACGACCCACTCGCTCGATGATTTCCCTTGCTTTGGTGATAATATTCGAGCCAGTGAGACACACGATTCCCGCCATGGGCATGGAATGCCAGCGGGCACCTCTTCGCATCACATAGCCGTAGAAGGAGTTGAGGATACACTTGTGGGCCAGCTGCAAAGAATCGTAGAGCACTTCCCTGCCTTTGGCTGCCTTGATCTCAGCCGCATCTCCGGATGCCACAGCCGCATTCACCGATGCCTTGGCCACCTTGGTCAGTCCCTTGTACTCGTAGCGACGATCACGAAAAGCTCGAACGGTGTCCACATAGAAACTGTTCTCCTTCTGGCAGATGGTCGAGTTGCGGGTCTCCAGTTTGGTCAGCTTGGTTTTCTTGTACGCCTTGCGGCAGTAATCCGACAGACGCTTCTTCTCATAAGCCGCCTGATCCTCCTTGGAGAGCTCGTGGAAAGCACGCTGCGGTCCACCCGGAAAAAGTGGCGGAAACTTCTCCGTCTCCAGCTGTTGCTGGATGCGCTGAAACTCATTCCGGGAGGCGGGCAACATCTCTCCGCGCCACAGCCAATCCATGGAGCGCTTGCAGCGAACTCCTGGCTTATTGAAGTCACAAGCGGCGCAGTCCAAATCACTGACCATGGCCGAGGGCTGCAGGCGATTGGTGAGGATGATATTGGGGTACATGGCACCCACATCCAAGTGATAGATGACAGGCTGCTCCAACCGATTTGGTATGTCGTGCAAGCCCTGCAGTCCCTGCACAATCTCCTGCCGCACTTCATCCAGATTCAAGACTTTCTCTAGGGGAATTCCCTCCTCTACTTCGATGGCGTGCCGCAGGACGGCATCCACCTGCTCCTGGAGTTTCTTAATCATTGCAGGATCCAATCGGAATCGGCAGGGTATATCAGCACGAAACACTCCCGATTCCAAGGCCTCCACATGACCACCGACATATGTCTCCGAGTCCAGGACGTGTCCCTCATTCGAAAGCTTATTCAGCTCACTCTGGTGCTTGTTGGGGTACACGATATGAGCGTGATAGGCCTCCACCATCAGCAGAGTCTCACAGAGAGTGCCGGAACCCTTTCGCAGGATCTCATCCGGTTCCATGGGAATAATCGTATTCAAGGCGAAGATAAAAGGATGCACGTACTTCATGTACAGATAGTAAGTGGCCACGGCATCTGACACTGAGTAGTTAGCCAGCACTTGGGGCTGCTCCACAGCCATGCGGCACATGTCCTCTGGATCGAGCTCCACGGGATCGTAGCGTAACTTCGCCTTCGCCACTGCCTTTAGGCCTTGAGATCCGACAGGCAGATAGGAATCACGCTTTACCCAGCAGAGGCAGTCCATGTGAATGGAGGGTCGACTTAGATAGTTTCCATCCCTCACCTTGGAGAATCCGATCTCCTGCTTCATGTCCAGGTCGTAGACAGCGGCTCGCGTCTCCACAAAGGGCCAATCGAAGAAGTCGCCGTTGTAGGTGACCACAATGTGCGGCCGCACCTCCATAATGTGGTCAAAGAAGCGCTGCAGCAGCTGCATCTCATTTTCCTCGTTGAAAACCACAAAGTTGCCCTCGAACTCTGGCTTAGGGGTGTACTCGAAGTCATCCACATTGGAGGAAATGATCTCCCTGTTGGTTATCAAATAACCCTGGCCATCGATCATGTACGAAATCATCATAATCTGATCAGTCTGGGCATCAGGGAACTTCAATGGCAACTTTGTAGTCTCAATATCAAAGGCCAGCACCACGGGCTCGGGTCTGTCCAGGATGTCCGGCCGACAGGTGATCGTAGGCAACTCCACACCGCTCCTGCAGCGGATGTTGTACCACTGGCCACAGAAGATGCGAAGATCGATGGAGACGCGCACGTGGTAGGGCACATCGTGCTCTCGGATGTCCACTATACAGTCCATGTAGTCTTGCTGCCGCTTGGCCAGCGCAGCATCCTCGGAGCCAGCCGAGGACTGGGCCAGCGAGGTGGCCAGCATCTGCATGTAGTAAGTGTTGGACTTCTGGCGCTCCTGATTTCTGCGCACAGCGGACATCAGTTCTCTGCGCACCTTGGTCATGGCGGTCTGGTTGAGAAAGGACAGCTTGATGTACTGCTGCTGCAGGCCAGACAGGTGATTGGGCAAGTCCAGATCTTCCTTGCTAATGTGCTCCAGGTTGGAGATCTGGCCAGAGTACTTGCGGCCCAGGAATCGGGCCACCTCCAGGTGCATGTTGTCCTCCGGACGGACCAGCAGGTACGGCTGATACGCCACTGTGCATTTGAATCGAGAACCATCCATTTGGATAAAGAACAGATCTAGGGCTGCGATGAGTCGCCTGTCCTCATCGAGCACCTCATTCTACAGAGGGAATCCGTTGATTAACCTGGGCTTTGTTGGATTTAAATGACAATTCGACTCACCGAATGCATGTTAATGAGGTATCCTGTCCGCTCCTGACTATCCTTGACCCGATCAAAGCCATATTTCGAGTCGATTTTATCATTTTCTCGAGATTGGCGGTAGCCTGCCTCGTTGAAGAAGTCGTCCCTAAAAGATCCGAGAAATGTACTATGACGCTGGAATTTTTAGTAAACTGATAGCTTACCCCTCAGTTCTGTTCTCGCTCACGAATTTCCCTGTGTTTTGAAGCACTTTGGCTTTGCCGAAATCAGCCATTTCGTTGCTGATTTGCGAAAATAAATAAAAATAATGGTAAATAACAATTTGCCGCCAAAAATCAAGTGTGACCAGACGGAAAACATGCAACAAGTACAAATGATATTCTAACGCACTAACGCGTTGTGGTAAAAACAGGCATTTTGCAGCTGCGCAACACTGAAAGTTATCGATAAGTGGCGGGCTTCTAAATAAAATTATATGCGCATTATTTTTCTTTCGTTATTTTATTTAAAATACCTTTGTTAATTATATATATAATCACTTTACGTGTATAAATCAGTTATATATAATCATTATAAAGTGTTTGTTAGCAGATACCTATAACTAATACGAATTTGCAATTTTATTTCAGTTTCGAGGTCAAGTTGCCTTTGATTTTCTATTGAATAATAGTGGAGATTTTTGCAAGAGACAACGAAAAAACTTTTCAATTTTAAATATATAATTCCTGAATGATTTTTCTAGGAAAATAATATCATTGCAATTTTTAAAATATAATTATTACGGATATACGTTAAAATAAAGAAATAAAAATATATATTTCGTGAGTGCTAATGTTTATAATTATGGTTTTATACATTTAAAAATCCTTTTTTTTCTTTGTATTATTTACCAATACATATTAATTGGAAAAAATAACTTCGTGTTTTGCATTTATTCTGAGATACCGATGCAAACTTCAATGTTATTATTTCAGAGGTTACCTTCCTATCTCTTTAAGAATAATATTAAGCTTATTATTTTTAAGTTGTGTACCCTTGCAGGTTTTGTTTTTTCTTTCTTATTTATTTTTTTTACATTTTTGTTTATGTTGGTCAATTTATTATTGTATTTGTTAGTGTAATGACCCTGTCTATATAATTTCTGTCTGAAGCTTTAAACGTTGTGAAAGAGTAATTTCCTACCCTATAAATAATATACATATATATTTTTTAATTTTAAGTGTAGTATACAGATCTTTTAACCATCTATTAAAAACTAACATAGGAAATCTTAGTTTCCCGTCTCAATATTTTTATAGTAATCCGATTTTTATAACAAATTAAAAGAATACAAAATCTGTTGAAACAAAATGAAACTATATACATACATATGTACATACAATATCTTCTGATATTTGCATCAATTTTTTTAATGACAGATGTAGGATAAAGTGGTTCGATCAGGGACTACCCAGTATTCCACATGTGGCTTGACCACTTGAGCTGAGTTTTGCCTGTGGAACATGTGTGTGCTGCTCTGCGCTTTTCCAACTTCTGAAATGCTCATTTTCCACCACTTCTCCCTCTCTCTCTCTCTCTCTCTCTCTCTCTCTTTTGCTCGTTCGCACACAAGCGCATTCATTCATAAAAATCCGGCTCACCTACACGAGTTGTAAAAATGCAGTGGAATTATCAATGGGGCTGCGCGCATGCGCTCTTTTCGAGCCGACTTCCACTTCGCTCTCTAAGCACTTGTCGCCCCCCTCCTTTTATTCTACCTTTGTGGCAGCAATTAAATTGACAATCAGCGGCCATATTTGTTGCACGTGTATCTCTGTGTTTCGTTATGCAAGGCCGCCTCTGGCCAGGAAAATCGGGAATCGCAGTGGTATCCCGAATCTTATTGCCCCTTTTCTGTTATTTTTTTTATTTATTTCTGGGTGCAGCTGGTTGTTGCTGCCGCCCCTGCATAGACATCCATATGCACATGCACTTATGCTTATGTTATGCCTGTGTGTAATTTATGCGAAATGCGTTGCCAGAATATAAAAACACCATCACTCTCTCCTCTCTCTCTCTCGCTCGGCACACATAAACCTGTTTTTGTTTTTGGTTTGCAGCAAGGAGAGTCTTTCGAATGCACAGTGGTTGTCATAGTTATCAAATTAAAAAATTGGAGAATGGTAAATAATAAAGTTAGCTTTTAAATACAGATACAAAAGGGTCTACGCGGCATCCCACTTTTTTGTAACAATAAGTACGTTTCAATATTACTTTATTTGTCAACTAGAATGTCATGATAAAAATACAGAGTTTTGCTATGATTTTAATTGTAATATATATTTAAATAATTTCGTTTATTTATTACCACCACATTTTGTCGTTTTTCGACACTGTGCGAATGCTTGCTAAAACCGATCGCCCGCACTCACACCCACACAACAGCTCATGCACGCACACTATCGCACTGCTACACACTGTTCTGAGCAAGCAATTTTTTTTTAATTTGTTGCTATTTTTTTGTCGCAGCCAACACTTTGTTTTTGCTGCTCAAAATATGTAATTCTGATTTTCTTTTCTTTTTTATCTGTTTATTTTTTGCTCATGATGCATGCTCTTGTGGGTGTGTGTGTGTTTGATGTGGGGAGTTGAGTGGAAAATCGGCACCCACGCTTGCTGCTCTCTCTAGTGGATCGTCAGTGACAAAATAAAATATACATAATAATTATATAGCGCAAAAAAACTCTCGATTTTAATTATTTGCGATATTTTGTGTTTGTTATCAGTTGAATTCTCTGCCGCTGCTTCTTCTTCCAGGCACTCTTTTCTCTTTGCGGTGTTCTTCGCTCTCTCGCGCTCTCTGTGCCGCTCACTGGCGACTTTGCGTCGGTCAGTGCTGCCAGTGATGATCGCCCATAATAGCTAGATTCTAAACAACATAAAACTTAAGTTAGATAGAAAATATCATAAAATTAGACTAAAAACAAGTTATAACCAAGTAGAGGAAGACATACATTATTTTCTTCTTAAGGTTTTTAATAAAATAAATGTTTTATCAATTCATCGATTTCGTAATATGTCTTCATTTCTGGCAAATTACATATAAATCAATAATGGATGTTTGTATACTTTTTACATTGCAATTAAATAAATAATAATTAATATTATATAAATTATAAATATTTGTGTTAAAAATCAACAAAGTAAGTCCTATTACAGTCACCTATACTTAGTTTCCGGTATTCATAATATTAAAACCGAAATTCTAAAATAAGAAAATGTGACTAAAAATGTTATATTTTTTTTCTAAGAACTTTCCGATCATTCCATTATCAGCTATATGATATATCAACCCGATGTTCATAAGATTAAAACATAAATTCTGAAATAATACAAAATTTTTATATCTCAAATTAGATGAATATAAATTGAAAACTGAAAAAGTAATAAATTTTTTTTTTTTATTAATTTATCGATCGTTTCTATGGCATCTATATAATATAGTACCCTGCTATTCATAAACCTTAATTCAGAAATAATACAAAATGACTGTATATAAAAATTAATGAAAATATGTTGAAAACTGAAAAAGTTATATGTATACATTTTCCGATCATTCCTATGGCAGCTATATACATTTAATCGATGCTGATCAAGAATATAATATATAAGTATATATATAATATAATATAATATATATGTATATAAAATTTATAAGGTTGGAAATTACTCCTTCGCTGCATGGCAAACTTCTGACTTAAATTATAACAACCTGCAGGGGCTTAACAATTATATTTATATAAAAGAAAAAACAATAGGGTTTGTTGAAGTTGTTGCCTTATATTCACAATGCCTTATAATTACATTACCTACGTTTAAGGTTTATATGGTATTGTCATAATTCTAGATATAGCCTGAAATCAACATCACTGACAGCACTGACGTCGTCGTTGGCGTTGCGTCGGCGTCGCTGCCGCCGCCTGTTGCCGCTTCTGTTTTCGGCATTCGTTCGTCAACTCTCTTCCGCAGCGTGCAGACATAACGGCCAGTGTTAGTTTTAATGTTGAATGAAATAATAAATAAATAAATAACAAATACTAAATACTGGCTAGCAAAACAAAAAATATAAAAACCTATTTGCATTAATTGTGCCAGTGTTCGTTCAGTGCCTCTGTGTATTTGTGAATGCAATAGATCGCGTTGTGAGAATTTCATTGCAAAACGAAAAGGAAACCAAATTGCTTGTGCAAAAGTATCATTGAATACGGTTGAAAACCGCCCAAAAACGGAGAGATACTTGTCCAGAAATCATTGTGGAAATGCCTATAAACCCAAACCCTTGAAATCTATATCCAAAATCCATCATAAAACCACAAAAATCTCCTCAAAACATCGCATGTGTCGGTGCGGTGTTCGTTTTCTGTGCGTGTGTTAGTGTGTGCATGTGATCCGGCCGCCTTTTTTTCGGTCTCTTTCGTTTCGCGTCTTATAAGCCGAGCGGCTAAACCGACATCCCCGTCCCGTTCTGTCGGCGGGAGTTGCTCCTTTCGTTTGCTGCTCTCGTCTTTGTCTCCGGCACGTAATCTCTTCCTCTCCTGCCCTAATCAACCTGCTGATCCCACCGGAGGGTTAAAGCGCACACGCAGAGGAGAGAGTGCGAGGGAGATAGCCATCGCGTTGGACTCCTGGCTCGATCGAGATTGTGCGCCTAATTTGAAGCTGTAATTAATTTGGATACCCTAATAAAAAAAAAAACCAAGCAACAGAGAACCCGAAAAAGATCAAGACTAAGAAACCTTAAGAATCCCCCGCACCTTCTGTTTTTTTGGAGGGGCGCTACTTTATTGCCCCGCGCACCGGTGAGTAAAACTGAGTTGAAGTGTTGAAAACAGTAGTTCAAGTATCTTTTTTTTGTTGTTGTTGTTGTTATTTTCCCCCATGTAAACCCTTTTCTCGCGCAAGTGTGTGTGTGTGTGTTGCCTGTTTTCTTGAATGAATCTAGGAAAAAAAAACTGGTTTGGCTACCGAGCGATCCAGCGATCCGGCGATCTTGCCTCGATTCAGGATTGTGCTGACTCTATAAACTCGTTGTTGGCCAACACAGAATTTGAATTGGTTTTCTACCTCTTTGCTTAGCCAAGTTAACTAGCTTTGTGTGTGTGTGGACTTCCACAACCCTTGTGGGAACGCATTGGAAATTACTACTGTTCCTTTTACAGCTTCCGGTGCTGCCGCCACAAATGAGCTTGAATGGCCTTTGATCGGGATCCGATGGGAGAATTTGTTGATTCTCTTACCAATTTTGTAATCGAGAATGTGTGAACACCGACCTTTGGGTTCAAATAGAATATAATGTGGACCAACGAACGCATTAGATAATTAAGTATCAATAAAAATGATACGAAACTGCCACTCTTTTTCGTGTTTCGAGCATGGAAAATCGTAGGGGATCAATAGGAGAGATCAAAACCACATAATTGGGGTTTTCCTGCCCAAATCTTAGGTTACCTGACATGGTATTAAAGGATCAACTGAATATCAAATTAAATGCGAGTCTTAATGGCAAGTTGGAGGTTCAAAAGTTCAATAATTTTTGGGAAAATGAAGTAGTATTTGGTCATCTAAGTTAAGGTTCTAAATTTCACTATATAGTTATAATAACGAGACATTCTTCCAAGTTATTGTAAATTTTCGAATCACTTTTGTTGCAAAATCAATATCTAATACCTTTCTCTCTCTCTTTACTAATGTTTAATTATATAAATTACATGTTCCCAGCTTTGTTTTTAATTCAATAGTTAGCTTAGATCATTTCTAAACAAAGATTGCCCCCATAATTTGTCTAAATCGATAATTTGCTATGTAACGATCACTGAATTACGATTAAACTCAGGACTTACTGGTTTTTCTTGCCTCGCCAAAGACGTTTAAAATCCTTATGTCTACAACAATCAATTTCAAGCCACAAAAGATACACAAGGGAATGATAAGAAATTATTGCCATAATCGATAATTTGATCTGCGACGATCGTTGGATCATAATTGAGCCGCATACAGCCTCCCTCTGTCCCTTCTCTCTGTATCTTTCTCTGCCTCCCCTGAAAGCAAAGACCAGTTCAAGATCCTTTTCCATAAATACCCACAGACAATTACAGTACAGTGAATATCTTTGGGCTGGTTCGTTGCCCCATGCCACGACGTTAAACTCGGATTCTGCGACGCCGCCGCATCCCCGATGCTAAAAGTATCAACCTGCTGCAGACAGGCTGAGATCGAGATCAAGATCGATCCCATGACAAGACAGATACAGATGCACAAGGGGCACTCACAGATACACACAGATGCAGATAGAGCAGAACACATGTGCGCAGGCAGGCCGAGAGGATCAGAGAAGAAGGTCCCAGGTCCCTTTCTTCGACTTCTCTGCTCTTCTCGTCAAGAAAAAGGGCGACTCTACTAAATGTGTGTATTCTACCGTTACGTACACACCGAAAAATTGCACCCCTATACACGGTTTTGCTGTCTGGTCTGGTCTGGCCAAGAGAGGAGTGTGCACCATATCGAAAGATGATCATATTCGTTTACAATCTGTTCCTCGAGCATCTGCTGTGCCCAGACTCCCGACTAAGACCCTCACGGAGGTGCGCTTGGTCCACTTAGTTACTCCGCCCTCCCAAAAAATTGCTCTTTTTTCCAGGGAAAACATATGCTTCGCTTTTCGATTCGTGTGGTTTTTTGTTGTCGCCTGTATTCTTTTTGTTTTTTTTTTTTTTCGTTTTTGGTTATCTACATGTGTCTGGGCGATAAGGAGGTTCGTTCCAATAGTTTGGCGATTGCGACTTTTTTTTTTGGCTAACAACCGAATGGTTTTTGGTTCTCTGCCAGCTCTACAAAAGTCGCAATTCGATGGAAAAGTGCTCTTTAAATCACATTTGATCTCAATAAAACCTTTCTTCTGGTTCCATTTTTAAATGATTTTCAACTGAACTTTCCTCTCTATCGATCGGTCAATAGGGAATTCGCTTAACGATAACAATGGTTTGTTTAAAAATTCACAATAAATCGTGGAATTCGCCTTATACCGATAAGAACCATTGTTGAGTATGTATATATTGATTTAAAAAGTAAATAAAGGAACACTTAATCGTTGTACATAGTGGCATAAAGGTAATTCCCCTGGTTCCAATTCATTCTTAGAGTGTTGATATTAAGAATATATTTATATACCCTTGCAGGGTATTATAATTTCAGTTAGAAGCTTGTTACGATGTGAAGGAATCATTTCCGACATAAAACATATACATATATTCTTGATCAGCATCAACAGCCGCGTTGATCTAGCTATCTCAGAAAGAAAAAATAAATGTTTAAATATTTTTTTAAATTTTATAAGCGGTTGCATCTTTAAAATTGTCAAAAAAATGGAGAAACATTTTAATGTTTTAAAATTTTAAACCAATTATGCAGATTTATTTACTTTACAAAAAATAACATAGGAAAGCTTTCCGAATTGAAATTAATCCTTTTTTGGCTTAGTTATGCGTTTTTTTAAACTTTGATTTGAAGATTAAATTGTCATACAAATATCGATTTAATAAATTCGAATATTTTTTAAGCTTAGTTATGATCTATTTTCCATTCAATCCTATAATTCAATGGGAAACTGCAAGGGAATATAAACTTTGGCCTTTCCAAGTTAGTTTCCTTTCTTGTTGGTTTAAGTATTTTTTAATATGCTACTAAATTTAGATGCTTTTCTGTATATTATAAAATAGTTTCTATTATTTAAAAATGAATGAATGAATCTGCCTGTATGCCATTTTCCTTCCTATTTCCAACTTTCCTATAAGTTTCTGTTCGTAGGTGCAATAACATTTCAAAGACAAATTATGAATATGCCACATTTTGGCTTCCCTCAGCCACCTAAGAAATCAATTAGACTTGCCAAAAAGTTGCCAATTAGCTTGGCCACTTTTATGCGTCAATAAATTATTTTCGTGTGAAAAGTGCATTTAGTATTTTTTGCCATATTCAAAATCATATGCAGTCTTGCAATCTATATATAACCGTCACCAAAACTACGTATAAATATATGTATCTACATATATATTTTGTGCAGATTTAGTAATGTTTATTTTTCTTTGCTGTTATTGCTGTTCTACATTGAATTGATTGCACTGGGGACTTGGGGCGTACGGTGGCCGGGAAAACTAAGAGTAACGAAATAAATCAACTTTTTTGTGGAATTTGTTTGTGGAGCATTTTGGCGGCTGCAGTTGTTGATTTTATTATCCATTTAAATGTTGATTAACTTAAATTCGTTTTTAGTGCACTCACTTGATCCGCACACACAATTTTTGTATGTATATGAATGTATATTGGTTAGTGAGTGTGAATACATAACTGTGCTGGTTGACTGGGGCGTTTCAATGAACAAAAATCAGCAAATCAAATCGAAATTGATTTCGCAAGAGCAAAAGCTGAAATTTATGCAACGCTTTTTCATTGCTTTGATACCCTGACTTACAGGGTATTTCTCTTTCGATCACAAGCTTAGGTGTTCATTCAGAAGAATTTAATGGAATATTAAGAATGATTTTGAACTGAAACTTTAAGTTTTTCCAACAAGTTTTAGTATCTTAAACTAACTAATTAAAGAAAAGTAATCAAAGATTCTCTAAAGTACAGAATTTATTTTAGTTAGTAAAATAATATTAAAAGAGTATTCAAATCTGCGTTGTTCCTTCTTTCTTTTCTCTATTTTTTAGTTTATTTTGATTCAGTTAGATCAGCGGGAATATGGCGGAATTTCTTCAACCCATACTCTTTCTAATATATATAGGGTGGATTTACATATGTGTCTGTACAAGACTGATAAGGCGGCTAGATAGCTGTTGGCCACACACTCGCCATGTGCCAGAGAGAGAGAGAGAGAGAGCAAAACAAAGAGAGAATGAGATAGGAATCGAGCAGAATCGTCACCGATGCGACGACAGTATCCACACATTTGCATAACGTATCTAATTAGGCGGCCAGTGCTTAAAGATACTCCTCAGATTTCTTTCAGATACATATATATAAGATAAAGGTCGAGATGCGGGGGCGTTTACCGCAAGGAATATATGTATATTGATGATAACCCACGACTTAAGTCGAGAATTGCCAATAATATATTTGAGTTTTAACCTTGTCGAATGATAAGGCAGGTATAAATAATGAATCATAAAAGTAAACTGGTGGTTTTCAATATTAAATGGAAATTTATTGCTTAACAATATAATGTATAATCTAAATTAAAGACAATCTAACTCCCAAATAAGTTTAATTAAATATACAAATTCAAAGAATTTTTTTAATAACCTCAAACTCTAAGTCTCAGACTATTTCTTAGTGTTCCACTTTTATTTATCAGAATACTTTTTTATCGCTTACACTGAATTTTAAGTAAATATAATATTAAATGCGTAATTTCTGAACTTTATCTCGGGGTTGTGTGTATTTATAGTGGCATCGGGGCAGCTTCAGCTCTTTTTATTCCTCTCTTTTTAGTTCTCTGGAAAGCCTTATCTTGGCCACTTCCGTTGATAAAATATCCAAAGACCTACTGTTGTAATTGTTATGGATTTGAGGTTGATAGCATTTAAGAGCTTTGAATAAATTGGAATTTAATTGTATGCCAAATCGAGTGCAAGTGTACTGGGAAAATGTATCTTTAAGATACCAACTTTAACTGAAAAGGGTTTTGATCCTACATGAACTTGCTTAAGTTTCTTTTAAGCTTTACGTTTAATTGTAACTTGTTGCTCTACAAATACTATAGTTTTCAAAAGACATAATAATATGTTTATTGGATAGTTCGAAAGATACATTTCCTCCCAAACGTATCTCCTAATTGCGAAACCTGGGGGAGGCAACCTTACAAAATCCGTGTGATCTTCACATCCGATCTCTTTGTGGCGACACTTCAAAGTAACTTTTCATGTTTCCTTTTTGGAGACATCGCATAAACCATCGCTGCTTGGCCAGGGCAAATATTTGTGAGCTTGAAAAAGAACGAAACCCATTAGAAATATATATGTACATACATATATTTTTAGAAAATTGAAACCCTTTGACTCGACTCGATCCTCCACATATGATGGAATGGATGCTGAGTAAACAAAATAAAAGCGTGCTCGTGTATGCAAACCGCCTTGTCGGCTCCTTTTGTTGTGGCTGCCTTAAAGGTGGTGGCGGGGACATGTTTGATGTTGCACTGATGGGGAAAAGTGTCATAATTCCCAGAGTCAACAGAGCTGGATTGGGCCAAGAAAGAGGTGCGAAATGTGTGCCCGCTAATGGAGTGGGGGAGGTGCCAACGAGGTCCAATAAACCTGGCCCGGAGGTAACAAGCCAATAATTGAGCGATAATTAAAAAACACACTTGTAATTGCATTGATTTGTTTATTGAACAGTACGCTAATTATTTCTTTATCTTTCCCCCCGACCAGATGACTGCGCAATATGGAATTGGCGATTTGTAAGACGGATCTGTCCTCTACGAAATTTATGCTTCCTCCTGCTTTACCTGTTGCTGCCGCCATTGGTACCTCATCGGCGGATACCTCGACTGTTGCCCAATTTGATTCCTTCCTCAACGCCATTAACGGGCATCTGTTTAAATCACCACCCAGTCATCATAATCTACATCATCATCATCATCACAATTTGGCCAGCAATTCATCGATCCTGAGCCATCATCACAGCAATAGTAATAACAACAATAGTAATAGCGTTAACAACGCGGGACAAGTTAGCAACATGAGGATGAAAAAGAACCGCAAAGTCACATTTCTATCCAGTTTAGTTGAGGTGAGTTGAAAGGATTTCAAATTTTAATTAAGATGAGCTTTAGTTATTATTTATATTCATATAAAAATATAAAGAATAAGTATTATAAAAAGATAAGAAGCAAGCTATAAGACTACGAATTTAAAAGGTAATCATTATATGAAACTCTGGAACTCTTGAACAAAATAGTATATATTCCTTATAATTTTAAAGGATTACAAAGCAATTAAAAAACGATCTCAGGTCACTTAAGCTTAAATGTAATCTCCTACACTTAGTATCTTCAATAATCACCTATAAAAAGTATCTAAAGTTCGTACAAAACCTTTTAGCTACTTCAAAACTAGGTAGCAAAGACTGCACGTCTCTTGATCGACGGCTGCATAAATCTATAATTTCTATATATAACTACATACGAATAAGTGAATTTGCCTGATCAAGTGATCGATAGCCTGTCCATTGGTATCTATGCCAGTTTGACAGCCACTGCAGTTCGATTATTGGTGCCTCAATGACAGGCCGATTGATTTTTCGGTTTGCGAATGCAGGGCACGTAAATCGAATTCTAAATTTGGTAGACGAAACAAAACGCAATTATTATGTATTATGCTTTGTGGCTATAATATTTATTCGCCATTTTCAACACACTTTATAGGTTGAATGTATAAAAAATATTTATAGAGCTGTCACTTGCAATCTTTGAATTGATTTTGAAAGTGAGGGTGTAGCTCATTCGTTTGCATTCCCTGGGAATCTATTGTATAAACAATCTTTTGTTTATTTTGCTATAAAAGCCATAAGCGTGCCACTTGGCTTTATGACGCATCCACTGCTAAGTAGACAAAAGGCATGATCAAAACTTGGAATATATATATAGTTACATCTTGGGAAATGGGTAACCAGTAACAGATCCAAAAAAAGACAGGTTGCCCAACAATGGAGGAACCCAATGATCGTAAGGCTTCATCCAAGCCAGTTGCCTTTCTAGCCTTTTCTTTACATTCTTTCATTTAATATCCTTTTTTCTTGGGTATAAATACTATTTAATGATTTTGTAACAGCTTTGAAATGAAGACTTTCCTGACCTTAAATAAAGAAAATTACCTGTTAACCTGGAAATACTTTTATAGTAGAAATCTTTTTATATTAAAAAGAAATCTTTTTATATTAAAAAGAGTTCTATGTCCAAAAGTTAACTAGGTCAGGCCATGATTTTAGAAATCTTTAGCTTTATTTGTAAATATTTTTTGAACTATTTAAATGTATATAATCTCAGATAAAGAGTATTCATTTTTCATCTTTAAAATCAATTCTTCCTTAATTCCTTCACTCTCTCTTTGTGGATTTTTTTGTGTGTGTGTTCCACCTGAACTTGACCAGATCGGCTGTCAGCGGTCCCCGAGTGATGGCATTTGACACATCGCCTGCGGTAAGCATATCCGCTGGCCCGCCAAGCCGTTGACCACTTTCATCCGGTTGCTTCGGGGCCAACGGCCAACAGGCTGATCCTTTCCCCCCCCTTCCTTGCACAATCCCCAAAAAAGGACATGCGCATGCTCAGTCGCTTGGAAAATGCAGCCAGGTAATCCGATCGTCAGTGTCTGGCCAGGTCTAGAATTTCCACTCCAGTCAAGTAACTGAAGCTCAAGCTGGGAGTGAAAGAGAGAGTGTGTGTGTGTGTTGTGCCCAAAATTGGGTTCAAAATTCGAGTCGAATCTTTGCTCTACGAATTGATTACGATATTTACGGAGCATTTCGTTTGACTACAGTGACCTCCATTATCATTAAGCGACAGCCTCCTCTGCTCTGCTCTGCTCTGTGTTTGCAAGTCAAACGTACAATTCAATTTATTAGATCGTCTCCAGCACGATGATGGGACACATCGCCATCACATCGCATTGGGGCAGTCCACTGTCACAATTGCCGGCAATCTATGTCACACTCACTCTCTGCTCTCGGCTATGGCTCTGATTATGCCTCAGTTTTACGTTATGCATACATATGAACATATATATATATATTCGTATTCTGTAATTGGGTAAAAGTGGCTTGTTTATAAATATGTACACTACAATCATGAAATGCCTTGTTGACTCTGCCGATCATTATAGTAAAGATGGGGAATAGAATCAAACAGAAAGAGGGAATTAACAATATGATTTATAAGGGGAGTGCTAGGTGAAATATAATTAATATTAATACCAATATGTATTACGAATTTTATATTAGATCAATAATGTTTTTCTGGTAAATAAACCTATTTTAAATAAGTTAGTCTTCTAAAGATCGGTACTTCTTTACTCAAGTCACATTTGTTGATGATTTAATTGGTTAAATCAATAAATAAAGAAATTCCAGCGTAGTTTAATTGTAAACAAGAATTTAATCTGATTTTATTATCAAGAATGAGTAATAATAAATAAATATAATAAGAAATATATATAAAAAACTTACAGCTTTTGATGTCTTATCTTTAAGTATAACTTTTACTCTTACTTTTCAATTGTAATTGCAAATTAATAATATCAGTAACATGGTACAGACTTAGATAAAATCTTTTAATATTTTTCCATAAATAATTCCAATTACAACTTATATTCCCTTACAGTCCAAAACATCTTCATCAAGGATGAACCAATAAGTGGCTGCAAGGATTTACCCATCTGCAGTATATCGGATATTTCAGATCATGAGGCGTCATTGGGTGAGTATACCAATAAAAAACTTATCATAATCATGACAAACATTGTGTGCGGATTGTTTACTTTGGCCAAGTGCTTAACCCATTTGCTATATCGGTTTCATATTCTTTTATACGATTTTTTTCTCTCATCACTTTATTTTTGTTGGTTAAATGGCATTTGGAGGTCTGGCGAGGCTTTTGATAACAATTTTCCAAGAAATGGAAATAATTGAAGAGCAAAATGTTGTTGAAGAGCAAAATGTTCCAACCATTATATAGTTTGCGGCCCTATCTTGACTCATATGTATATACGTGGCTATATATCTAACCAGAATACTGGGAAAGATTACTTTTGTTTATATATGTTTATATCTATATATGTACACCAATGAGGTGTGATTCCCTTTTGGGGTAGATTAGTATTTGGTTATATTTATAGGTATTACTTGGTTTTAATTAAATTATTAGAGTAAGCAGTTTCTTAGAAATCTATTATTTAGATACTCTCTATCTGTTAATATTTGTAAATATATAAAAGTATATCTACTGAACTTTGGTAAAATGTATTCAGAAGGACATATCTCTGTCGTCGCAACCGAACATAATTTTGCTAGTTGTTTTTGCGACTTTATTATTGTTTTTTTGTGCCTTTTGAACTGAGCGATAAAAAGGCAAAAAAAAAAATAGCTATAGTCAGAGGCAGGGGGCTGGAGCGAACCAAATAATTTGGCGATAAGATAAGCCAACAAAAAGCGTGTTGCTAAAAAAGAGAACCCACGACGAAAAAAAGCTAAAGCACAAAAAAAGATACAATGCCAAAGAAAGATATTTTTGCCGCACAGAATGGGTGTGTGTTAAAGCAGCATATCGTGTGCATTTATTATAATATAGTCATTGGAATATACATAATTCCCTCGCATAGTTGGGTTAATATTTCAGGGAAAAGTCACGTCGTTTGCTTCCGGTGGGCCCAGCCCCTCGACATCAAGCCTTTAGGCTCCTCCTCGTCGTAGGCAAAGTGCCAAGCGAACTTACACAGATTCATTCAGTCACTCAGCCACTCACTCACTCATTCATTCATTCATTCATTCATTGGCTTCTTTGGATTCTTCTCAATAAAAAAAGAGAAGAGAACAGAAGAGAAATGAAAAGAAAAACGAACGAGATCTTTGCTGCTGAATACATTTGCATGGGAAATACACGAAATAAATATATGAAAATGTGCAGTGCTACCTAAAATGCCGCCCCCTTTCAGCTGCTACTGTTGTTGCTGTCAATCAGGCAATACGTCAGTCATTCACTCACTCAGTCACTCTGTCAACTGTTCGTATACGTAATGTGACAAACATTGCTGCCGTTCTTGTTGCTTTTTCCCCAACATACATACATATATCTAGTACACTTTAGCTATTATTTACACGCACACTCTGAAACGGCTTCATTTGTACTTTTGTTTTTTGTTTTTTTTTTTGAATCGGACAACGTTTTATGGTAATTTGTTATGCATCTTTTGCTCTGTTGTTCACCAACCGAGAACAATGTATGGAAAAATGTGTTAATAATGGGAAATTCTGGTTGTTTGATTTTTTGTGAACAGCATTTAGGATTTGGGTATGCAGATATCGTAAATACAGGGCTTGATGTCGAAATTAAACCAATAATATGATATCACAAAGGAATTATTGTATGACAAATATGTTTTGCTTTTTAAGTTATTAAGATTAAAACTCTACAAAGTATATACAACAAAATGTATATAATTTTGTATAACTTTAAAATTATTATCAAGAAAGTAATAGGAAATCATTTGGTCCTGACTTTACATAAATATCTTCTTCGCATCTTTGTATCTGTTTCTGTATCTGTATCTCTATCTGTATCTGCCTTTTACATTTGTATCTTTAACCGTGCCACACATCGTACCCAAATGCACAGCCCCAGCTGTCCAAATCACTGACAGAGAAACAATCTTAAAACTCTTTAATGTTTATAAAAACAAATAATACAAACCTCGCTGGGGATTCAGTTTTAATACCCTTGAAGGGTATTATAATTTTAGTCAGAAGCTTGTAACAATGTGAGAAGGAAGCATTTCCGACCCCATAAATCATATATATTCTTGATCAGCATCAACAGCCGAGTTTATATAGCTATCTTAGAAGGGATTTTTTTTTTTAATTTTAAATTTAATTTAATAATGGGTTACATCGTTAAAATTGATAAAAAAAACAAGTTAACCAAAATTTTAATTTTTTACAATTTTAAATTGAGTATGCAGATTTATTAATATTGCTAAAACTAACACAAGAGAGCTTTCCGACTCGTAATAAATGCTTTCTTGGCTTAGTTAGGAGTTTTTTAAACTTTGATTTGTCCAAAAAAAATGTCATATAAAAATCTACATAAATAATGATTAAAAGAATGCGATTATTTTTAGCAAGGGTATACCATCTTCGGTATGCTTTAGTAGCTTTCATTCTTGTTTTGTTTTTTGTGCTGCGTCCCAAAACGTCGAGGCAGTCGAATGAAAAGGAACCCGAAAAAAACGTAAAAAAGTATTTATGTATTTATGTCTTATCGCTGCGTAGAGATCAACAAAGCGCAAACAATTTCAATGTCAACGCAAACCCAAGACTAAAGTCAGTGCCCAACTAAATATACAAATGGCTAGTGTACACTGGGGTGGACCTGGAAGATTTTACGTAAACGTTTAAATACAAAGAATACAATTTTAATTTGCCTTAACGTTGCTTCCTAAAATAATCACTCATACGTAGTGTTGTCCCTGTTTTTCTGAATGTGAATGAAGTATGAATACATTATTTTCCTTATTTGTTTATGGTCTTAACTCATAGCCCGTAAATGGTTTTTTATAAAAATATCTTAATTATATAAAAAATTATAACGTGACAATATTACTCATACGCAGTGTTGCCTGCACATTTGCTTATTTGTAATTTTTTGTGATTTGATTACTTCTTTTTTGTGTAGTCGAATAATTTTGTCTAAACAAGCTGAATTTAAGTGCTTAAATTAATTGTTTTATAATTTTAAAGATTTTAAGTCTTGTTAATCCTTACAAACACTTTGTTTACAAGAGGTCCACCCTACTGAGCCTATATAGAGGTATGTACAGTTCTACATACGGTGGTATGTATTAAGGCACATGTACATACACATATGTACATTTATTCGTACATACATATGTGGGACCCTTACGACAAAACTGAAAACGCCTGGCAGCATGAACTTTTCGCTCGTCGCTAGAAGATCGCGGCCATAAAAATGGCAACAAATATATGTATGTATAAGAAAAAGGGAAAAATAAAATAAAATCACGAGAATAAAAACAAAAAGCAGAGAAAACATGCAAAAACGGCGACAACTGCGCAGATGAATGAATGGAAAATGGGGATACTAAAACAACAACAACAAAATAAATAAAAAGGGGAACATCCATCTCGGCAGCAAAAAACAAGATCGGAAGGCAACACGTAAATTTAGTTTACATTATGTAGCGAGATATACGCAGGCTGCCCTTATTTTAATTATATGCGCACACAGATGCCCCGTACAGTGAGCACTCTGAAGAGGGAACAGGGAAAAATATCATTAATTAATATTAAAAATATTAGGAATATTCTTTAGTAATGATTTCTTTATTTCATTCTAGAAGAAACAGTTGACTATAAAAAAGGGTCATTTAATTAATACTTAATATTATATATTTATTATGACGAATAACTATATCTAACAAACAATCGTTTGTATCGATAACACAAACGATATTCCTGTTATTTGTTCACTCTTTCGAATGCTTTCTGTATCCCCCACACTCGCAACGCCTTTAATCATCTCTCATTAATCATAAACTTTGGAAATAACAAGAATCAAAATGAAATGAGCGAAACGAAATAATAAATAAAGCAAATTAAATTTTTGCTTATTTAATATGCGCTATGATTTGTACAAAAAAATATTAATAAATTGTCCGTGAGAGAGAGAATGGGCTCCACCAGAAATAAGATAGAGAGAGAGAGACAGAGAGCGGTAGAGAGCTCCTGAGAGAGTGGGGCGTCGGCGTTAACGTCAGCAGCAACGTCAGCGTCGTGAGCCCCACAACTTTCATTCATTTTGGCGCTCATTTCATTCATCCTCGCTCAGTCGACGTCGATGTCGACGTCGCTGCTCCCCAATGCTGCCTCTCTGTCTCGCTCTGTGGCTCTCTTGGGGCTCTCTCCCAAAGAAACACGTTCGTTTTCATTCATACTCGGCCAGGCAAAAACAACAACAACAACAAAATTACTAGCTGGTTCTGAAAAAAGCAAAGCAGCTATGAAAATACAACAACAAAAAAAAGTGGAAATAAAAACTGTGGCGGCTTTGAAATGCAGTTGATGAATGGGGGGAATATGGGAATGGGAATATAAGGCAGCGACGAGTGGATCTTGTTTGTTGGTTCTTCTTTTTTCTTTTTTTTCTTTTATTAATTCGATAGCTGTCTGCCCATCTCGCTCTTACGTTTGGTTTCTGATGCTGATGCTTCCTCTGTCATTTGGGGCTTGACGTTTGTTTCCTTCCTTTTTTGCGTGTGCTGCTGCTGCTGCTGCGCCCCTCTTTCTTCCGATCTGCCCCACTCCTTGTCTCTCTCCTTATCCTTCTCCTAGGCTGGTTCCTGCAAACCGGCTTCGATTTCTTCTTCCTTTTTCTTCTTCTTTGGCTTTGTCTTTTGGGGTCCCCTCTTTAATCGCTGCTCCAACTTCTCCTTCTTCTTTTGCGTTTTTTTTTCTCCTGTCACTAGCTCTGCTGCTGCCCGTGGGCGCGTCGGTGACTTTGGCTTGAATTTTAAATGCAGTTTTTGTTGCTTTTTAATACCCTTTCCATTTCAAAAACTATTCAGACGTTTTCGAACTTTGATTAGATAATTGTATTGAGTTTTATTATTTTAAGTTTTAAGTAAATAGACCCTTTATTTCAAGATATTATAAATAAAATATAATCAGTTAAAAACAAATTAAAAG